TGAATATGAGTGGACTCTACGGGCGTTCTTTGCGGATGACCTAAGCGTCAACATCCTCACTCCTTTGGGCCGTCAACGCCTCGGGATGCCCCCGGCTCGCGAGGGCTCTGAGAAGGAAATCCAAATTATGAAGGGAAAAGTTACAACAGTTCGCCAATGCATAACATTGCGTATTTGGCTTCGGAGCTCGAAAATAAGCGAAGAGGAAGACTTCTATCTTCTGGAAGATCTGGACGCTGGGATCCCAACTGGTGCGCACGCCATCTTAAGGCGGAGTAGCTCCATTAATGCGGAGATGAATCCTGATAAGCATCCATCGCTGTCCCCTATTTTTGGGTCACTGAAAACTAAGGGTACGATAATGAAAGCATCAAATGAGAATGACGCAAGAAGCTAAAATCTTCATTAGTGGATAAGGAAAAGGAAGATAAAAGGCACGCAGAGGGCGGGTCAAAGGCTTTAGAGGCGGAGAACAGGAGACGTGAAATTGCGTCTGCGCTACGTCAGCCTGCGAGGGAGAGCAGGGGAAGCCAAGATCCAGGAGCTCGGCGGTGATACCGGCAAGGCTGAGATTACATGTGTACCTTGATGATGCATTCTATTGGGTTTCTATCATATTGCGGCGGCTTAGGACGAAAGACATTAGTTAACATGCCAGCCTTTTCTTAGCCACTCGTCTATCCCTCGGTATTTTCTTACACCCTATAAACCGCGTTCATTTTAGGGTCCGGTAGCAGATGTGATGGCGTAGGCTACGAAGTCAGAGCTTCGGTGATGTCCGGTTCAGTGTGGCCTGTCCCTTAGAACAGCTGCTCAATATGACCAGCAGCAGTGACCGCCACGTGTTAGGCTGTGGTTGGTGTGTTAGCTCCCTCTAAGCCTTGTTATGCGCGTTCGAATGACGAAGACGAGGCTGAGGAGGGCGAGCCTAGCTACCAATGATAATTTAGCGCCTACCGCGCCAGCAAGGCTGACGTCCTTAGCTTTACGAAACTTGCCACGACTGCATTCAGTACGTTGTCAGGAGATATTCGTATCGTAAACCTAACAAGGGGTTGTTTTTTTGAGGCTCAAATGGTACATGATGATCAAGTGCTTGCTATAAGGCACCTTCACGCCCGGGCTTTTCCATGTGACAATGTTTCTGAGGATATGTCCCACTATTTATTTTGCCCTCAGACCCCACTATAATGTCCTGGATCACCTTTGGTAAGTAATCTATGGACCCATCCTCCCCTACTTAATTCCATCCAAACAATGCTGATTAGGATTCTTTTGCGCTAGCACCCTGGCAAACGCAGGACCAGACTGAGGACGAAAAGCCAACGCACAGCCAATCATACAACCAGGAAAACGTAATCAGAGCCCCACAGTTAACTCTGTTAGATGGCTTGGCAACCAAATCTAACCTTTAAAAGGCACAGTGCCGGTCAATGGGAAATTCATCATCTTCGTATTATAATGAGTCCAACAAAATACTCCTGGCTATATATTCCTGTGGCCGAATACTTCATAGCACTGCATCTGCAGTTCTGCCATCTTTCAGCTTTTTTGGGAGGAAATCGGTGAGATTTGCAATACCTACTACTTGTTATCTTCGCATCAGAAATGAAGTACTGAAACATTACTAGGAGCAGCAGCGGGACGAGCCATCGCAACTGCAACATGATGAACAAATAGTGGAGCAGTGCATTACTGATAAAAATGACTACGTATTAGTTCAGAACGATGAGCTCTCTAAGGGACGCGAAGAACTAACAGAGTCGCTGAACTCTGCCTTATCACACGATTCGCAGCTATTGAAGGAGTTGGATCAGTGCGACTTTGTCTATGATGTCATGGCCGGTCCACCTGGAAAGAATCAGCTGCGTCGATGTATGATGCTCAGCTTCCACGCAGATACTAACATTATATCGAAAGAGGCATATTTGAGACTCGGGACGAGCATCGAGCCTTATTTAGGGGCTCCTATCCCAGTTTTGGGACTTCAAGATCGCAAGCCAGTTGGAACTGCAGAAGTGCAGTGGTCTTTTTGTGGGCGCAGCAAGCCTTACCGGACAACGTTCTACGTTGTAGAAGAAGTTGAGTACGACCTTCTCATCGGAAGACCTTCGATGCGGCAGCACGAGCTGTATAGAGTGGATCCCGCTATTGCGGAAAGGCTTCGTGATTCGTATCGACGTCAGTAGGCTCAACTACTTAGTGGAGGATGGGCGGCGGGACTTAGAGCTTGTCTGGACATCTTCTGGCCCACACGTCAATCCAGCTTGCCTTTCTATACGTCGGAAGGAGTCCCCACAAATGTTCTATTGGTAGCCTGAGTGCAATTGTGCCTTACAGATAGCCGGGCTCTGAATGTCAGGCATGTTCGGAATCCAGGGCAAATGCCGGTTCGATATTGGCGTAATGTTACTCTTCCTATTTTGGTTGAGTAGAATCGTAGAGACCCACTGTATGCCACACTACCCTATATGTAAGGCTGAAGCCCTTATTGGTGTCCAAAATCATGAGGCTTTGGATTGATCTCGAGACACCATGCAGGCGACCATTTTCCATTGACCGTTCAGATATATAATTGGCGAGGCATCCCTACAAGATCAGGAGGACACATAGCCTCCACAGCATCAAAATAAGTAAATGCCCTAGCGACTTTCTACTTTCGCCATCGAACAGTCGATGTCGCTTCTGCTATCAGACCACTCCTCTCGTTCTGTCTCTTCCCTTTCCTTCTCTTCCTGTACCCAAAAGCCCTTGGCACGCCTCCTAGTAGCTTTACATACTCAACGCCGACAATGTCGACTCCCATATCCAAAGGCTACGATAGACTGGCCGCTCTAATGGCCCGCGACCCCGGGTCCTCCATCTATCGAAGTTTTTCCAAGCTTAATGCAAAGAACCTGCTCTATCTTCAGGCAGAGATTGCCTACATTCAAATTGACCTCCAAGATATCATCGAAGAGGACGGTCAATCCGAGGATAAAGTCTCATTCCCGTTCTCAGTCTGGGACATGAAGAATTCAGAGGATCCGGTTCAATGGGAGAAGGTCCTCGAAGCACGCAAGTTATTGAAAGAGTATAGTACGTCCCCAATCTTCCTTTCTTTTTTCTATCTTGAAAGCCATGTTGTATACTTTCTCGTCAATGTTTAGTCTCCTACATCCAGTCCTCCCCCTTCAGAACTTTCGCAAAAGCTTGGTCGGCCACCACGGAAGCACCGTGGTTGCTAATAATCATATATACAAATAATAACTTTCAATTTATCCTACTGCAAACATTTCACTAACAGGATTAAATTGTAGACACAGCCCTACTCCAACAAGCTCAACTCCTCCGACTCAACGCGCCCGAGAAAGCCGACCTAGAGGTGTTCCAAGCGTGGCTGAAAGAAGAAGAAAGCAGAAATATGTGGTTTTCGCCCCCAGACCAATGGCGCGGAGAGAACGAGAGCGACTTGGTAGCATTGAACAGTCGACATGAGGAGACGGATCGTTTCACCCGTTTTGTCTATACACGAGTCCTTTCGTGGTTCCATCGGATGGTGGGGGTCAAGGATACCGTACGTTATGCTTTTCGTACCGTGTCATTGAGCTCTGCCCTGATAGTAACTAACCTTGTCACTAACGCACACATTCTACACCAGAAACGAAAAGATATCGAATCTGGCGTCTGGTACTATAATGACCGTACAATCAAATCTTGGACGTATATACTCAGTTTGATTATCTCAGGGTTGCTTCCTGCAACCTCGATGATTGTGTTGTATTTCCTGAAAGATCCGGCGGCAATATTAATCACTATCTGCGTGTATGATATGGTGTTTGTTCTGGTAATGGGGTTGATGGTTAAGGCGAGACGCGTGGAGATCTTTGCTGCCGCCACAGCGTAGGTTACCCTCAGATTCAGATTCTGTCCTCTCTCTCCTTTGCCTCCGTTTCCTCGTGAAATATGGCGCTTGATTTGCTTTGCACTAACGGGACTAGGTTCGCTGCCGTGCAGGTGACTATGATCACGGCTGGTAAGAGCAATACGTGAGCTGGGAGCAACACATTTCGATATAGACGATTAGATGGATAAATGGCGACAATTTACGCAGATGAGAACGACCGGAATACTACTATAATTTTAGAAAGCTAAACAGACTTGGGGAAGCACCAGAAGATTAGGTCGCCCTCTTATAACCATCTTTCATAGAACTTCTCGGTGAAAGCGGACACACGTGGTATTTCGCTGTTCTAAACTGAGGAGTATAACATTTCATGTTATTTGTTTCGGACATCCATAATATTCAATCAATCACAAAATAGTCTATAGAATCTGGCTTCTCACTAACATCCGGCATATTCTTGAGCAACCAGTCAAGCAAGGCACCCTCGGGGAATTGAAAGTCAAGCACCAAGGCAAACTTAACTTAACTAAGCAGAAGGACTACTCTCTGCCACCTGCTGCTGCTTAGAACTCTGTGCCTCCCGGCTCGGCCTCGCATCACTGAAGGCAATACTCAACTTCTGATAATCCCAATTCCGTGCAAAGAAAAGAAACATAAATGTCAAAAGCGGCACCATGAGGATATCAAGAATCCCAAAGAAAATAGTGGCTTCTGTGATCCCAATAACATTCCCCCCATCACTCAAACCCCAGGCCACAGGGTACAACAACCAAAGCAGGTTGCACCACCCAGAGAGAATAATGTAATCACGATCCACCCCAAGCCGTTGCGCGGCTTCCCGACTCTCGTTTATAGTGCTCATGGCGAGAATCACCCAGGATAGGGTTCCAAAAGCGAAAAACCCCCATTTGTAGGTTGAGGGCGTGTATGCGGACACGAGGTAGCTGGTGACCCAATAGCAGGCAAGTGCGATATTGCAGATCATGGTCGTCCATGAAACCCCTGAGACGAGGCCGAGTGCGAGAGCGAGCGAAGGGAATGCAACAACCCAGTTGATGTATTTCGCCCAGAACATCTGGCGTATTGCTCCGTTGTCGAGATTGTTGACTTGTTCCACAGCGCTCCAGCCGAGATCAGAGGCTTGGGCGTAGTAGGTTATTGCGCCGACTAGTAGGAGAAAGGTGAAGAGGTAGTGGAATACTCGTTCACTTTCTTTTCCGGAGAAGGACATTGTCAGGAGGCCAAGCTATGTTTAATGTTAATAGGTGAAATCAAAACTAGAGTACAGAGGGAAAATGACTCACGAATGATACAATATAGATGGCTGTGATAGCCCAAAGCCAGTCGGATCCATGCACAGATAGGGCTTCATCAACGCCGGCAATCGGGTTGACGTTGAGAGCATCGTTTGCTCGCATGAAGAGACTCATTGTGGATTCGAAACTTTCACAGTGAGGAAAAGAGAACGGATAGATTGCTGGTGATAGAGTTTGGGGGAGAGAGTAAGTCTCTTTTAAAGCATTCTATCAACAAGCAAAGTCTCAGGAGACAAAGCTTACATTGTATTACATTGTTTAGACCGTGGAAATAGGTTTTTCCTGCACATCGTATATCCAACAGGTAATTGTTCGGAGAAATAACTCAGTATGACATTAGTTGGGTCTCAAAGTTTAACGTCCATGTACAGGCACAGTTTACCCGACTGTTTCGCCGAGATTAATCCCGATGCATATTAGCGCCGAGTATAGCCACGGCCTCGTGGAATTTATAGTCGTCTAGCGGTAGCCTAAGAGGATGATATGTAGGTACAAATTCAACATTATTGGTTGTTACGGAGTTTCATTTTTTTTGGCCCCTACGCTGAACGAAATGCTCATCGCCCGAGGCTTTCTGACACCCAAGAGAAAATTGTTATACTGTAGCGTGTCAAGAAGTGATATTTGGGGCAAGATATCACGAATTACCGACGCTATCACAAGTGATCTAACTACTCGCACCCCCCTCATCACCAAGCCCTACCATCACCGCTGTTTTTGAAATACATGATCGCGGTAGTAGATCCAGGTAGCTTTGCTCGTGATTATTAACATTCTTGAGCTCACGGAAAATATGAAACAAGTCCTGGATGGGCGATTGGACGGATATGCCATTGTGTATGTTGCTGTAGAGAAACTCGGCGCAAATGAACAATGGCATGGGCATCAAAGGGTGGACCTACAAAGGAATTGTTAAAAGCCGGGCTTTTTGAAGAAAAAGATCTTACCTTAGAAAACGGCAGCTCGGGCAGTGTCGTTGCCAGACGGATGATATTCTTAGACGCTTCTAAGGCTCTATGCTCATACCTGAATTCGCTGTTCTGCGTGAAGTTGCTTGGCGCGTCCGACTGGATCATAGTTTTGCAGTAGTATATAACAGTAGCCTGAGCTAAGATGTGCGTAAATAGTAGTAAGTGGTCATTGGATTCTGTCGGGTCCGGGTAACACTGCGAAAGCACCTGAAATCGGCTCAAGAGGAGTCTGTCCAGCCATTGCCGCTGTTCCGTCCAGTCGAGTGTCATATCCCCGTATGCCTTGGATATTTGACACTGTTGTCTTTGGAAGAGACTGCGACCGCATATGGTAACGAGGATGAGGCACTCGGTGAACGACGATCGGACTTGGAGGGTTGAGTCCGTCATAGCTTCGGATAGGAACGGTCCTAGTTCCCGATATCCGTTCTGGAATTTGGAATCCGACGCTGGAAGACGGGTGCAGATCTACAAAATTGAATACAAAAACTGGATATAGTAATGGGCTGGGATCATTCTTACCACATGCTCATTCAGAGTGATTGGCCAGTCGCCGCGCATACTGATGATATGGTCCAAAAAGTACGCCATCCAGAACACTCGACGTCTCTCCTCGACCTCAATAAAGTCATCACGCTGAGCATAAGCCGAGCCTCTTTTGCCATCTAGGCTGTCGAGCTCATGATAGTGCATGGCTTGCACGAAGCGAAACGCACTCCCGGCGCTCATCCATGCCTGTCGATGATATGTGCGCATTGACTCAAAGGTCACGAGAAGAACCCAGGCTTGGCCGATTTCGGTGTCAATATTACTGTCCTCATTTGCCGCAACAGTGAGTTGGTCGAGCATGCGCTTTGTCTCCTGATACAGCGGTTCTATCATGTCTCGGAACTGGGTGGAGAGCAATGCGGCTAGTGTCCACATTGCATACTGTAAGCATCTACGGGGTTCCGTTTTGGTACTAGATTTGGACCAGGACATGTACCGTCGCTGATGGAGGATTGGGATAGAATTATGGACACGGTCTAGGTAAAGCTGGTCTCTAGTCATAATTAGCATTGTGTTTTGATTCCTGATTGAGGTGCTTACAATTCGTCCTGCATAAGACCGGTTATACTCTGTATCGGCGTGCTATGGCCGGATATAATTGGGCCAACGGAGGACCGTTGAGAGAAAGAAGGTACACCGGGTGTCAAGTCGTGTTGTAGAAGCCCCTCGTGCTCTGAATTGGAGGTCACCGTACCCGCGGAAATCCAGGGCTCAGATGTGCCAACTTCAGCCGCATGGCCCGCCCTCACCAAGGGTAGTAGCGACGGATCACCAGTATACTCGATAATGGCGTGGAGATCCTGTTGCGTATCCTCTGCCGGCACGCTGTTCTCCAGCAAGGCCTCCAGATACACGAGTCGGTTCTTCAGATCGCGCAAGTGACCTTTTTTAGGTCCTCGCGCACTGCGCTGGGTCAACTCACAAGCGACTCCCGTATCCAGACAGCGTCCACATTGAGGTTTCTGTCCGTCGCAGCGCAGTTTCCGGCGTCGGCACTCGTCACAGGCGATACCCCTACGATGGCGGCGAGTCGCAGCTGAAGGTTGGCTCATCTCCGCGTCGATGTTAGCTTTCAAAACTGTATTCCGGATATGTGCGGATTTTTAAATTATCCTTGTATGGGCAGAGGACAAGGCAGGGAGGATACTTCGGTCGTCAGCTTGTCTAAGCACTGTCACATAGACTAGCGCCTAGCTAGTGCTGACGAGTAGCTGCAACGCAACCATATCTAGTTAGACACCTTTAAAGCAGTGCCATTCAGAACAAGACGCTTAATTAGATATTCCGAGGCTCTAATTAATGTTCCGAATAGAAAGGAACAGGAAAACTTGCCCCTGCATGACGGACAAAAGAGAGATCTAGGCCTGTTTTCTTTTATTTATATTGGTCTGCATGCCGCTGTAAGTCAATTAACACATTAAATCCATTTTAAAAATGTGAAATGCAAATCACTTCCTCGCCGGCAAGCGCATCATTGTGGTCGGCGCCAGTTTCGCCGGACTATCATTCATCAACGCTGTCAACCAGCATTGGAACCGTGCCTAGAGCGACCCGAGATAACGGTCATAGAACAAAGTGAACGCGCAAAGTCAGCTAACACTCCACTCTCAACAGCGGTAAAATTTACGTCTGGAGAGACAATTAAAAGCTGCTGTTTGGCTTTTGTTTCCCCAACTTCCGCTCTAGCTGCATTGATGATTTCTGTCTGGTGTTTAATTGTTTCGTTGAAGCTGGTGAAAAACCGTCGGGCATCCTGGTTCCTCACTCGTCCGTTGTTCTCCCCGCTGGTTTTGATAAGTGATAATAATCTAGCTTTACGGCTTTGAATGCTGCAAGCTTGCTATCTTGTTTGCTATGACAAACAAATTCAGATGTCAATCCTTGACCCTTTGCACTGGCGTCAGTAATGAATGCACTAATCTAGTCATTATATTGATTAGCAGCTGAGCTCCCCTAAAGCACAATCACCCCAACTCACCCCCGGTCGTGCGACCATAAAGCGGCCTCACCCGCACAGCTCCCACCCGCCTTCTGGCCGCGTTCAAGCCACACGCCGGGAGGTCAGCAAGCCCAGCATAACTCCAAAGTATTGTAAGTCTTGGAATTATTCGAGTAATGTATTACACAGTATCTGAAAGCTTTGGCGGAGATCCATATTTAAAAGTAAATAGTCTACATAGTACCAGTCAAGCCATTTCTTAAGTCAGATCCGGATATCTTCTGGTAAATATAGTAAGCTAATCTTCACGGACTATTTAATATGATATTTGCATTTCTATTCACACTTCTCTCTATTTATGCTAGCACCGATAATTTATATATATAGTTAATATTTTATTTTTAAACATACCAAGTGCTCAGTCCCGGAGCAGAAGCTACCAGAGTCTAAATCTCTTAATATTAAGATGAACCGAATCCTTATATTATAAAAGTCTTTCAATATTATATATAAATCCGGGCACGACTAAAATAAAGATTAGTAAGGGGATCCTACCCGGAATAATAGAAGATACATCCCCTGACTGTCCAGATATAGTTGGTAATATCATTATTTAGTTAGCTGCTGAGTATACGAAGTAGCTAGGGGAGAGGTAAATCAGCTGTCTATAGAATATAGAGAAGCTCAGGAATAAAAAGACAAGATGGAGATAGACAAGCTTAAAATAAGAATGGCTTTCTAGCCCTGTTGCTCATGGTCTACTACATATGGTCCATGCTACAAAACCTGTGAATTGTCTTCGTATATGTCCATTTTGTGTCCATATCCCAATCCAGTAGATGGATAAGAATGACAATATTCAATTTAGCTACTCTCTGCCGGCTGTCACTCGGAGCTTGAAAGCTTTTCGTTATGGACTGATGAAGTTTGTAACTGATTGCATGATTCACTCTTTTGACTGCAATATCAGCGAGATGCATTGCGACATTCCTGTTGGCGATGTAGATAGTGTCCGACTCAAAAGCACTGTCAGCTTATCGATCCTTGTTGGCTAATCTACGCTCTTATTTGGGTGCTCCTTATTTTACCAAACACAACGGGCAGAGAATATCTAGCTCTGAATATCATCAATCTCCATCTAACAAACTTGTATATGAAGACAATTGAACAACAACTTCGGCGTGCAGAAAGCGTCAATCTTTCTAGCAGGGCACTGGGTCTTTCTCCACAGCAGTATCAACGCCACGCTAACACTCACCCAGCACAAATACCGCGTCAATGCTGACGTGTTAATTGCCGAGAACTATATCGCAGGCAAGCCCTCGCTCAGCCACTCCGGCTTCTGGGCCGAAGCCCCTTTCTTCGCTCACCGTCAGGTCCAGAGCTCATGGTTCGAGAGTCTTCGGTTGGCTTTCTCCGACGCGCGCTACATCTCCTTCAAGCGTGCAGACTCAATTTCCCCGCCGCTTTGATTCCCCGATTTCCATTATGAAATAGGCTACCATAGAGTCATTTTCGTTCTCTTGCACGAGCAGTATACCGCCCCAAATCGAAAAGCCAATCTCCGCTCAATAGCCAATAGAACCATTCGCGCAGCCTTCTGCATGGCAGCGGCATCATGAGATCAGCAAGGATCTGGATTCGGGGGTCACATAGGGCTATGGTTTCTTCTTGGATAATTCACCCGGACTGTACAACCGGGCAATTTTGGCTAAATCGAATTTACGCAAGTCCCTGCATTGACTTGGCAGATTACCAAGATAGCGCCAATGCAGGTTGAGCGGGCCGTCCGGCCGTCACTAGGCCAATCCCGACAGACCCTTCGGATTCCATCAGATTCATCTGCCGAAATATATGGTTGCACGCAGCCTTCTTCAGGTATCCGTGATTATTCAGTGTGCTCTCCGCATCGATTTAGGGAGATGTCTCAGCGCCACCGACCAATGGCTTGTTTAGTGCTCTCGGCATCCGCTTATACTTGCAACATTGGAGTGACGGTGACAGATGATATAATGCTGACGGAGCCCCTGTCCCAATCCAGAACGGAGTAATGCTTCATCTGGTAAGCTTCCTTTATCACTGAGGCCAGATCTATCTATGTTCAGGAACCAAGAATCGGAGTCAACATGGGAAAGACGGCGCTGCGTCCGAGGCCAACGCGGGATTACATCCGTGAACCAGAGGGACTGACAATATAAAGTCTGCTCGTCCTTCCAAGAACTAGGAGAATGGTTAGAGCAGTCCAAAAGAATTCGAGGTCTTTTTTATCGCCGTTGAGTATTTTAGTGTCAGGATGCACTATCCATTGTCTCTCGCATTGGCATTTCTGCCATTCGGAATCCAGGCTCAGCAAACCCTTTGGGGACAATGTGGTGGTCAGGGATATTCAGGAGCCACCAGTTGTGTGGCTGGCGCAACATGCGCAACTGTGAATGAATGTAAGGGTTCCTTCTGGGGATTTTGCTGATCGATAGCTGAGTGACCATGGCCATTAGACTATGCTCAGTGTACGCCAGCGGCAGGCACGAGCTCAGCCACTACCTTGAAGACAACTACGAGTAGTACCACCGCTGCAGTGACGACGACTACCACTACTCAAAGCCCTACCGGCTCTGCTTCGCCGACTACCACTGCCAGCGCTAGCGGCAACCCGTTCAGTGGGTACCAGCTCTACGTGAACCCATACTACTCATCGGAAGTCGCGTCTCTGGCCATTCCATCTCTCACTGGTTCTCTCTCCTCGCTCCAGGCGGCGGCAACCGCCGCAGCCAAGGTGCCTTCTTTTGTGTGGCTGTATGCTCCCTCATTCTACAATGTAATCTATAATAGCCTCTTGTTGACATTTGCCAGGGATACTGCCGCTAAAGTTCCTACCATGGGCGACTATCTGGCCGACATCCAATCCCAGAATGCTGCTGGAGCGAACCCCCCAATCGCCGGTCAATTTGTGGTATACGACCTCCCCGACCGCGACTGCGCCGCGCTCGCCAGCAACGGCGAGTATTCGATCGCGGACAATGGGGTTGAACACTACAAGTCCTACATTGATTCCATCCGCGAGATTCTTGTGCAGTATTCAGATGTTCATACCCTCCTGGTGATTGGTGAGTGTCTTCCCACTGGGTTCGGACATGGCCTACTGTATCTGAACGCTAAATGTCACCTCCCCCAACAGAGCCTGACAGTCTCGCCAACCTGGTGACAAACCTCAATGTGGCCAAATGTGCCAATGCTGAAAGTGCATACCTTGAATGTACGAATTATGCGTTGACTCAGCTCAATCTTCCCAACGTGGCCATGTATCTTGACGCCGGTAAGCTGCCTATCCATCATATCTACTTACTCTTCAAGTATCCACGGGGAGGGACCGCCGAGACACCCTTTGCATTCAGCTTCCCTGGCAAATTTCCCCTTTACATACCCAGCCCAGTCGAAGATCCCTCCCCCCTCCGATTAAACCCTCTTGACAGAATCTGACCAAAGAACTTTAGGACACGCCGGCTGGCTTGGCTGGCCCGCAAATCAGCAACCCGCCGCCGACCTGTTTGCGAGCGTCTACAAAAATGCCAGTTCCCCCGCTGCGGTGCGCGGCCTGGCCACCAACGTTGCTAACTACAACGCCTGGACCATTTCTTCCTGTCCCTCCTACACCCAGGGAAACAGCGTCTGCGACGAGCAACAGTACATCAATGCCATTGCCCCGCTGCTACAGGCACAGGGCTTCGACGCCCACTTCATCGTCGATACCGGTATGCGCAATTCCGCAACCCCCAGTAACCCTTCGCCCTGCCCCTGGCTAACATGTATCACTAAATTCCAGGCCGCAACGGCAAACAGCCCACGGGCCAACAGGCCTGGGGTGACTGGTGCAATGTCATTAACACAGGCTTTGGCGAGCGCCCGACCACCGACACCGGCGATGCGCTCGTCGACGCCTTCGTCTGGGTGAAGCCGGGGGGCGAGAGCGATGGCACCTCCGATAGCTCGGCCACTCGATACGATGCCCACTGTGGGTATAGCGATGCCTTGCAGCCGGCGCCTGAGGCGGGAACTTGGTTCCAGGTATGTTTACCGATCAAGCTCGTTGGCTAAGAATGAATTGGATGATGGGACTGACGTGATTGTGCTCGTAGGCCTACTTCGTGCAGCTGCTCACCAACGCCAATCCAGCTTTCTAGAGATTCCGAGAAGGAAGGAGAGGTGCGCCGGCGGCGGACTCGGAATGCTGGAGGAGCCATGGAAAGCATACCGCAATTACTAGCGCCGTGATGAGTTGTATAGTCAGTCTCCGAACACGCTTCGCAGATTGCTTGATGCTGCACGTTGTGATTTCTGCAATACCAAACTAAGTAGGATATGGGGATCCATTCGGTGCACGGGCTCGAGCATCGTTGAATATTCATTTCCGCGGGTAAAAGCAGCTGCTTAGATTCTGCTCTTCAATTTGCTGTGTATCTCTACCAAGTACTCCGTTGCTTTCCCTAGTTGCCTCCAAGATAGCGAGACGTAGCCTTTGCTTCCTGAAGGAATATGTCCGAAGGAAGCATTACCCTAAGCCATAATGCAATTATTCGATAACAATATTCACTAGTGCTTCAACCACTTCTTATGATTAATCGAACAATGGATACTGGTAAAGATTGATCCCTTTACTATCAATATCGGCTAGGAGTAGTACTAGTTAGTATCAATATATAGTCCAGGAGTGCTTTCTGCATGTTTCCACTCAGTTCAATGTATTCAAAATATACATAGTAAATTACAGCATCCTCCAATTTCGCGTTTTAGAATGAGAATATAAGAAAGATGTAGTGGGAATAAAGATCCGCACAATGTTAAAGCAGCCTCACACGCCAGCTCCCCCGGACATACCTGTCTTTCGGCCACGTACCAGCCAAACACCATCACCGAGAAAATCTTCTTGCAATTCTCAGTTGCACTATATATAAGTTCTCCGATGTAATAGACAAGTACATACGACCACAGGGTGTGGAAAACAGGGCTTCCCGTCCGCTCAGCCGTACTTAAGCCACACGCCGGGAGGTTAGTAGTTGGGTGGGTGACCACCAGCGAATCCCTTCTGTTGTATGTTTTTGGATTTTTTGTTCCGATCCCTCTTTTCAACCCGCTGCAGGAGGTAGAAAGGGGTCTAAACAGCCCATAGTGTAACAGCCGATGAGTAGAGAGGCAAGCGTGAGGTTTTCTGCTGGGTTATGTGGATCCAAGAAAGAGCATAAAAAGCAATAAACTTGAAGAAAACCCGTCAGGCCCATGTATAAGTCCCTTAATGGCGATGAGAGAGACTTCCAAGCATTCTGTGCGTCATTGAGATAATAACGAGTAGTTTTAATCATCTCCGCTCTGGCCCAGGAACTCAGGGAGTCTCGCAAACACATCCTCCCAATTCATCTTACCGCTAATGAGAGACTCGATAGCACCGAGGATTTCCTCTTTAGAGGCGCGGACTTGCTTTGTACTATCGCGCTCACGCAGCGTGATCGTTCCATCCTTCACAGAGTCGAAGTCGATCGTGATACCGAGCGGGATACCCAATTCGTCATTCCGGGCATACCTCTTTCCGATACTTGCAGAGGACTCATCAGCGCGGCAAGATATGCCTAGCTCACGGAGATCCTCAGTGATTCTCTTTGTTATGGGAACAAAGTCTTGGTGAGTGGAGAGCGGGACAATGAGAACTTTCGTGGGTGCCACCGAGATGGGGAGGGACAGAACCTGATGCAACACATTAGTTCAAGATGAAATAGGACGAAAAAGGTAGTCCGGCTGAGCTTATAGGAAGGAGTGACATACACCACGCGCGGGATCGTTAGCACGATGCCAGTAAACATGCTCCAGCAGACTGTAGAAAATTCGCCCAAAGCCGAATGATGGCTCGATAACATTGGGGATGTATTCGCGGATGTTTTCAATTCTCGTTCTTTTGACGATACTAATCAAGTCTTTGGAGATCTCAACCTGTTCTGCCATCTCGGGGACAGTGACTGTAATGATACCCTTCTTTTCTAGAATTGTAGCGAGGGACTCCCGCTCAGACTGAGAGAGCGCGATCAGCGCCGCTTCCACAGCTTTGGCGTTTTTCTTGAAGAGTGGTCCCAGCTTGGGCTTGCTGATGTCAATTTGCCACTCTTCTACTCTCAGTGGCTCACGCCGAGGTTCACGGACGACGAGAGGCTCTTTTGTTTTCCTGGAATGGACGGTCAAATCGTAGGCGCTGCGATCCGCACATCCAACACATTCAATCCAGCCGTAAGTGGTCTGGAGCTCGGCGTCCCAGCAGTCAGTAGCATAATGGGCCATCTCGTTTGCCATGTGTTGACGGAATCGGACTTTATTCGTGTCGACGCCGATCTTCAGCAGAAATATGTAGATGCGGCCCAAAAAGTATCCCAGCGTCTCATTATCTACCATCTTACTGGACACTGCTTCTCCGATTGTAGTCTTCTGCAGAGTGGTCTTACCACCCAGCTGGGTTGCGCGATCGAGGAAGCTGAGTTGCAAATCTTTAACCAGGTCAAACTTAGCATGCTTCTTTCCACCTTCTGGATCGACGAAGTGCTCGATCTCAGCCATAAGGAATTCTCTCACGCGGAGCAGGCCAGAACGAGGGGAAATTTCATTGCGAAATGATTTTCCAATAGAAGCAGACGCAAATGGCATCGAGTTCTGGTTGTAGTCCAGAAGTTTCTTGAAGTTTAGGAACTGGCCTTGGGCTGTCTCTGGTCGGAGATATCCCGGGGAAGCACTGCTGGGCCCGACAGTTGTCTTGAACATGAGATTGAAGGGGACGGGTGATGATACCGGTGCGTCTCCATCAGGGTTCCGAATGTCATACTTCTTGATCAACGTGCCGAGCTCGGATCCATCGTAGTTATCGATCTAGGAAGCCCACGATAAGTAGTAGAAAGGAATGGCAAACCCTTATCAGCTCATACCTTGGCAAGAACCTCCTCGTATTCCGCGACGACAGCATCCTCCAACTTCATCGCCTTGATGTCGCTCACTCTGGGACCCTTCTTCTTCTTTTCCCCTTCACCATAAGCTTTGTCACCTTCAGCAGCAATGCCTCTGGCTACCTTATCACCCTTCAGTCTCGCCTCAAGAACCGTTCCAATAAGGTGGTCGGCCCGTAAGAAATCTCCCTTCTTGAAATCCTTGCACATCCAGTCCTCGAATTTATCAACATGACCACTGGTCTTGAATACTTCCTCAGGTGTTAGAATTGTGCAATCCAGTTCGAGCATATCTTCCTGAAGGACGAAGTGTTTCCGCCATAAGTCCACAATGTTTGACTGAAGCGCACACCCTGGAGGTCCATAATCGTAGAGGCCCCTGCTATCGCCTGTGAGATTTCCAGAGGTTCGGTAAATTTCGAAAGATTCGGTATAGAAAAGTCGACGCTTCAAAAGTGACTCAAAAAGTGTACGGTCGAAAGGATCGCCGTTGCGGGTTGTGAGTTCAGCCATGGCGATGACTCTCGAGGAAGTAATGGGTGGTGAGAGCAGGGAAGCCTTCCAGATGGATCGCTGACTCGACGCAACAAAGGCCCGCCGCCAGGCAGGGATTCAGGTGATGTGAATTGTCATTGGGCCAGACTCCGAAAGCGAAGGCCTCATACATGGCGGTCCGAGCGTCGTGCGGCTGCGGCTGCGGCTGCGACTGTTCAACATAGTAGGAAAAATACTTATAGGTACTAAATGTCATTGTGTCTATAACAATTATCTTATCATATAGATAGAAGTAGACCCTCAATTACACAATAATATACCTTATTAACAACACATAGAAACAAACTACCTTACTCCATTCAGACGCAACTTTCATACATTCGCGCTGCTCAGTGATGGGGCTGGTACTCAGATAAAGCCCAGTCATAGAAGGCATCTGTAATAGTAGAGTTCACTGTCCATCTTCGAGCGCCGCATCTCTTACCAGTCTAATGGAACCTGGCGAGTAAGATACGGCGGCATTGCACCGGACAAGACATCGAAATCAACGTGGACGGCACCGGAGAGATAGTCTAAATCGTCATTCGCCGCGCTCTTACCTGACCAGGGTCTCACAGTGGATACTATCCTTGAAGAAGTGAGTTGCCCTTCCCTATGCAGTGAGCCTCGCATGCGCCCCAAGGTTGCAAAGCCTAATTGGTAAAACTGGAGAAGATTGGCTCAGGGGCCATAGAAATTACCGATAAGCGGACGGCAAAGCTGTCACTGATGGCTTCCCAACCGCTTTCCATATGCTTGCTGGAGGGTTGCTGATCAATTCCTGGAAGATCAGGATGTACCCCGGGTAAGGTGAATGGAAATCCAGTAGCCAACGATATCCCTTGGTCAGAGGCGAAGGCATGAGTTTCTTTTTACAGTCAATAGTTAGTAAAAGCGAGACAAGAATTCCTTGCACATTTCGCACCAAGCACCATCCTTCAAGTTGTCTTCCAAGTCCGACTCACGACGATGGTTAGGCCCATTGGTCTAGCAGTGCCAGAAAGGTTACTTCTTTGTAGGGCAGTGGCGATCAGAGGAAACTCACATCCTGCATAGCCAAGTTTCAACGACACCCCAAGCCACACCCACTCGTAGTTTGGTGTTGAATCTAGTGGTCAACCTTCATATTATATGTCGGGCTTAGGATAAAGAAGCCAAAAAAGAAAGCAAAAACATACAACAGAAGGGATTCGCTGGTGGTCACCCACCCAACTACTAACCTCCCGGCGTGTGGCTTAAGTACGGCTGAGCGGACGGGAAGCCCTGTTTTCCACACCCTGTGGTCGTATGTACCAGACTATTTTCAGTGCAATATTATATCCTCCTTTTCGTATCATATCTTCACAGCACAGGCATTCATTTATCATCCTTCCTGAGCCTTCCCTACAAGTATAAACACATGCCAGCCATAGATATTATTATATACATCGATTCAAGTGAAAACACAGGACTATGGCCCTACTCGATTTACCCGTCCTTGACCTGTGGGGCTGAGCCCAAAAAGCTGCCAAGGTCTCTCGAAAAGAGAGATATAGTAGTGATTACTTAAAGGAAGATAGGTCTCGTTGTCAATCTATATTGCGGGTTAGGGATAGGAAGCAAGACCCTTCTAAGCGTTTTCCTGCTGAGCATCACAGCAATACTGATAACTTCCTGGGCTACAGCTTCACATAAAAGTCTTACGGGATCACTTGGCTTAATAAGTTTGCGCGAAGATTATTTCCAACCCTCTTCGGCGTCACGCTAATGGAAATCTTCCCTGGACTGGACTGATGCTCTCACATCTAAACGAGTCGCTTGGGTCGGTCGACGCACTGAAGAAGCCGCATAATCAGCCACACGACTTTCAAGCAGTTTACGAACACATATGATTGTGGGGCTTGCTATTGGATAAATCAAAACTAACAATTTAGAGCTTCGTCGACAGGTCTTTACTTTCATAGTTGTACGGCAGAGACCGTTGAGCTTGGACATATTCCAGCATCTGCTGCTGGTACAAGCGTTGAGCCGATGATAATAAATCTATCACAGAAAAGAAGTTGAATTAATCCTTGATTTGGATGGAAGGGCAAGTCGTCCAAAAATGTTTGTCTGGGAGGATGAAAGAGCACTATTTGTGGGTGGGTGCAGAAAGAAAAACAAAAAGAACGACCGAGACGTGACTCGAACACGCAACCACTGCCACATCCACCACCGGAAGGCAGCGCGCTACCATTGCGCCACCCGGCCGCTTTTGATGAAAATGGATAAAAGCTTTTGCAATATATTCCACAACAACTTGTACGACCTATGGAAATCAAGCATTTGATGTTCCTCACCATAAGTGGTGTACTTGCTCTCCAAATTAGTGCAGATGTGAGTTCCTAGCAGCTCTCTACGTGGGTCTTATCTAGTTACTATGGTTGTTGTGCTGAAAAATGGATTGAACCAAGAATACAGTGTCGCCACTGTGCTACTGCTAGTACTCGGTAGGTCCGAATATATAATGCACAGGACAGTGTATAGTATGCTGCCCCACCAGGTGTGAGATTGTCGTGCCATTTCCCCAGACACTGACACTGTCATCACCAACCGCCATCCTCCGTTGAATAATACCGACCAGTAACATTGTTAAATACTAAAATAACCTGCAATGGGAGACCATGCGCAGCCTTGAGACCTACCACAGTTGGCAAATGATGGCCCTATATGTCGCAAATAAATATGGATGGCCTTCCATGCATCCCTTTGATTTTACCATGCCACAGTGAACCCCACAAGCGCTATGTGCTTTGCGTCCGATAAACTCGAGCTTAGAAGACACCTGGTATTCGGAGGGAGATCATAGACCATGATCGAAAGCAATGATCCTCGCCTAGGAAGAATCGGTAGGGCTGAATCCCACAAGCTTAGTATAGACATATCCTGGCCGCACTCTTAGCTCACTGCATCTGTTAAATGATTAGCGAAGATCACTCCTGGCCACGTAAGTACGCAAAGATAGACGTTCTAGATCGCTCGAAGTAGCTGACTTTTATAAGCTAAAGAACCTTCGTAGCCAGTATCGACCAGGAGGGAAACAGATCGCACCGTACCATGTTTTAGATACGGCAGGTATCAGTCCGACAAACGGAGTGACCCGACCAGACCAATTCGAAAGCTAAGAACTGGGGAACCTGGAGCTCAGTACCTAGCTGCATTCACTTCCCCTCTCAGCCACCAGCCTAATTAGCAATCTTTGTATTACTCTCATCCACTCTCCCCATCCTCCTCGTCGACCCCTCCATCACAACTTCATCACCCCCCAATCGTGTTTCCCCTCATCCCCCAATTCCAGAACAATCTTATCACCAAGAATCTCCTCCCTACTCCAAAATGACCAGCGACGAACGTCACGAAGAGACCGGTCGTATGTATCATCACGTCCATCGAACGCACGATCATACTAACACAAGACCAGAATTTGGCCCTGTCCCTATCCCCATCGACACTTTGAAAGACTTCTACATGGGCGTCCTCACTAAGATGGAAGAAAGATACCACAAGCTCCCCAAGGCTCTCGCGGTCGAGCTCAAGTTCAAGGATAATGCCGGAGAAGGCCGCTTCTCGCTTGAATTTCTCGTGAGTAACACACCTGCGTCCCTATGAGATAACCAAAGTCTGACATCTTGGACGTGCTAGTTGAGTGCCACCGAGGAGACCACCGCAGAACAGAGAACCACTACCTTTTCCACTATTCTTCATACAATGTCGGAAGAGTCGAAGTTTGAAGGATTGAACATGGACATTTGTGTCAAGTGTATCACTGTCTGAGATGAGCTGTGACAGATAGATTGATGGGGCGGGCTTCATCTATTGAATCGATCACGGACAATCTCGTGTTCTTATGGATTTGTGCATACTTCGGTTACCGAAATACCGGCTCAAGAATGGCTATTGGGTAGTGGCAGAGAGTGGTTTTGTCCTTGTGAGGATTGTGAAGCTCTAGGATGCAGGCCATACTAGTGGAGGAACTATCAGCAATGCCATATGCCGTCTCTGGCCTGAAGGTCGAAAGTTAGTTGATTGTATGAATCCATTCTCTACAGTCTCCTAAGATCACACAGATACAAAAATAGGGATTCTCCCTGGTTAAAGTCATACATAAGCTCCCCTCTTGAAACATACTAGGCGACGACAAGACGTCCATATATCAATCTTAAACCCACATAATCAACCCTTTGTTGCAGTCTGAGATCCAACTATGTAGTTCACAAGCAAAATACTCATTTATTCATGCTTAGACAGCCCATATAGCACTGATGCCGCCGATGCACTTAACCAGTCACGGCAGAGTAATGGTTCGATAGCGGACAGAAGATTCACTGGAATACCTCGCTCTCTGGCTTGTAGGACCAACTATCGGGTGGTACTCCCAACGCTATTGCTGCCGAAAGTATCATTTTCATAATATCAATTCATATTAGTTCAGTCGAGCGCCATAGGCTGGGGATTAATGTGTCGTTACTCGGTTAATGAGGTGTTTGGTTGTTCCATCTAGGTCAGAGCCGATGCACTGTGTGGGTAGAAAAACTTGCGACCGAAGAAAGGCGCGGTAGTATAGACACCAAACTCTGTAGCTTGAGAAGAAGTAAAAACAACTATAAGAAGAAAACACTAATAGAATTAGACTAGAGCATGGCGTAGGTAAAGCGCTAGAGAAACAAAGTAAAAAAGAAAAAGAAATCAGATAGCATGTCCTGGTTTCGATCCAGGGACCTCCGGGTTATGAGCCCGGCGCTCTTCCCCTGAGCTAACATGCTGGGTGTTATGAATAATGCACACTTTTCTAATACTATCAAGCAAAATGTGAGACACGCGAATGGAGGCTGGTAAATAGCAACAGCTACATTGACAGGTGGTTGGTGCTGTATACGCGAGAGAATTGGTGGAACTTCTCTTGAACCTTATTACATTGATTGCATCTCATGCTATGAACAATGAAAGTCAGCGCAGTTAATTTCTGAAGATCGTGGATTTCAAGCTGTACTAAGATCTGCATAGATAGACCCTTATTGTGACCCACGAATCCATCATCGTACGGATGCTATTCGCCTATTTCGATCTATTACCCCAGCTGGCAGGCAACAACCGATGCCCCTTACTTATGATGGCCAACTGCTGCCTGAGCAGCCCCACTACTCTGCGCATGGCAGTAACACCGCCGAGTATAGTCCGAGTGGTGCCTCGCTCTGCCTTAAGATTGAGCCTTGCAAATTGGTGCAGATGCCACCATCGACACCATTTAGGTGCATAGCAACGGCGCCATCGATCGCGATCAGCTGACCGAGTCTTATTATTTATATTTCTGCCGTTGTTCCTTGCCGCTATTTTCTTTGGCCAGAGTCCTGTCTTTCTATTCGGGAGACGTTCTTTTCTTTCTTCAGCCACTACGAGCAAAGTGCCTATTGTTTACTCTTCGCATTACACTTTCTCCACAAAGCCTGACGGCAGCTATGAAACTTCGTTCATACATCACCTGGTTTGATGATAATGACTACATCGGTCTGGAACTTGCGTTCCCAGGCGGTTCTACCTGGAAAATAGAGAGAAAGATCAAAGAAGCCGAAAACTTGCACACTCAAGGAGAATATGAGATTTGGAAATGTACGTCACAGGCACGAGCTACGTTTGTATGCAGCAAAGTTGCTGGAAATGGTCCACCCACAGCCCTTATTAAGATTCATATGCAGTACGTCTGCCCTACTTACTGTGCACAGATGGCTTTAAAGTAATTACAGAATGCAGAATTCCGTTCTTCAAAACGGCTACCGAGGAGCCTTCAGAACGCGCTAAGCAGGCAGACCCTGAAATCCCCCACCTAGCTAGTAGCGAGGTCAAAGCTCTCACTATTCTGACCGAGTCAAAATGCTCTAGCTCACCATATTTGATTGACTCGATGCACCGACAGCAGACTGATGGATGGGTACCCGGGGGCTATATTCATTATAACGCGATGGAAATGCTCCCGGGTGTAACTGTGTGTGACCATTATGATGGTATGGAGCGTCAGGAGCGTGATGAGTTGCGAAAAGCATTCAAAAAGGCCTGGATGTAGGTTCTCGAACAAACTTGCCATACAAGGAAGCTGATCCAACCTCGTTCGCATATCCAGTGAATGTATGTCCTTCGGGGTGGAACACGGGGATTCTGCCTCGCAGAATCTTATCTGGGATAGAGAAAGGCAGAAGTGGTCAGTAATCCCCCTTTCTGCTCATATATGATCAGAAACATTCACTATCCCCTGGATTTTGCCACTCGCGTACTTATAAACTCCTTTGTCTAGTTATTTGATCGATTTCGAGAATTTCCATCCCCCGACTAGCAAGTCTAAAATCTGGCGGGATATCCAATATATAGGATGGCATCTCGCACAAGTCGGCGATGACTATGACTATGATGATATGACGAACTGGATATTATAAGTCACATTTCTGAAGACATGCCTGATAATGAATGACATTATCCTTTCCCTTCCTTTCATTATTATTATTTGATATACACTAGCGCAGGGAAATAATGAATCCTTATTAGCATACTGCACTATGCTGCTGCAAGTCAATGGAGCGATATTCGTAGGAAAACAGCTGAGAGATTGAATAAAATGACTGCATAGAAGACGGCAAGACTGTGGCTTCGACTAGTGAATATGGCGCTTGAACCACACGTTGTTTAGGAGAGATTCTGTTAGCGTGCTTAAACCGAAATAAGCTTGCGTATTTTCCCTGCTAAAAGATACATCGAGGGAGCTTATAAGACAGTGTTGAAATGCAGGACGCAATGATCAAAGAAAACGAAAGTATGCACATACCATGGGACTAGTCAGTGTGTTAAACGTACGTCAGATTCTCTGTATAAGTTGTGTCAGCTCTGTTCAACCCTTGGCAGTGAATGTCATGATGATGATGATGATGGAGCTAATGTATTTCTACACAGGAAAAGAAAACTGAAGGACTAAAATGGAGCCACGTGAAGGCTTGCCGAAAGCTCATCCCCCGCCTTTTCGCTTTTACACACAACAGCCATCAACAATTCTGCTAAACACTCCAATTTCACAATTCGACATCTTGACAAGACAGCTAACACCACCAGCTTCTCGAATTCTGGACTTTACTCATCATGATAATCCCTTCCAACATCATCTGGTTCGATGACGATGATTGGCTGGGCTTAGAGCTCTCTTTCCCAGCGGGTACACGTTGGAAAATCACGACAAAAATCAGGGAGTGCGAGGACCTATATACTCAGAAGGATCACGAAGAAGGCGGGATTGTCTCTGAGGCTCGTGCGGCTTTTGTTGCGTCAAAAGTTGCCGGGCAAGCTCCTTCGACAGCAGTCCTTAAAATCCACATGCAGTACGTGCTGTAGATATAGTGTGTTCTGTGCCTAGTAGATGACTGAACTGAAAAAGGGTATAGGGTACCATGGTGGGGAAGTGCCACTAGAAGGTCATCCACCCGGGCTCAACAGGCAGTTGCAGAGCCCTCAGCAAGGGGCGAAAACGAAGTTGAAGCGCTACGTCTCCTAACAGAAGCAGGATGCTCCAGCACCCCAGCTCTAATTGATTGGATGAATCGCGAACAAACTCAAGGTCATTGGATCCCTGGTGGATACATGCATTTTATTGCAATGGAGATGATACCGGGTGTCGATGTGTGCTCCGTTATTGATAATATGGATAGAGGTGAGCGGGATGAGCTGAGAGCAGCCTTCAAAAAATCATGGTTGTACGTCACCCACAAAGTTTCTCAGCGAAGCCTCAACCTAATCCAGCCATTGTCACAGGGAATGCATTTCTTGTGGAATAACAAACCTCGACCGTGGAGCAAAGAATCTTCGGTGGGATGCGGCAAGGAAAAAGTGGTAAGTCTTACGTGATGTGACAATCATTTGGGCAGCTGTACCCGACACTCCGGGACAAGACTGACTTCAACGATCTTCTAGTTATATAATAGATTGGGAGAGGCACTGTGATCCAGAGGAGGACGGGGATTCAACATGGCGTGATGCCAATTATTTATCGTGGCATCTGGCATGGAAGGGGCCATATGGAACACGCCATGATATGTCAACCTGGGACTTATGAACCTAGAGTTACATTAAACTCGACTCATTTACATTGTTAGATGCACTAATAGGGAAGCGATCTCGGGTTTCCTCCTCAGAAAAGGATTGAGTTTGATATGCGGTGGGCCACTTTCCCCGTAGCCTGTTTACTTGAACATCCCAGGTATATGCTCAGTGTTTCCCTTGCATAATAGTGTCAACGATATCAATCGTTCAAGCTATTATCTACATAACAAGCTAACAAGATCTATAAATACAAATTCGGCTGTACATTTACCTACTTACCCCCCGTCAACTTAACATAAGCGGACCCAAACTCCTGTTCCCACTTATCCACAAACTCCCGACTCATACCCGGAGCAATAACCGCATCCCCACGCTCCAACCCCTCCTTAAAGAAATCCATAAACTCCTCCACCGTCAGCGCATTAGGATTCTTATGCTTCTTATTATCATCGGGATCCTCCCGTTCCCGATGCAAATCCGTCCCCACCGACGGCGGCGCAACCTCAACAACCTTAATCTTATCATACCCGCCACTGGCCAACTGCGACCGCAAATTCATCGACCAGAAATGCAACCACGCTTTCGTGCCATTGTACACGGGATTAATCACCGAGAATGGAACAAATGCCAGAATGGAAGAGACGTTCATTATCATAGCGCTTTCTTTACTCTTGAAATGCTCCAAGAGCCCCAGAGTCAAGTGCATGGGTCCTCGGATGTTGATATCGATTTCCTGGTCGGCTTTGGTGAGGAAGTCTGATGGGTCATCTTTAAGGACTTGGAGGGGCCGCTGGACGCCAGCGTTATTGATTAGACAGTTGAGATCCGGGTGCTTCTTGAGCAGAGATTCGATGAATGTTGGTATTTGGGATGTGACTCCTGTGTCGAGGACGAAGTAATCCGTCGCTCCGATTTCCTCTGCTGTCCGGCGTACCGTGTTCTCGGTTCGGCCGGCGATTATGACTTTTTTGCCCTTTTGCAGGAGATAGGAGGCGATGGCTTTGCCTAGGCCGCCTCCGCCGCCGGTGACGAGGGCGCAGGAGAAATCCAAATTCGACATGGCTAGCAGTTATTTAGATTGATGAGATGCAATGTCAAAAGTATGTATGGTTGGTAGGTATGGCTGGGATTTGAATGTAGTGGATTGAGCAGAAAACTTATTTCACTGGTTGTGACGTAAGGTTTATTGCTCCAATCCAGATTCGGCAGATATTTTGTGTTTGTCTCGGACTCGGAAGCGGTTTGCCGAGCCTTCTCGCAAGCATGTTGGACCGCCCTCCGAGATTCGGTGTAACTCTCCGAGATCTCGGAAGGCTCTGAGGCCGAAATCATGCCAGCTGGGGATTGTATTTGTCAGACATTCCAGGGTCTTCCACTTCTCCAAATTCTCCAAAACTAGGCGTTGTTTGTACGTTTCCAAGATCAGGGTCTCCTTCGCGTCGCACACGACCACGGAGTATGGCCCACACCTGTGAGTAGTCGGTCTTGGTAAAGAAAGGGTAAGATAGCGCTGATTGTGTCTTCAGTTAGATGCATGTACGCATAATTTCATCAATATGGGGATTATGACTGTGTTGATGGATGGACACTAATTAATGACGTCAGATAATACCCATAAGCCTGTTTTTAGCACTTACGCAAGTTTCCAGTGGCACACACTCGGAGTAACACTAAGAGTTGCACTTACGCCCTGCAGAAGGGCAAGATTTCGCTAGATTCCTATGCACAACGAGAGATTCACTATTGAAACCTTAGAAAAGAAAATAATAATAACCAATTAATAGTAAGTATAACTAAGCTTTGCCCCATAGCGTCTAAGAACATCATCGTGAATTAACGTCAATTCTCAGTAGAAGTAACCTCAAAATCTCCTAGAAACATCCACTTCCCCTTCTTCTTTAGATCAGCCTCCTTCCACTTATCCAATGATCTTTTCGGGAAGAACCAGCCAATACCATCATCCTCCTCGCCCCTCAAGACGGGAAACATGCTGTGGTCATGAGCAATAAGGACCAGAACCTGCTCACTAGCGTCGAACTCCGCTATTCCATCCACAGTCCAGCAGCACTGGTCAGGATCATGAGTATACTCTGGAGCAGATATAAAGAAAGGCGTATCGGTACTTCCTGACTTGTACCCTGGCTGGGTGAATATATGACCAGGACAAATTCTCCCGTACTGCGGATGAGACGGCAATGGCGAGGGCTGAATGATCTCCGGGATAGGGCTCTGCTTGGATGGTCGGAACTCGCCGGGATGGTGAGCACAGTCCTGGTGAAGTGTTCAGTGAGCCCGGCTGCATCACTACACAAGATAGCATAGGGAGAAAGTAAAGTGGAAAGACCTACCCCTCCCATCAGAATAAACGATTCGGGCTGTACTCTCGCGAGGCCGCACATATGTTCTGGAGTGTGACCTGGTGTGTGCAGGAGATAGAAGCTTCCATCGCGAAACCAATCGATTGCTTTGAATCTTCCAATGGTTACCTTCCCAGGGTGCTGGTCAAAGTCCATCTCCCGCAGAGACCGTCCTCTCCAGTCGGACGATCTGACCGGCGCATCCGATTTTCCTGGGTATCCTGGTGCAAATCTGCTGGTGAAGGTTGGCCCCACGACCAAATCTGTAGTACCGGGAAATAAGGAAGGGTCACCAGTGTGATCAAAATGATAATGAGACCAGATAATGGCGTTGATTTCCTCCAATGGGACGCCATTCTCAACGAGAACGTCAGAGACGCTGTGAGGGGCGTAGACTTTCCAATCACTTTCAGGGTCTGTGCAAAGGTCCCTGAAGGGTGGAGCAAGATTCTGAAAGTCTTTTCGAAGGGAGAGGTCAAACAGTAATCTTTGTCCGGAAGGGTGAGTGATCAAAAATGAATACGATGGTACTGCCAGCCGGTCATAGCCAGGGATCTTGGGAGTTATGAACTGTTCTGCAGGAAGGTCCAGCCGTGCACCACTGCGTACATGGTTAGTGGAGTGGAAAGAATCAAGAAGGAAAACAGAAGCTGTACGTGTCCATGAGAGAAACCGAAACGGTCTCTGTAGAGGGTGGCAATTTGAGTTTTGACTGCAGAGCTACCATATTGATTCAATCAGTGTAGCATAGGGAGTGTATAGGTTTTTCCTATTGATGTTCGGAGAAGGCAAATGGTCGACTCCCAACTTGTGCTCAGTTACTACGAATCCTATGGTGCGAATAGAACAGCATTTGTAGTGATGCCACGGCGGGGTTTCCAAGAAGTGCGGCGTCATGGTTGCCACTTTCCACCCTAACAGTTCCGCTATAATAGGCTCACTATAAGCAGGGAATCCTGATTGACCGACCTGAATGTATGTCCTTCATTTGCCATGGTATGTGTGGAAATGCAGGTGCTTCATTCCAATGGCTGACCGGTATAGTGATCTTCGAGAATATTAATTTTCCCACAAAGTCGTCTGACATACTTCATTGGGGCCATTTACACCAAGCACTTGACGACCGTGTGAGAGTTTGGTCTCCAATTTGGAGAAGATGCAGATCGTCTACGAAATATTTATTGCTGAATTAGGCTAATTCGCCTGTGAGTAGACGATGGATTTGTCCCGATTTGTGCTTAGATAGCCGGTCCCCACGAGTTGGAGAAATGGATTATATAGTTGTTCGGTTCTCGCGGCCGATCGCTAAGCTTCCCCTCCGCTGTGGCCCCGAGAACTCTGTAGGTACTTCCAGAGCTGAGGCAAAAGAAACGCTGAAAGGCTTCCTGGAAAAGTTCTATTGACAGCATATTAATTCTCCAACTGCCGCAATTCTACTCATCTACGGGTTCCAAGTAACTCAACTATTCGTCATCAAATAACGGCATTCGAACTCCCATTCGCATATATATTAGTTTCACATCCTGTCTTCTTCGCTTCAATTATCCCCTACATGTACATAATGGGCATGCTCGGGTTAAATAATATAAATGTAGTTCTCGTGGGGACATCTGATCCCATATTCAGAAATAACTTTCTATTGGCATCCCAGAGGGAGAAGTTGAATACCATCATCACCCGAAAGAAGTTTATCTATCAAGTCGACATGTCAGAGCAATAACATGATACAATGTACAAACAGCTTTGCTGCTAATGATTGACAGTCTGAGGAAGGGGCAATTGTTAAACATTGCAGAGGAGGGGGAACGCCACTTTAATTGTGAGAGATGTCGGAACTATTCTATCGGCTACTAGTGCCATCATACAACGGTTGACCTAGATGATGCTAACGTACTTAAGGCAACCCTAGCGCAAAATTGAGCCAGCGAGGATGGTGAATCCTATCGTGCTACGCATCGGGGCCTCCCATAAAGTGAGCCATAATCGCCGGATTTCCAAGCTCAAGGTGGCTCGGTCAAATATAAGAGGATGAGGTTGGAGGGGGGAGTTAGAAACTAGATATCCGCTGTTTTAAGTAGTTACTAAATATTTGCGCGGTCGTCTTGCAGCTGTACGTACGAATAATGGGGTATGAGAGTCAATGCGGGAATGACTCGCAAGCAACGATTCTCTCAGATATAGCCTTTAGGCTATTTGACACTACCCATCTTGAAAAAAGCAATTGTTCTTTCTCGTCTCTGACATACATAGTCACCCTGCGACATATATATATATCCTCGCCCCCCGGAAAGCTGTCAATAAAGTGCTCTGATGATCATGGTGCGTACACTCGAGGTCCAGATTAAAAGGCAAAGACGATGTCGTACCCGCAACATAGCAGTCTCCACCTTAAATAGGCTCCGATTGCATGACTCGCAAAAAGCTTAAGGAGCCTGATGTGGGACGCCTCTGCATGACTGATAAATACTAGTATATCTGACTGCTGCTAATATAACGCAATATATCGCGACGATGTATCTACGATGGCATCTATAAGGCTAGCATTCGAACTGCGAATATTGAGCAATAACGCCAGGAGCGCTGAGCTGTTTCTATGCACTTCTTGAAACACATGCTGAGACCAGCAAAGAAAGCATATGGCTCAGGAGCTACCTAGTGGTATGAAGTGGACACGCCAGATGAATTAGCGCTGCCAGTCAAGGGAAGTACATGGCCGTGATGTGGTTAAGGTATCTCCCGGCCAATCACGAACACGGCTTCTGCTCATGGTGGCCTCACACGTATTAAGGAATTGTCTCACTGTACTTGCCTGACTACCTCGTGGTATCCTTCGATCATCTTCCACCTACGGTTAAAGAGTGCAGTAGTCTAAATGGGGTTTACTGACCACCTTCCAGTGAAAGAATGTCACTTGTCTCCTAATATATATAGTACGGGACATGGTCGACAAAAGTCAAACCTGCCATCTTCCATTAAACCCCCTACCAGCGGTAGAATTCCAAGGGGGCACACATTCCTCTGGCCGCCACACATGGGTTTTCAAAGGACCTTGGTTATGAGGATCTTCAAACCTGCTTCAAACCCGCTTCAAACACCTGCAGAACTGATCCTGCAGCACCCCACCTGCAGTCTGGACACGAGGAAATGGTTCCGGGTTGGTATTCCTAAACGGCAGTCATATCCGAAGATGAGCTCTGCGTGGGTCTGCAACGGAATAAACTCTGGAATCGGGGACTGGAAGACCACACCATTATGATAAACAATTCTCAATTCCGCAATCCTTTAGTCCAAAAGCAATTATCTTGTAGCTTTTAAGTATTGCAAAAGACGCAGGTAGCGCAAGACAGAATATAGATAGTTTCCAAAAGAGCCAAATGTGTTGTGTGAAGTCACTATAATTGATGTCGGACACCGTCGGAATTAGCAAGTCCGAGTATTTTTAGAGTTGAGCGAACCCGCATCGCGGACCATAAAATGACCTCCGATGTCCGACCCTGCGCTCCCTACAGGAATGAGGGTCCAATCTTAAGTCACTACCACCTCCCTGTTGGGCGAGATATCTGCAGAGTGTTTGTGGGGCTAGAGTACGTAACCACAGAGAATCGAGTTTATTCACAAGCCCTGCTGCTGCTGGTCACAGACTTAAGCCAGGGCAGCCAGGAGGGGTTGCCACCCACTCCACATGGGTTCTTTACACGCCGAACCATATATCGCGCAAGGTTCACGCAATGGATGTCGTAGACTCGCTCAATTTCAAACTCTGGTTTGAAAGAGGTGACGCCTCCTGAACGGACCTTGAAGGAAACTTGCATCCGATACCGTCTTTGAAGATGGATAAAAAGCAAGTGAATCCCGCTTCTTCAGCCAGGTCCCATCAATCATCATAACATTCCTTATCTACTCCCCACATTCGCTACCAAAATGCTTCCTAAACTCGCAACCTTAGTCCTCGCACCCGCCTTAGCGAATGGCGTTGCTGCCGCTGCCGAGCCCTTGTATAAAAAGCCGGTTAACATCCCCGGTTACGGCTACGTGCAAGGAAAGGCTGCTGTCAACTCCAGCGTGTCCGAGTACATTTCCAACTGGGAGAACATTTCCTTCTTTGGAGGTATTCCTTTCGGTGCTGATACCTCTGGCGCAAACCGTTGGCGCGACCCCCAGCCTGTCGAGCCCTGGAATGGCACTCTCAATGCGACTGAATTCGGTGCTATCTGCCCTATTACTCTCTCTGTCCTGGCAGATTACGCCCAGAGTGAGGATTGTCTGAACCTCAACATCTGGACTCCCGCTACTTCGGCCGATGAGAAGCTTCCCGTGGCCATCTGGAGTTATGGGGCCGGAACGGCGCCGCCGCAGACCACCTACAACGGTGCGGGTGTGGCCGACAAGGGAATCATCTTCGTCTCCTACAACTACCGCAACGGTGTATTCGGCTTCATGGCACACCCCGAGTTGACCGAGACTAACGGTCGCAACGCCTCGGGCAACTGGGGTGTCCTCGACCAGTATGCGGCGGTCAAATGGGTCCACGAGAACATTGCGGCCTTTGGCGGTGACCCAGATCACATTTCCGTGATCGGCCAGTCTTTCGGCGCTGCGGCCACATACCACATCGTCAACAGCGAGTTGACTGCCGATCTGGGCATTGTCAACGCTATCTCGGAGTCCGGTGTCCGCTCTCCCAATGATCCCAACACTGGTGTCTTCGAGTGCGCTTACACTACCTTGGATGATGCTGAGACCATGGGTGAGGAGATCGTGAACTCCCTGAACGTCAGCTCCATTGCCGGAGCGCGCGCCATTGACACCACCACCCTGCTTGACTCGACCAGCACCTACAGCCTGGAGGTGAAGCCTGTTCTCGACTACTACGCCATCCCATCCAAGTACATCAACACCCTCGAGAAGGGTGCCGGCAACAAGGTTCCCTACATCACCGGAAACAACGCCAACGAGGACGGAGCCTCCGCCACCGTCAGCACCACCGTTGCGGCATACAAGTCTAGCTTGAATTCCAGCTACGGCGACTTCGCCCCCCGGTTTTGGGCCCTCTACCCTGCTGATAATGACACCCAGGCTGGCGAACAAGAGGACCAGATCGTCCGTGACATGTTCCGCGTCAGCAGCTGGCAGTACATGAACGGCTTCTCCAACTCTGCCGACCAGGTCGACACCTACACCTACTACTGGAACTATGGCAGCGCTGCCCATGCCTCTGAGATTGTCTACGTCTTGAACAACCTGTGGGCCCAGGGTGAGGACTACTCCGAGGAGGATTACTATGTTGCCAATGTCATGAGCAGCTACTGGGCCAACTTCATGAAGACTGGCAACCCTAACACTGGCGGCTCCTATGACAACGGAACCCTCCCCGCCAAGTGGAATGCCAACTCACCTTCCAAGAACGAGACTTTCTTGGCCGGTGCTGTCTACGAGACCATGGATACCGCTGCCACTGAGCGTGTCCAGTTGATCCTGGATTACTTTGCTGCCCAGACTCCTTACTAGTGTCGATATATGAAATTTTCTTGTCGCTCGTTTATCCTGTCAGTTGAGCCAACCATTTTAATTAGTTGGAATAAATTTCGATGCTACAATGAGTACAAGTGCGCCTCCTTCTAACCCATATACTCCTCCGTAAAAGATTATTTCATCTCGTGTATTGAATTTTGAAGTAGAAATTCTCCGAAAGATACTCAGCAAGTTTCCTTAACCTAACTCCAAGTAGCGCAAATCTTATCCCTTTAATTCATTAAAATGGCAGTAGTGCTACTGTTTCGCCATGACACAAATAAGCATGCGTCCTCAATGAAGTTTTTACCACTATTTTCCATCACTGGCTCATCCATGAAAACATGTTGAGAATCGGCCTATTCCCTATAGGGCAAATATCGCCAGGGTTATCGCAATCAACTTAACGCCGAGAAGTTCGGGTGGAACCGCGATCTCGGCGGCACAAATTTCGGTTCAGAGTGGAGATAAGTAGAGATCCCATCGCGGATGCTGATTCCGCTTGCCGCGCGGCGAGGTCTGGCTAAACCTCATGGGGGTACAGGGCTGTTTATCTCCGCGGGGTGGTCCAAAGTATAGTGCTAATTCAGGTTTCCACCGTTTTACGTTCATAGAGTTGTGCGTAGTTAGTGTGGTCCAGACCCTGTGTTAGAGGCTGTCTTTTAGAGTCGTTTTTCTATTTTGGGCGGGGTGGTGAATCATGTTATAAGATTTGGATACGGTTTGACCCTCTTTGCGATTGAGTGTAAACAAGTCAGAAGATGCTGTACAATATCCTGCGTAATTTCCAGCACTGTGAACCAATTGATGGCTAGTTGGTTTGCGTATAAGCTGATTAAAGGCGATAGCGCTCACGTGATGCGATGTTTAGCCCCCAATGGCGCCCGCAGCCTTTCGGGAAACTGTCACCTGCACGTTGGCTGATCCGGAAATTGTGCTGTTTGACTTTGTGACTGCCACATCTAACTGGCTGTCCCATCTGAACGAGTATAATCTGTGCTCAACTGGTCTTTGAGATCCTTTTTGGTCGTCCCCGATCATGTCGCCATCCCCTCAGGAGCTAGCTTCAAGGCTGAATCAATCTGGTAAACAACGACAGAAGCGATGGGTCACTAGGACTAGAACAGGGTGCATCACTTGCAGGTATAGAAGTTCTTATCATTCTCATGGGTGGGTGAACTTGCTGACTCGAAAGAATCCGGCATATTAAATGCGACGAAACCAAGCCGAGGTGGGTAGAATCCTTTCATTGATTGAATAGTACTCATTGGCAGATGGATAATATAGTTGCCAGAGATGCACATCCACTGGTCGGAAATGCGATGGGTATCAAGACCCCCGCGCTAAACAGATTACCCGCCGCAAAAGCAAGAGGGCCCAACCAGATGGTCTGCTGCAGATGCCCTCTGCGTGGAGCTTTATTGGTGGTAAGCCAATGAATCATGAACATTTTCACTACTTTGTAGTTGTTACTGCTCCCACCTTGACTGGCTACTTCAACTCGGGATTTTGGTCCTACACGTTGCCCCAGGTTTCATACTCCTATCCGGCTCTCTGGCATGCTATTACCGCGCTGGCTTCTTTGCATAGAGACTTCTTGGAAGATGTGGCGCCACTTGCTATTACACAGGATTGTAGTACGGTCAGGGTTCGTTTTGCTTTACAGCAACATACCAGGTCTATACAATCCTTGAGGGAGTTGATGTCCAAGCCGTGCTTGACGGTTCATGACAAGATGGCTGTTCTAGCGACCTGTATTATATTTATCTGCCTATTAAGTCTGCAGGGGTTTCACTCTCAGGCCATGGCACATGTGGCCAGTGCTATGGTCCTATGTCAGCAGTGGAATAGAGAGTTCCAGACCCATTCCCATGCATCTGAGACTATAGCTTCCGTCATACTTCTTCTAGCCCAACTTGACAGCCAGGTCCGCCATATCTTTGCAATTCAAGGGTTAACTGTCCCATGGACTACTGAGTTTAAGTTACCTGCCACTGAAGGGTGTTTTACGTCCCTTGATGAAGCACACGTCTCTCTGGAGGTCAATGTCAACAACCGCGCATTGAAGCTTTTAACAAGCGGCATTGATATCTCTGCACCTGAAGCGCTTGCCAAGAAGGAATATTGTCTTCATGAACTTTATCGTTGGAACTCGAAAGTGGAAACATATATCTCCGTTTCACAGCATGAAACGGACAACACAGCCGTGAATGCTCTCTACCTGCGCCGCTTGTACGCCAAAGTAATGCTGTCCTTGGACCCATCCAAAGGCGAGCTAGCACATGACGACTTTATCGATGACTACGCGCAGATGCTTGACCTGGCAAGCAGAATCCTCGAGAGCCTGAACAGCCCTGTCACGGAGGAATTCGATCCCGGTTCGAGAAACGCGAAACAACGGCACTTCAGTGTAGAAAGTACAGTGACAGAGACCCTGTTTCTGATCGGGGTGCGTTGCCGTGAACCGACGATACGAGGACGGGCGCTTGAGCTGATGAGGCTCTACCCACGCCGCGAAGGCATGTGCGGGACGATGTTAGCTCTGAAACTCGGAGAGACGCTTGCCGAAATTGAAGGGACAGCATGTCAAAACGCCCCACCGGGTTTGTGCAGCGATGGACCATGGGTATGTGCTGATCATCGGGTGACAAAGATACAGTGTAAAGATGTCTCTGATCGGAAAGTTGCCGTGCTGATGAGAACAGCTGGAGAGGAAAAGCGCGGTTTCGAAGGGCATTGGTTCGTCTTCCATAAGACATGGTAGCTGCATCGTTCGTTCCCATTACTTACTAGGTAGAGAGCGGCATCATTTCTACTTACAAGGATATAGAAGGATTGCTCTGAAGTATACCTGTTTCAGGATAAGCGTCAATTGATATTTAGGAATCCATGATTAATTAGCAATCCAGTCAGTTATCAGGTGTTGATAACTATCTATTGATGCTATCGGCACTATCGGCATTCGGCCCGACCGAGGCTTGATTATCTGGCCAGCTTATCAGGGTTTATCGGGTTTATCGCCTTCGCTTTCCGCTCGTTTCCCCGCAATTCCCCGCTCGCGATGAGGCACGTATAAAGTCAATCAACAGCCCCCAGACAAGGTGCTTAACGGCAATCCACTTAGGGAGGAGAAATATATACATACAGAAACCGTTTACAATGGCTCAGAAGACACACAACTACCCCCTCCAATCCACCGAGGTGATCAACGAAATAGGCAAAGTCATCGACGATGCCAGCGAGGAGCTACGCAGGCTGAATCTCGAGGTCATTATTCCACCTTCCGATCTACTTCGAACAACATTGACGGTTACAAAACGACTAGATATTCAATAACCCCGAGATCGCATTCCAAGAAGTCAAAGCAAGCAAGTTACTCTCCGATTGGCTCGAAAACCGCGGCTGGACCGTTCAACGTGGCGTCTACGGGGTCCAAACCGCGTTTGAAGCACGATTCTCCGTCAAAGAAGGCGGTCGAACCGTATGCTTTAATGCAGAATATGGTATGCTCTTACACAAATTAGCCCAGAGGAAACAACGACAAAACAGACTGACCGTCCACCCCACCTCCAATAGACGCTCTCCCTAACATCGGCCACGCTTGCGGCCACAACCTAATCGCAACCTCCGCCGTCGCCTCCGCCGTCGCCATCGAACACATGCTCAAAGCACACAACCTCCCCGGCACCGTCGTCGTAATGGGAACCCCTGCAGAAGAATCCCAAGGCGGAAAATGGCTGATGGCACAAAACGGTGCGTGGAAGGGCTTCGACTCCTGCGTCATGACGCACGGCATGCCGGATCACAGCACTCCAGTTTGCTGCACCAAGGCATCGTGGAAACTGCGCGCCAAGTTCTATGGCAAAACTGCGCATGCGGCAGCGGGACCATGGACGGGGAGGAATGCATGCGATGCGATTGTGCAGGCATATAATGGGATTGCGCTGCTGAGGCAGCATATCCAGAAGAGTGAGAGTATTCAGGGGTGTATTCTGGAGGCGGGCAAGGCGGCGAATTTAATCCCCGACTATTCGGAGGGTGTGTTTAGTGTTCGGGCCAAGACGGTTAAGGAGGTTGAAGCGTTGAGGGAGAGGGTCGAGGGGGTGTTCAATGGGGCAGCGGCAGCGACGGGGTGTAGGGTTGAGATGAACTGGTGAGTTATCATTCTCCTTCCATTGATTTTATATGGCTTGTTTTTGTTGAAACTGGTGATCGTGATGCTAATTGTTGCAGGTTTGCACTCTATGAGGACGTCGTGACAAACGATACTCTTGCGGAGCAATACAGACAATACATGTTGCAGCACCTGGGCTTGCAACCAGAGCAGATGGTACCTTTAAAGGAAGCCAGGACAGTGCACGACTCGGCAGGAAGCTCGTAAGTTTCTCTTCCCTTCTCTCTACATATTCAGCCGAGGCTAACTACACTACAGCGACTTCGGAAGCTGCTCGTACATCTGCCCCGGCATCCAGGCCATGTTCGACATCAAGGCACCCGATATTCCACACTCCGTTGGTTTCCTCGAGTCCGCAAAAGGCGATGTGGCGCATACGGAGGCGCTTCGGGCCGGAAAGGCCAATGCGCTCATTACTCTGGATGTTTTGACGAATGATGATTTCGCTCAGAAGATGAAAGATGAATTTAGGGCGGCAATGAAGGAAGCAGGGCGGTTGTCTGAGTGATTAGGCTATAGTGGAAGGACAGTGGTCTTTAACGAATAGCTGGGATACCATTACGCGTCACATACCATGTAAGCAGCTACCCGATTTGGAGTGCAGAATATAGCACACACCCCACACCGCAATTGAATCGAGGTCCAGGAGAATACGAAACATTTGAGAGAAATTTGTTTCTGTTTAAGTCGGGCAGTCATTACTTTCCGATCACCCAAGTTTGCGTAGAAAGGACTGTATCGGCTTAATGGCAACCGTCGTTAATAGCTGTTGCTAGTTTACCTATAATGCTTGTTGGTTTTGCTTTTGCGGATGATTGGTAAGCAAGTGAGTGTCGACTGAGTAGACTTAGTCATAGCTTTCAGGCGTTTTCTACCTTCTGTCTGCCTTTGGTCGTAGACCTAGTTACTAGACTTTGCAGTGTTCGAATACCATCCTCTACAACATCAATTGTAGACACTTTTGCGTCAGGCACTTGTTCACCGTTAATAACCGGAAAGAATGCTGTGGTGGAATGGATCGCCAAGCAAGCCTTAAAATTTGTCAGCAAAGCTTGTATTGTCACATGACTTTCAGCCAGCATTGTGAGGTAATAATTATAAAATGACTTTGGAAACGTTGTAGTCCTTGGGTGATATCAAGTCGTGCTGCATCTCGCTCTATTGGAGCAATAGAGCCACACTTTCCTGTGAGGTGACGGGAGCAGCTTTTATATGATACCCTACCCGAGAGGGGAAGACAGAGGATGAACAGAGGATTCATTGCCTAAAGCCGCGACAACCCATAATTCTTGTAAAACGTTTCTGGGGTATGGGCAAGTCATGGCTCGAAATAGCCAGAAATATGTATACCACAAACAGAAGCGTTCAAAGACTCTTTTAGCTGCATATTTGTAAACTGTGTCGAGGGATGCTTTGACTGTGTCACCAAGGCAGGTATTTATTTCTTATACATTATCTGCGAAGATACTATGCACATCGTTATCTAGCCAATCGCTCTTATGTATCTTTGGGGAATGTACAGCCTTTGGTATTGGGCTATCTCTTTGGGCGCGCCGAAGTCCACCTCGGGCCACAGCGCTGTTATATTATACACCAGCCTGTCAGCTGTCGTTGAGGACATGAAAATCAGAACTGTTCCTGATAGTCCTGCTGATATTGGGAACAAGCTCTTTGTATTTACTTGGTTATGTAAGATTGCTATATCTTATGTACAGGCAAGACTTAACATCTGACAGACTCGCACTTCCACTGTACGGCCAAAGAAGCACATATCTACTTGTGGTCTGCGTAAGATGTCTTCGGAGGTGGTTGATCGGCAGCCCCTCGACAAACGCCATTGTGTAAATCTGGGTCAAATATAATCATGAGATCACTTGGACAAAGGGATCTCTTAAGAACAAAGATAAAGTGCGTAGGCTCCCACATACCAGTCTGATCGACACTGTATAGGTGAAGATCTTATCTGGCTCCTGCAATGGCAACGCCTAGTGTATCTATCGGCAGTCATATGTTACAAGGCTTACATGCCCAAGTAAGAAACTGAGGCATTCGCGGCGTCTGTGGGTGATTGGTAATCAGCCCACCTCGCCCTACATGCTACGACCCTGGGCTGATCACTTGGGCAGAAGGAAAAGCCTCTCCACCCCCATAACTTACTACCTGAGTCCTCAAACTCTGAGAGATCCATTCTGACCGTCTGCTTACACATATTCACAGACTCAGATATCTTCCATTATCCACAATGCATACGACCGAGAAGATACCCAGCTTCCTATCTCGCCGGAAACCCAGCAATGATTCAGAACACGTACCCCCACCACCCGATGGAGGAGTCCAAGCCTGGACCCAAGTCGTCTGCATGCACTTCGTATTCTTCAACACCTGGGGGATCACCACTAGCTTCTCCGTCTTTGAGCAATTATACACCAAAACCCTACCACAGTCAGCATCCTCTATCTCCTGGATCGGCAGCGTCCAGGTATCTCTCCTGTTCTTCCTGAGCGCCCTTGCCGGACGCGCAACAGACGCCGGCTTCTTCAGAGTCATGTACCCACTCGGGGTCCTCCTCCAGCTCGTGGGAATCTTCATGCTCTCTCTGTGCAAGACCTACTGGGCAAATCTTCCTCGCTCAGGCGGTATGCATGGGTCTCGGCAATGGACTTACCTTCAGCCCCGGACTTTCAGTCATGTCCGCCTACTTCATGAAAAACCGAGCCTTTGCAGAGGGCTTGGCTGCGTCTGGTGCAGCAACAGGGGGTTTGATATACCCCGTACTCATCAACCAATTGCTCTATAATCACCAGATAGGCTTCGCATGGACAATACGCGCAGCAGGACTTCTCATGCTAATTACCCATATCTTTGGCCTGGTTTTCTTCAGACCCCGTCTTCCACCCCGGACCACCGGCCCTCTCATCGAACTCGGCGCATTTACCGAGCCGCCTTTCGTCTTCTTCACCTTATGCTACTTCTTCACCTTCTGGGGCCTGTACTTCGCCTGGTTCTATCTTGGCACCTTTGCCCGAGACCGTCTCGGCATCGCGGATACACAGAACCTGCTCCTTGTGTTGAATGGAGTCGGCATCGTCGGACGTATCGGGCCGAGTATAATTGGTGATCGATGGACGGGGCGATTAAACATCTTGATCCCCATCACTCTTTCATGTGCGATTCTGATGTTTTGCTGGATAGCCGTCAGTACTGTTGCAGGGCTGTATGCGTTTGTTGTTGTGTATGGGCTCGTGGGTGGCGCCGCGCAATCGGTGATCCCTGCGACGGCGACGACCATGACGCCGGATATCAATCGGACGGGTACAAGGCTGGGAATGATCATGAGTATTGTGGGATTTGCTACGCTGACTGGACCGGCTATTGAAGGGGCGTTGATCGCTACTGACGGGGGGAGGTATGTGGCGGCTCAGATTTTTGCGGGTGTGAGTATTCTGCTGGGCGTGTGTGCGGTTGCGGCGGCGCGGGTGGCTAAGGCTGGGTGGGGGTTGGATGTGAAGGTGTGAGAATTGCTGTAAGTGGGCGGTTGGATTGGTTTGGAACTGGATGCCTTGCATTTTTAGTTCTGGCTGGGGGGCTGGCTGAGAATGTGGAATTCTTTCTTTCGTCATTGTCGGATCAACGGTACCTGTTGATAAGCAAATCCCGACATTATCTGAAAGGGTGGAAGAGTGAATGCGGCTATACATGGAAGTAAATAAAAACAGATCAATTTGGTAGTGAAATAAATATCGTGGTATCATAAAGTTGAGCGCCAGAACTTTGCTGCAAGGAGAGAACCTCAATTCCCAATGAGTTGTGAGAGCTTTGCCTTCCAGTCCTGAACAAGCGCCTGAGCCTCCGTCGTCTCATGTCTCGAAGTTTGTAGTTCCGCATTTAAAGCTTCGTTTCTGGCCCGTAGCTCCTGGATCTCCTTTTTGGCATTCTCCAGTTGAGTAGCCGTGGCTCGCAGTGTTTCCATCTCTTGTTCTGAAGAACGTCGATAGTCCAATTCTCTGCGTAGAGCGATGATACTGAGATCGCGAATTCTAATAGTTTGATTATATTTTGTATTCTCGCTGCGTAGCTCCTCAACTTCCCTCCTGAGGGATTCATTCGACTCGAGCTCTCGGTATAGAACCGACAGGGCTGTATCTACTTCCGTTGGCAGGTTTGTATACCGAGACTTGCGCTGACGTCGCGGTCGTTGGGGTGTTCCGATATCGTCTGTGGCTTCATCATCATTACCAAGGAGATTATATAGCGGTTTGGGGACAGTAGAGTCGCCAGCCGATATATCCTGTCTATCACCCGTTCGAGCTTGCTGTACTGCAGAGACACCTGAGGGTCTGCCGGAGGTGCTAATATGAGAGAGTGTATTTGACGAAGGATTTGTGCCTGAATCAAGCACTGACATAGCCGGAGCTGCAGCAGATGCGGAATCTTCCTGTTCTGCCGGCGGTGGTGAACCCGGTGGTGTCAATGGAGGAGGAGTGGTATGCCAACCGCGCCGGACGCATATGGGACAAAAGAGTGAATCTCGGGAATCGCGCAGAAAACCTGCTGGAATACAATCGGCATGGAAGGCGAGTCGACAGGTTGAACATGGCTCGAGCCTTCCCCCAGCCGCTTGACAAATACGGCAGTAACCTTCGTGTGCCGATCCATTTTCTGCGCGATATGAGTGAGCACCAAGGGCGACTTAAGGAGACCGTAGACGGAAAGGAATGCACTTACGCCTCCATTCTTTGTATTCATGTATCTGGGTTCCAAGGGATTGCTTTTCAACCGCAGCAAGGGTGTCAGACCATGACGCGATTCGGGGCAAGAACAGTTCGTCAGGCTGGTTGAGACTTCCCTGTGTCACGCGTTGACGGCCAGTCCTTGTCGGATTGGTCCTTGGGGACTTCACTGGGGATGAGCGAACGGAATGTCTTTCGCCTTGTGCAGCACGCGCAAGACGTCCTGTGCGTGTTTTTCTGACGGCCATGAGTTTAGTTAGAGATGTGATCAATGTCCTTAAACCAGATTCCTATGGGTAGTCTTGGTGAATGGGCGGTTGGAATTGTGCGGAGGCTTGCTGAGTCAGGTTGAAGGAGCTGATGACAAAATTAACTCCTTTTTGAATAGACATGCTTAGATAGGTTTATCATGAAGGAATAATAAGGCCTTGGGGCCTTGTGAGCTAATGCGCCTAATGAGCGTACTATCCAAGAGCCTAATTTATACATGAGAGTATGTCTGGGTTTAAGATGCGTCGATGTACTGTCCCTTCCAACAGTTGCAGTCTTCCTGCTCAGTGATTACATTATTTACGTAATCAAGAATCTGGTACGGTTGTTTCCTATTGTTGAAGCTTGCGAGACAACTGTCTAAGTGACCATACTATAGTCAAAATATGTCTAAACCACAGAAAGTACACCCATTTTCATCTTCTTTCTCCAAAGGACCGCGCCTCCTGCCGTCAGGCGCAGTTCTTGGCGCCTATTCAAGGGCCGAGTAACTTACTTGCGGAATGACATTGTTTTTGTGGGTCTTATAGATTCAATGATCATCTTAGCCACGCGCTTGGACGATATTTAAGAGTCAAGTTTAACAGTGTCAAGATCTACTACCTCCTGTTGTACTGCAATTGGATCTAGCTTCAAGAGAAATGATGATATTCCAACAACCTCAGGCAGAACTGTCAGAACAGGCGGTGTGTCATTCTGCTGGCAGTACGCCCTACCTTAGCCCAGAACGGCAGGCGGGGTGATGACACTCAGGCTGATAAGCGACTGGTGAGGCTGCGAGCCATGGGTTGCTTGGATCGCTTTCCACCTAATAAGCTTTCCTTGTTCTCAGATCTACATCTGGCTTGGCATATGATACGCCTATGGAAACCTTGTATTGATGATGACCAAGCGAAGAAGAGCATCGGGACCAAGATCGAGGACAGGGTGTTCCACTTGCAGGTACAAGCCGGAGCATTGGGCGCCTAAAAAGCATCTTCCGGCTAACCAGCTCATCATGCAGAATTCGACATGTCAAGTGCGATGAACAAAAGCCCGAATGCTATCAGTGCAAGCGCACGGGGAGAAAGTGCGATGGATACAGTGAATCACGTCCAGGGAACAACCACCAGCCTGTCGTCCCCAGTAAGCCAATGATGACCGTCGACCATCGCATGGTCCTTCGACCAGGAACACAAAAGGAGCGACATTATTTGTACTTCTTCAGCTCACAGACGGCTCGGGCGCTATCCGGGGTATTTGAGTCTGATCTCTGGATGCGCCACCTCCCCCAACTGAGCGAGTGTGAACCTGTCGTCAGGCATGCCACGGCGGCAGTAAGCGCGGCCCATGAGCGGGCGCTTGTGCTACAGCGAAATCCATCATCCACTGCGGACCACCGAGCCGCTAATGATCGCTTCATTATATTTCATTATAATGAGGCCATTCGACATTTGAGAACCTATCTTGTTTCGCAAAACCCTAGAATCGATCTTCTGGTCATCACATGTTTTCTTTTTGTGTGCTTGGAGATGCTGAATGGTAATCACAAGCAATCCCTGGACCACCTCGAAGCGGGCCTGAAGATAGTTCAGAGCGTCATAGGAAGACTGCAACCTCTAGGAAGTAAACTAAATGCGACTTATCATGAGTTATGGAAATTAAGTCTTCGACTGAACATCCAGCTCGCAATGAACGGACGGCCAATGGTTGCCCTTGATATTAAGCCAACATATCCCGAAGTGAAACGCTCAGATGGAAGGCCCGTTTGGTCGGATATTTACTGGGCTCAACACGCACTCTATAAGCTCATGAACAAGACACTCATGTTCATCCGTTCTGCAGGGCACGAACGCACAGATCGCACACACTTGATGCCCCAACAGTCGGAGCTCAGGAAGGAATTTCAAACATGGAGAAGTGCCTTGGAAAACTATGCAAATGAAGCAGAAAACTCCCGAAAAGGCGACCGGCGAGGTCTGTTCTTCTTGCGTTCGTTGTATCTTGTCTCTTGGATATGGACGGAAACATGTCTGGCCAGACAGGAAACGGTCTTCGACAACTATAATTCTGCTTTCGCGGAGCTCGTCCACTGTGCCGGTCAAGTCATTGATCTTGACGATGCCACCGACCGCAAGTCAACGAATTGCGCACCGGATATCTTCACTCTCGAAACACGTATTGTTACAGGGCTGTACTATACAGCAATTAGGTGCCGGGATCCGATCATCCGTCGGGAGGCTATCCGGCAGATGAACAGATGTACCAAACAAGAGGGTCTATGGAATAAACATATTATAGTTAAGATTGCTCAATTGGTGATGGAACTGGAAGAAGCCAATATGTCATCGCTGGACGTACAAGAAAGAGTTCCGGTCGACAGGGACCGTATATATGAGACAGTCATTTCGTGTACGCAGGCAGAAAACCTTCGAAGTACTCGCCAAGTTATCCTGCTTTCGAAGCCTAACGGACCAGATGGCGCGTGGCTAACTAGGGTTCGATTTGTGGACTGGGAGTAGGAATCATGATATGCTTGTCTTGAGCTGACTGTTCAGATTCCTGTACTGCATTGCGTGAGCTGTGTCAGGTATTCATGACAGCTGTTACCAAATATTCGATGGCCGGTTAGTTATAATGTTGTACGATGCTTAGAACTATGTCCAGACCACTTTATGATATAACAATCACGCGCTTATTAATGCCAGGAATCGGGCGTGAGCTCTCGCTTAACCAAGTACATACTCTCGGGCCACCACATTTCGCTACTGTCAGCCAACTGGGAGAGGACATTCTGTGTTTTCATCAAAGAGATGACTTGGCTGAGCTCCCACTGTCCAATATTACTGATCCACCACACCCCATCCAATAACATGACCAAAACCAGCCAATGAGCGAATATATCCATAGCCAGGATATGTATCGGAGTGACCATTAATGGCTCCCTGGTTGCGGATGAAGCCGGTAGTGTTGTACTCTCGTTCCTAGCTTCTACAGTAGGAGAATCCAATACCGATCGCACAATGTTGAGAAACTCGGTCGGAGCCTTGTTCAAAAAAGACATAATGATACGTCGGAGAATTTGCGGTGCCTCCATAGACGTGACACTGATCATGTATCGAGCCACCCATGGTGAGACACCACGGGGACATCCAAACATCGAGGTGTGCTGAGTATTTGGAGACGCTGTGAACACAACCTTCTTCTTAACACTTGCCCCTGGCGATAGCGCTGCTGATGCACAGCTCTCCAGGATATTTATGGTTTCCAGTAATGCGTGAGCCCGTCGCTGGCCAATCGCGCTACATAAAGCAGAGGAACGCTGCTCTGCAGTTGTGCGTTCTGCTCTCCTACGAAGATTTCCAAGAGCTCGATTACAGGTAGATGCAACGAGCGGGAGGAATAAGCTCTTCGTTTTCGGAGATGGACCGCCTTGCGGTGATGAAGGACTTGATGTTGTTCCATGGGACTCTGATCCCGTATCCACCACCGTGCTGCTGGAAGGAGTAGCGTTAACAATATCATGGAGTATAGCACTAGATGCGGTATGCGCTGCGCGTGTGAACGAAATCCACTGCGAATGTTGCGGCAATAATTCTTTCGGCAGCCTCTGTCCATATTTCTCAGCTGTGGCTGCCAGACGGACACGAATGGAGTGGCTGGCCGATGCGTACAAGACCATCAATGCTGCATTGGCGAGGACGTTATCGTAGGATTCGGTTATTTGCATCGTGGCTTGGATGTGGCGGAGAGATGCCGCGTGATGGCGTTCGGCTAACGCAAGGAGGTCATTGATCTCTGTTAAGGTCCGTGTGTCGAGGGGTCTTTGGGTGTTCTCATTTGCTATGTCGTGGCATTTGCATGCTGCTGCCAGGCTTAGCAGGGATGACATGACAGCCTTGCATTTGAAGGCAAGATTAGGTACTCCGACAGCCAGAGCGTAGAGATCGAGAGAATCGAATGGGATCGTTTGGCTAGTGTGCGAGAGGTAATGAGCTAGGAGATTGAGTTCGGTCGCGTTGAGAGGATCCGGGGAGGGTAGGTCTAAGCCGGGTATATCTTCCTCGCCATTTGATTGTGGCGAAAGGGGAAGTTGACCAATGGAGGGAGTGATAGGACCCGATGGACGATCGCTCGAGAGCCGCCTCGATGTCAGTTCGGATCCAGCGAATTCAATCTCCGAGTTCGGGAAACCCGTCGGCTCTGTGTCCGATTCGCTGGTATTCGGACGGTGTTGATATTGACATGTGTACGAGAGTCTGGTGCAACGTGAGCATTTCGGTCTGGCTTCATCGCACTGGCGATATAATCAGAATGATTGGTCTGAAGCGTATAGGATGGAAGCACAGCATATGCTTCGTGTAGTACCTTCTTGCGTAACTGCTTGCATCTGAGGCAGCCATTACGGGACTTCTCATGTGACTTGCGCAGCCTATATCCGGTCGCTTGGAGATCTGAGAGCGGTTTATTCATGGCCATATTGCTGACGACACGCTAAGCTACAATGTTGGACCACGCAGGTTGGGGTTCTTTCGCGGAAGGGCGGTTGGGTCGTATTAGTAAAGATTCCTCAGGGCAAAATTGAGTTTACTCAGCCTCATAAGTGGAGATGTTGCCCGTGCAGAATCATCGCTCTAGTATTTGTCAATAACGGGTAGTCTAGCGTGAGGCTCTGCTCGATAGAATAACCATGAAACTAGAGTTATTCAAAAGTTGACCAGCTGTGAAGACAATAATCGGGCCCTGGGATGGCTGCGCCAAGGAAGTTGGGCAGTGACGGTACGAACTGCCCCCACCTTGCCAAGATGCATGGCCTCGAGCAGGAACTACGCCTCTCCGCATAAGACCCTGCATCAACACGAGGTGATGGTTATATTGATGGATGAGATATGCGGCGTATTACTAATACGCCCGGGTGGCCGTGCCCAGACAAACACTGAGCTTGGCGACAACTTTGTATGGTTCGGAGACTTGTGGCTGTGATATGTAGATTTGGAATCGATACTCTGCGTAGTAAAGAGGCGTATGTGGTGGCAGAATATGACAACTACATGTAGAAACAGGCATTGGGCCTTCCACGACTATATAAATCTCGGTGACCACCGGCTTGACAGTAGGGAACCCATCATCCAGCATCTTCACAATCATCGACCACGACTATCTCTCACTACCTGAATCATTGAATAACAAGTTCGAAACCAACACAAGTTCATCATGTTTTTGTCCTTCTCCCTGTACTTGGATCTTACAGTTCTACTTGCTCTCGTTCTCCAAGCGGGAGCAGTGCCGCACCCGATAGTTAAGCGCTCAAATTCCGATCTCAGCTTAACGGCCCAACTTCGTCTTGCCGATACGTAAGTCAACAGCCTATCCCATAATGCAACCTTCTAATGAGCTAACATAACGATTATATAAGGGCCATTGAGCGTTACAAGCTGCTCCCCAATGACTCCGATTTTGTTTTCAACTTCAACGGTACTGAAGAAATCCCAGTAGCTACAAGCCAGAATTGGCCCGCTCTCGTTGGTGTCGGGGCAGCTATCAGCATGTCGCAACTGCCAGGTAGGAGAACAAGCAATCTATCATTTAGCCAAAGACTAACCCCGAGACATTCAAATAGCATGCAGTATGAGCTTCCTCCATCTCCACCCCCGCGCCACCGAACTATTTGCTCTGAATTCCGGCCATATTCTCTCCGAAATGGTTCCTCAGGCTGGAGTTCTGGACAGCAACAATAGTCAGCGCGTTATTCGGACGGACCTGCGGCCCGGTCAAGTGACTATCTACCCGGCAGGATCATTCCACACGCAAGTGAACCCGGAGTGTGAGCCAGCAAACTTTACAGCTGCGTTTACATCAGATGAATTTGCTGTGAGTCTGGTGGCAGAACAGCTATTCTCCTTCAGTGATGGGGTTATTGCACGGACCTTTGGGCAGAGTATTGCCGGGGAGGACATCGAGAAGGTTCGGAATGCCATTCCATCAAATATGGCGATCAAAGTGGATGAGTGCTTGGCGAAATGTGGAACGGAGAAGCGGTAATGTTGGGCCGAGGATGTGAAGGCAGGGGAAGGGAAAATTAAGGAGGAAGAAGATGTACGGAACGGGAGAATATAAGTAGGTGTTGATAATTCTGTTTGGTAGAAGGCAATGGCAGTCTGATTTGTTTTGTTTTCCACGACTGATAAACTGTACTTGTTTAAACAAATCAGTGGGATGGTAGTTTGCTCTATTTCTTGATTATCTCTTTCATGAGCTGAATCCTTAGGTGATGTATGACCTGATAGACAACAATTCATGCCTCACTCGCAATTATTACACTAGTCTATAAAACATACTATGTAGAATACTGGACGCGGGACTGCACTCTGGTATGTAAATGTGGTCAGACACTATCTGGTTCTATTTGGAGTAGCTGATATGCATTGATAACACTGCTTAGGACTGATCGTGCTAGTCATTGGGCTGAAGCCCTAATTTGGGAGGTTCGCTCTCATTCAAGGGGCTTGCATTGGTTTTGATGAGACTTGATCATATCATAAAGCAGGTGGCCGCTGCGCTTTTGTCAAACAGTGTGGGAAATGTTACGGATTTCTTCTACTCTCTATACTGGTCGGCAAATATATGTAGTGAACCACGGCACATGGATTGCAGAGATATTCCCAAACATTTGACTGGCTGAATTCCCAGGTTGGGAGGTGCTGCGGTCCGTCTAGTTTCCGAGCCGATTCCGGGATCTTCACCATAGCATACTGAACTTCCGTTAACCCGTGAATTGTACGAATTGTAACTAATGAAACTTGCTTTATAAGCACTCAAAGAATATTTGTAATCAGATGGACCACCCAATCGCAATAATGACATCAGTTGAGGGGCTCTAACAGCCTATTCATTCATATGGGTCAAGTAGATGTACAAGAACCTTAAAAGATATATCAAAGGGTGAGATTATAATCGAAATACGGGCAATTTTGCGATAGAGCAGATGGCCCTTTAGGGAAGCGGAACCGTCGGAATTAGACAAGGAATGCCTCTTAGGGTATGAGATCTTTGATAGCATATATTCATTATACTTACAGTTATCAGATGAAATTCTAGCTTCTCTTGAGTTGGATGGGCTAACAGACTGCCAGTCGGCTCCGCATTAAATTAAGTAGCTAGTTATGTATCGGATGCATAAGTTCCGTGAAACGGCCCGGAAGCTGGACGGAATCCAGTCAGTCAAATGCCAAGATTCATGTATTCCCCAGGGTCCGGACGGGACCCCAAATCCTTTCCATCAGCCACCCGCTTGTGTTCTATAAAAGAAGGACGTTTCTCGTTGTCCAATATTCCTCTTCTTTGGCAGGGCCAAGATATTCGGTTTTCCTGTCAGATACTCTAAATGGTTGCCAAGCAGAAAGTACTGCTCCTTGGAGCGACTGGTGAGACTGGCAGCTCTATTCTAAATGGGTTGCAAGAATCTGGCAATTTTGTAAGTTAGATCGACTTTACAACAAATTCTCATCCGGTTGCTGACAAGTACTAATTCTAATTTTGGTTTAGGATGTGGAGGTCTTAGTACGACCCGCTTCTGCAAATAAATCGTCGGTCCAAAAGCTCCGAGAGCAAGGGCTCAAGATTTGGTCCACAGACCTTGACGACTTTAGCGGGCTTGTGTCTGCTATGACCGGTACCGACATTCTCATCAGTGCTATCGGACCCAATGACTTGCTTCAGCAGAAGAAGCTACTTCAAGCCGCCAAGCTTACAGGTGTGAAAAGAGTCATTCCCTGTGCTTTCACCACGGTAGCCCCTCCAAATGGCGCTATGCTGCTTCGTGATGAGGTATGAATACCATGATTCAAAGGAAATACCAAGTTAATTAACTCCAAATAGAAAGAAGAAGTCTACAATGCCATCAAGTTCTTGGGTATTCCTTATACCGTGATCGATGTTGGCTTCTGGTATCAAATCTCATTTCCGACCCTTCCGTCTGGGAAAGTGGATTACGCCCAGATGGTTCCAGTGAAGACTGTTCATGGGGACGGGACAGCTCCCAATATCCTTACCGACCTACGTGATATCGGGAGATTTGTTGCACGAATCATACTCGATGACCGGACTATTAACAAATATGTCTACACGTTAGGGGATGTACTTTCCGAGAACGACATCTATCGTATCGCGGAAGAGGTTTCTGGAGAGAAGCTGGAACCAGATCGTGTAAGTCAAATTTATCTTGAGTGTTTTAGTATTTACTAAAAGCAAGTTTCTAGATATCGCATGAAAATATCGAAGCCAATGTAGAGCAAGCTAAAGCTGCTCTCGCCGAGGATCCTAGCGATCCCATGAAGCGCATCGGCGTTTTCATAGCCCAGTATGAGCATAGCAAGTACGTGCGGGAGGATAACAGTCCTGGCTATGCCGCCTATCTGGGTTATCTTAATGCCAGAGAGCTATACCCAGATTTCCAGCCAACATCCTTTCGTGATTTCTTCGCGGAGGTGCTGGCTGGGAAGGGCAGGAAAGTGTATTCCTAGCTTTTTAGTCGGCCATGAAATTGGCCTGACTTTCTGACACGCTATGATGGTGATTTGACCCTGCCGTCAAGGGCCTAACACGAGTGACTATTGGGCTATTTTCAATACCATCCATAGTACTAGACTAGAAGTATCCCAAGTATGTAATTTTATTGATAAAGGCGACCAGTAGAGCACCGCTGCATGACTCCGTTAAGAACTCGCTGGGATGGAAGTACTTCGTGCAACTTAACGAAAGCTTTGGTGCATTGACACGGAAAGGAAAGCCGACCAAAACTTGATTGTGGCGGCCCTGCCATGCATACATCCAAGTGCAGAGATATCGTCTTTAACCGTTGAAGAGCTAGGCTGATAGTCTGGGGGCAGCCACAGCCCTCTGTGGCTCTAAATAGTAATCCACTGCCCTGCTTCTAGAAATATCTCAGTTATTATGACAAAAGAATCTGAATCCTTTGATCTCTCCCCTGTATTGAAAGCCTGCAATGGTGTGACGACATGGATCAAATCCAGGAACCCATAGCCAACGCACCAACTGTGAAGAACTAAATTAGACAGCCCAATCGGATTTAGTGGATCTGAAATAGGCTAACCTTCAGGAGGGACCCAACATTGGGAATCCAAGTCTCAAGCAGGCTCAGCCATCGGAAACCCCGAAGCTACGATAGCTCTTCCCAAATTCAACCAGTAATGATGCAGAGCCCCAGTCAAGCCGGGCCCACCGGCCTTACTAGTGAGTAGTATTTGATAAAAAGCAAAAGCCTCCCCCGCCCGTTTCCAAGGAGAACTTGAGCGACTGGCCGGAGGAATGACCACGTGTCGGAGGCCAATACTAGAGGTATTAGAATTCAGTCAGCCACAAACACCGCGATCCACAGGCGTGCAGAGTTCTTGTCTACTGTTCCCTCTCCTACGCATTTGATTTCAACATAAATCAAATTAGGGCATGCGGAGCGAGACAATAGATAAATCATGCCGTTGTAGCTTTGATATATATTCATCACCTTCTGTTCTTTTCCTCCTGGCTCAGATACGTATCATTCTTCCGCTAAGCCTCGTTAACTGAATCTTCTATCTACTCATTCAGAATGTCCCTAGTCCGATCTCGATACAGTGTGAATGCACCCCAAACAGATCTCCTGTCCTATTTATTCGATTCGCCTTATAAAGATGCAGGATCCTGGCCGTCATCGGAGCCTCTTCTGGAGTCAGCAGCAAATCGCGATCGTTCAGGATATTCAATCGACCAAATCAAGAATATCGTGAAGCGAGTTGGCTGCGGTCTTAATCAATTGGGAGCAAGCGGCAAGCGGGTCATGGTCTACGGGGACGCGAACATTAACTTCCCCCTGGCTATTCTTGGAGTTATAGCTGCAGGAGCATCATGTAATGTTCTCGCTCCTGGTCCTGTTGAAGAACTGATTTCCCGGCTGCGGCAACTGGACTGTGACATTGTTTTTTTCGCCCCGCAGGATCGAGAGCTTGTCTGTACTGCTGCAGCAAGGTTGAGTATTCCTAGCGAGCGTCTTTTCATGGTTGATGAGACCATCGATGTCGAGAATATCGAAGGTTCGGATGATGGTGGTCCTAGACACTGGGGCCACCTCTTGATGATGCCCGGCGGTGACGATTATGAGTGGCCTAGATTTTCGCCTGCTGATGCAAGAACAAGAACTGCTCTCCTGCTCTATACCTCTGGGTACGTTGACCTGCTATATGCTACCGAGCACTGATGTAATCTGTTAACGATGTTGTAGGACAACAGGATCATCGAAACTTGCTGAACGCACTCACTATGGTCTTATTGGCAACATTGAACAGACCCTACAGCACTACAACCTTCGAGAGAGGAACAGAGAAACCATATTCTGCAATTATAAGTTCTGCGGTATGGGATTCCTAATATTAGGGTTCATGCTCCCTTTGAAGGCTCGGTATAAGACGATATTCCCTACAAAGTTCGTACCAGAAAAATTCATGCAGACAATTGAACGATTCCAGCCTACCTGGTTGATGCTCCCTAAGCATCTGGTACGTGAGCTCCTGGCAAAGTTCGACAAGCCCAGTTTTCCCAGTGTGCAACATGTCCTCACCGGCGGCGCGATCATTCCCTATGAGATGATCGAGCAGTGGCAGCGACTACATGGATCTCAAGTGCAGAGTACATATGGAATGACCGAGTAGGTAGACCTTGTGTTATCCTCCTTATGATACGCGGATCAGGGCTTACTCCGTTACTGCACCAACCAGGGCGGGCTTTTATACCTTCCCCGATCCAACCCAGGTGGTAAAGGATGCCACAACAGGAGTCTTGCTTCCTAGTTTAGAGGCGAAAATAGTTGGCGATAATGGCGAATTGCTGAGCATAGGCCAAAAAGGGCATGTTTACGTTCGGACCCCATTTCTCATGAAGGGCTACTTCAATGAACCAGAACAAACTGCGCAGACCATAACGGATGATGGATGGATTAAGACTGGCGACATTGGCTGGGTTGATGAGCGCGATCAATTCTATATTGTTGGTCGCCAAAAGGTATGTCTTTCCCAGCCACGTCTGTCTTGTAATTGACATCTTAATGGTTTGCGGCATAATTTCAGGACCTATTCAAGATAAAAGGCGACAATGTTTCTGCAGCTGAAATCGAAACGGCTATCTTGCAACATCCGGATATTGCGGATGTCGCTGTTATTCCATTCACTATGTAAGGACTGCATATTGACTTTATATGCTATTTGCCGTACTGATGTTATTACTATTGTACAGAAATGGAGATGAGGAGCCCGTGCCTCGTGGATATATTGTTAAGGGAAATGAGTCCCCCTTGACAATAGAAGAATTGACGCACTGGATGCGGACAGAACTCACTTCACGCATGCAACTCCTTGGCGGCGCTGCCTTCATCGAGGCAATTCCCATTTCGAATGTGAGTCGGCCATGTCTTGAGACTCAAACACTAGCTCACACTTAGTCTCCAGGTTGGAAATAGCAAAGTCGACCGCCGACTACTGTATGAGATTGCTGAGAGTGATCTTCGGATTTTGAACAAAGCAAAGTATAATGCGAGCAAGCCAAGCCAGATTGCTTGAATGTCTGTCTGTCCAGCGCCTATGGATTGTCGTTCATCAAAGCCTAAACGTGCAAGAACTGTATGCTTGTAGGGTTGGTGAAAGCCGCTGCCGTGTGGTTACATTTGGGGATATACAAGAGACAAGGCACAGGTATGCTGTAGCAGCTGGTGGCAGCATGGAGAAATAAGCCATCCATCCAGTGTGTAATTAATGAGTCTATACTCTTTTACCTACAGCCAGTTTATATTCATACCCATATATGCATCCCTGTGGACTTAAGCTCATGACTGAAACGCCATTATATACGATTTATTTACATAACAGTGTCTTAGAATTATTTTTTAACGCAAATAGTCCCAATAATCCAAGCCACATCTAGATTGATAAAAGTTTCCTTTTAGCTCGACATAGTGGCGGAGACTAACTGATATAATTTCTTTTTGTCTTATCTCAGTCTCATTGGCTGACCTGTATATTCTCTATTTGGCCAATCAGAGTCCACTATGTGACGAAGTCCACAATGGGTTTTTCCCACATGCTATAAACAGGTTACTAAATACAATTTATTGTGACTGGGCATGTGCTGTGCCTGGTGGACCAGTAACCGATAAGAATAATACTATATCTTCCGCCAACCCGATTATGATTTGGCATCCCCATTGTCATTAAATTCAATTCAATTCATATTCATATTCTTATACCCAATTGAGCCCGCTAAGTAAGGTGCTAGCTATGCAGGTGCTTCACTGTTTGAAGCAGGAATATGGCCCCGAACGTCGTCAAATCACTCAAACTCGCAGTAAACACGTAAATCATGATGCAACGCATGCCATGACGTAGGAAGGTCGTCGCCGCAGCTAAAAACAACTAAATACAATGAAAGCAAAACGTAGTCATATAGTTTTATCATAAACTAGTGTCGTAGCTGGCCGGCCAGCTGCCTGCAAGTCACCATTCCTCCGTTCTTCGTCCATATCCTTTGCTTCCAACATGCGTGTTTCTTTTGATATACGTAGCCTTACCCGTTAACTCAATCCGGAGTGTGTATGGTTCCACCTACTCATCTTCTTCAGTGTCTATCCCCATGGCCCTGAGGCCTACGTGTTCCTGGCCTAGATCAGGCTCCTCAGGGTCAAGTTCAATCTGGCTGAACTTCCCGAGCAGGCCTGTTTACAGCATGAATCCGGCGATGTAGCGGATCGCCTGCGGGTCTGATATGAGTGAATCATAGTCAGTAGTAGCCCCCAGATCCGTGCGTGCTGCTCTCCATTGTCATGTTGTGTAAAATAAGAAGTAAGGCCCAAAAGGGCCACTAACGCACCGAGTAACGTGACCAACCCCGCCACGGCGCTAAATCTGTCTCAGCTTCCTCTGTCCACACGCCTGTTCTTCCCGCAAAATAATCTTTAAGATCAAGATGTCTCACGACAAGGTTGACCCGAGGGGTATTTGGAGGCGCGCATATGAGCTCCTCAAGGAGGATAATGAAGCTTTGGTCCATGAATACGAGGAAAAGATCCAGTCAGCCAAGGATCAGATCAAGTTGAACGGTTTGCTTCTCGATATCTGACATTGATAGCAACTTCTTTTCATATGCTGATTCCGTGCACCTAGGAAAGGAGAAACTATCACCTGGCATCTGTCCTGATGAAGTGCATGGGATGTTGAGCCTCACAAATGAGATGATCCAACAGGAAGAACACAAGCAGACATGGAATCAGAGTGTAACCATGGCGGTGCAAATTGTTACTTCTATGAAAGATATTGTTGCCCAGGCCATGAAAAACTCCCCGGAGGGGTCCTTGGCGTGGGCGGGGTTGTGCCTCATCCTGCCGGTAAGCCCCAACTTTGTCCTCGCCATTCTCCACCTGACCAGAGATCTTCGTGTACCGTTTTAGCTTTCGCTCATTAGGACAGGTATTCCTAAACCCGGTTCAACAGAGGAGTGAGAACGTGGAAGGGCTGTCCAAAGTGATCCATCGCATTTCGTATTATCCTTCTTACGCCGTCTGGTTGATGAACCACCACTCCCCAGGTCCTGACGAAACATGGAATGTTCTGGAAGGTCAGATTGTCCTGCTATACAAAATGCTAATCCAATATATTGCCAAGTCTGTTTGCCAATATTACCACGTCGACTCGACGACAAACAAAGTGAAACAGCTCTTAAAAGATACCTTGAAATGGGACTCTTGGACCGCAATGATAGACGACATGCAGAGACTGGAATTGGAAATCCAAGGGAAGGCGCAAGACCTCAATCTCATCGCCTCGCGAAATCTTCTCCAGACCTTGAACGAGGCCTCCCAGCAGCAACTAGAGCTAAACAATCATATGGAGCAGTACCTCAGAGAAATCAGAGATGCTCTTGCACTAACACTCTCAAGCCCAGGATGCCAAGCCAGCGGAGTCAAAGAAATTTACACGTAACGTGGCCCCTTGGTGCCCTTCCTTCGGGACAAGGAGAGCTTCGTGGGCCGGGAGGTATGCTTTCAGCAGATCAATGAAGGCTTCGAGCAGTCAACGCGCATAGCGTTGTGTGGTCTTGGTGGGGCAGGGTAAGTGAAAATCGCGAATGCAGCAGCAGTCAAAGCTGACTTTGACTACTTACTACAGCAAGAGTCGGATTGCTCTGGAGTACGTCTACCGGATGCGTGAGCAGGATCCGCACTTGTGCATATTTTGGGTGTTTGCGGCAAGTAGATCAAGCCTCCAGAGTTCGTACGAGACTATTCGTCGCGAAATTCCACCTGAATATATTCGTACCTTGCAATTCAGTCTCCGCACAGGAGTGGCAGGCAATGTGGACACCGAGCGTGAGACTATTTCACTAGTCACCCAATGGCTACGGTCGGATCAGATTTCCCGATGGCTCCTAGTTGTCGATAATGCCGACGACCTCACGTTCGTCGACCCAACGCACCCGGAAGAATCTCATCTCATGAATCTGATCCCGAGCGCGAGTAACGGAAAGGTGCTGATTACCTCCCGCAATGGGAGAGTTGCCGAGGAGCTCGTTGGGTTTGCAAATCGCGTTGTGAGAGTGGAACGGATGACAATGACTGAAGCCACGACCCTATTCCGCAGCATGCTACCGAATGACACTTCTCCGGAAGCCGATATCGAAAAGTTGGCAGACGCAATCATGTGTCTTCCACTGGCAATCAAACAAGCATGCGCATATATTAGAGCAACGTATACAACTGTAAGCGAGTATTTAGCCCTGTTTATGGCTAATGAAATGAACCAGAAGAGCCTCCTGGAGGAAAACTTCGGGGATATCACTAGGCGAGCTGATGTGCCCAATGCGGTCATTCTCACCTGGCAAATGTCATTCGAAAAGATGAAACAGCAAGTTCCCGTCACTGATGCCAGTGAGATTTTGGCATTCATGGCCATGGTCAGTCGAGAGGAAATCCCGGGCTTTATCCTGGCTTGCAGGTGCAAGAAAGGAGACATTGCGTTGCAAAGGGACATTGAATTGTTATTGAGTTACTCCCTAATTACTCGAATGTCTCAGAAGAACAACCATTTCAACATGCACCGTTTGATCCAGCTTACTGTTCGGGCTTGGCTAGAGAAAAGAGGCGATCTTGACCATTTTGAAGCTGCAGCTCTGGAAGTTATCCACAATCTATTTCGGAAGGCACTCTCCGAAGAAGATTGGCCACAATGCCGCTTATTATACCGACATGCCCAGGCTGTCTCCCAATATAAGTATAGCGAAGAGAGATATCATCGTATGAACCAAGCATTACTTGACGATATATACACTTACAGCCACCCTAGTCCCGCTCAAATGGACCCCTGTCAAGATCTGGAAGGGAAAATTCCCATACAGCTCTTGGGTTCCCAACCAGCCATTCTCCAGTCCTGTGAATTTATTGAATGGATGCGCGGCGAAGAGAGGGGTTTATTGCTTGTAGGACCGCCCGGGACAGGCAAAACAAGCGTGTGGTTAGTTGTAATCGCAAAACCCAACAAGTGACGCTCTACTAAGATACGAACAGCACGTTCCTCATCGCCAGTTACTTACCACGACATGTGAATGCCGAGACTTTGTATTTTCTCTTCTCATATGCGATGACGGGAGACGACCAGATGAGCCAGTCTGTCCTACTCAAGCTTCTCGGTCAGCTCTGTCGAGTCTATGTCGAAGGCAGTAGGATCCCTGACAAGGTCCGTGAAATATGGTCTCAGTGCAAAGACCCTTCCACAAAACGCGTCAACGTCGACGAACTCCTCTCTATCTTGGTTCATGTCGCTGATGATTTGGACCGAGAGGTTATTGTCATTTTCGACGGGATTGATGAGGTCCAGTCCACGGCCAATCTCGACGGCATCTTCCGGATGATCGACTCCCTGCTTAATCATCGCAGATTCCGTCTCCTCGTCAGCTCACGGGCAGTCGGATATATGGAAGAACGGCAATGGCCACAACGGATGCTAAAAATTGAGCTATCACTAGAAACGTATGATAGTATGCAAAGTTTTATCAACGAAAGACTCCGCTCGTCCTTCCCAGGCAAGCACCCTCTAATAAGCCAGGAACAAGTTACCGTGCTAGGTGATCTTCTTAACAGAAGATGTCGTACCTTGTTGGTGACTCCATTACATTAGTTCTTTTCAGAATCCAGATATAAAAAAAGAACGAAAGCTAACTATTGACAGTTTCACTGTAATTGGATGGACCACTGCCATTCCACATATGATCCAGCAGGTTGGGTTCGATCAGATAATTACTATTATCAACAAGGACCCTGCTGGCTCGACCTCATGGATGTACGACGCTGTCTTTGCGTCCATGCGAATCGGCCAGCGAAGGTACGTTGAGCGGATATTTTGCTGGCTGGCATACTCGCTTCGCTCCTTAACCTCTGGAGAGGTGCTAGAAGCCATCAACTCCGATTTTAATACCAGTTTCGACGAATCGGAACTTACAGCCATGTGTCACCCTCTCGCAGTCCCTGCCTTCAATGGTGAGACAAGAGTGATACAATTCATGCACAAGCGCGTCGAGAGTCATGTTCTGCAATTGCATACCTCCACTGCGACAGGTGAGGCCGACGCGAACTGGATTATTATATCGTCTTGTCTTCGATGTATCCTCCGATACGGACCGGAAGTGGCTACTGAAACAATAAACGAGTTGCCGTCTCAGTTTCTCATGTACGCCGCTAAATACTGGCCGAAGCATTTGCAATCATGTATATCGCCCTCTGTCGCTGTGAAGGAAACGGACATCCCTGATGAAGCCAGGGACTATATGCGGCAACTATTCGATCTAAATTCATCTCAGGCGTTTCTTGGTTGGCTTCGCCTCTTCGACCCTATGAACCCAACCAGGGGCTCCCAGTTGGAAGCGGCATTGGATGATTTTCCACCTCAAGCCGCCTACATCGCAGAACTAGGTCTGCCTCCAGAGATCCTACTTTTGACACCCAATAAAACAATGCCGACAGCCCAGCCAATCATGCCCATTCGGCGACGTAAGGGGTGGAAGGAGAAAGCGGGAGCATTTTGGGCTAGAAGACACTTCCTTACTGATTAAATATAGCGATAATGGCTGTTTTGTGATCATCTTCTTCTTTGGGAAGTGAATAACTATCGGGATCATATAGCACCCTCGAATGGGCAGAAATATACTTTGGATTTTCTCTGAGCAATTCTAGTGGATTACGGCAATGTTCCCTCTCGCAATAATCTACTATATCAATTTATCTATATTTTCAGTGATCAGCTGAGGAAGGCTTGGGGTGAGACGGGGAAGGGAGGTAGGCTGTGTTAAGTTGGAGACGAAAAACCAGTAGAATAGAAATTCGAGACTCATATGGAACTGCATGAGACATGCCTAGAGGGAATAGATTTTTCCGGGTAATTATTAGGAGGATATATACATCTATGCATCGCTGCTCAACCCAAAACATGAAAATGTGTCATATAAACAAATCCCCAAGATGCCATCTCGTATAGGCGTTCGAGATAGATCGCAGCATTACGCCATTCAAACCCCCTTAGGGCTTAGCCAGCTGCTCCTTACGGAAGAACAACAAGAACCCAGCACTGCAATCAATAAATCGTCAGCAAAAATACCCACCGCACCAGGGGAAAATTCAGATTTACATACCAGATAATCAACTGACAAAACAACCCAACCCAAAACCACGCATTTGCCACCGCACTCACTCCAAACGTCGGATCAGGCGAGATAGGCCCCGGGCCCAGTTTATTCGGCCCAAACCCTCTCGCCGCAATAGTAGCAATCGAGCCCAACACCTGGGAACAAATCAAAGTGAAGAGCATGTGCGTGCGCGTTAGCGTTTGGAGCAAGATAATTCCGAATCCTAGACCCTGGATGCTATCCAACACGCCAAGCCAGAGCCAGAGACTGCGCGATGCGAGTGCTCCCCCGACGTATCCGCCGGATACCCATGGTAGGAAGTACCCGATACCGGAGATTCCCCACCAGATTTGGGCCCAGCGGGGGGCTCCGAGACCACAGGCTATTAGGGGTAGGGACCAGCTGTGCGCTTTGAGGTATTTGCTGACGAGGAAGAGGAAGCCGACCCATACGAAGCCGAAGAAGACGATACAGAGGATACCGACTTGCCAGGCTTGGGCGTGGGTGGAGGACCAGAGGACTAGGTGTTTGTTAGTCGTGGTGTCGCTATAGGGTGAGAGGGATAGAAGAGGGGGGATGGGTGAAAAAGTGAGGATTGGGGTTGGAATTGGGGAAGAGAACGTACAACTCCAATTCCGGCCGTAGGGGGCACTAAGGAAGAAGTTCTGCAGGATGACAAAGACGAAGTTCCAAAGCACGATCTTTCGACGAAAGACTGCTTTGTAGAACGAGGCGATCTTGCCTGGGGCCTGGTGGTAGTAGTTGGGCAAGCCACGGAAGAGAAGGAACCCGATAATTGTTACGGCTAGAGCAATGGGGTAGCAAATGGCACTATAGGGGATGAAGTTAGCAAATGCCACATGAAATGGGATAGTCGAAGACAGGGGAGGAAACGTACGTCATCTTCCAAGAGCCAGCCACTCCAGTCGTCGTCGTCGAGACGCCCTCACTAGAGGCGGTGCTCATAGAGGATCCCCAGTACCAGAGGGCAATGACATATGCCTGTTGCAAGCCTTGAACAATGCAAGCTCTGAATATCCAAACCTCCATGGGAGCACCTCCTTCGTCGCCGAAGTTCAATGCGAAGAACAGGGAGCCACTGGCAGATGCAACCGCATACGCCCCGCTTCCGATATTTTGAATCCAGCCACGGTTGAAAGAATTATCAACCCAATGGGCAGACCCTATCAGAACGAATGCGATGCCGTAGAATAACCAGGGGAGGGACAGACAAACGACGGATTTGAAATAGCGGTAGATCAACCACCAGCAAATCGATGCAATAAGGTAGGTCAGGGCAATGCCGTATAGTTTCAATGCAGTTTCTCCGACTTGGCCAGTCAAGAGCGTAATTTGGTAGGAATTGGCAGCGAGGATCTGGCCTAGTGCAAGGAAGATGGAGTATACGGGCCAGTTACCGATGCGGATCTGCATCCAAAGCCTGATGCCGGCTGGGGGGCTGTAGTCCTTTCCGAGCAAGAATTCATCGTCGACTTCAGATCCATGTTCGTGGGAGCTCTCGGCATTAAAGCTGGACCCATCTTCCCTCGAAGCAACGGAAACGGATCCCTGCTTATCACGGAAGACGGAGGGGGCTGGTGACTTTAGCCGACCCAATTTGGCGTCGTGGAATCGTTCGAACCACTCCTTTTCACTCTTAATCAAGAATTCCTCGATACAAAAGTCCGACTCGGAATTGCTACCCTTAAGGTTTTGCAACTTTTGCTCGAAGATATTGTAATACTCTCCCGTGCTATCCGTGAAAAACGGATCCACCTTTTGCAAGCGGAAGTCCTTCTTCTGTCCCACCACCATGTCGACAGAAAGCAAGGATGCTGTACTCATCCGATTGCTGACCTCCTTGAGGCCAGCGGGAGGCAGCAGGCTTTGCTCGGCCATATTGGGTGACCCTGGTGTTCCAGGAACAGTCAGAGATTGGCTATCGCGGGCGAAGTGAGAGCTGGTTATGGCCGAAGACCCTGGTCGCTGAGCAGCTTGCATGCGACGGGCTGCTTCCAACTCCGCAGAGGTAGGGACATATTCATTGTCTGGGAAATCATCACCCTCGACATCGGTAGCCACATCTTCGGGATGTTCCTCCGTCACGGATAGCTCGTCATGGGAAGATTGAGACCGGGTGGCACGAGGCCTGTGACCAGGACCAGAGCGGACACCAAGCGAGAGTTTGCGTTGCAAACCTGAAACTGGTCTCTCGGTGGGATCGGATAGGGCAGCGAAGTCGCTAAGTCGGTTGAGGTTGGTGTAGCTGCCCTCACGGGAATGAACCATGGGGGTCTGTGTGCCCGATGAAGGCCAGAAAGCACTCGACGGCCTGGACGACAGGCTGCTGCTTTGGAAGGCGCCCGTGTTAGGGGTCCGAGGGCGTCCGTTGCCTTTAGCTGTCTTGCTATGGACTTGTATGGACGTCGTTTGGAGGATCTCCAAATCCTCCACCCATTGCGCGACGGGGAATCGCTGTTTAGCTGAGCGAGCCCGCATTTTTGCACGGGTTGCCTGCTTAGATTCTAACGCGGCATCAATCGCTTGTCTAAATTGATCAAGGAGATGGTATGTAGAGGTTGATTCGACGTTGTACCACCATCCAGGCATTTGTCCCAGTCCACCAACACGAGCTCCCACGCCTAATGCACCCTTTCGACCGAATTCTACCGCCACAAGGCCGAACGGTTCGTCTCGGGAGGGAATCAAAGCGAACTCCGCCCCCGAAAATATGTACGGAGGAAGGGCGGTGAATTCCGGCCGTGAAAAGACTCGACCAGGGTAGATTTTCATCATCTGATCGAGCTTGAGCGCAGCAAACTTTCCGTAAAGATCAATGACAGGGCCAACACAGATTAGTTGTACCTTCGGATTGGCTTCAATGACCGAGGGCATGATATCCGCAATGAGGTCGACACCTTTTTGCATGGACCATCGGCCCACAAAAACGAACAGCTCAGCTTCAGGGTCCTGGTTGAGCCCAGCCCACTCTTGCGCCTGAAGTTTAAGCGCACCACGACCTGCTTCATAATCCGGATCGACCGCGACGTCGCCTCGTTGGACTGCCATGGCTTGCTCCTTGCTCCATTCTCCCAAGTCAGAGGGGTCAGGATTGGGAAGGTTGCCCACTTTTTGCAATCCCCAAAAGATGGGATACCGGGCGTAGGATCGTTTGCCGTACTTTTTGGACACGCCGACCGCGCCAAAGCCACGCTGGTGGATTCGTAGATAACTGGCTCCGGCATGCAACAGGTTAAATACCTCACCAAATTGCACATACTGCTTCATAACGTCTGCACTGAGGTTGAAAACTGACTGTACCTCCTCACGTTCGGTGGCTGTCCGGACAGGCCAAAGACCCTGGAATTCCGCATTGTGTAGGGAGAGGCAGACGGGAATCGTCTCCGGGAGCAGGTAGAGGGGCGCTAAAGAGCCGTGGTAGTCGTTGATATGGTACAAATCGATGGGGAAGCGCTTGCATACAGCTGCGATACATTGATTCCATGCTGAATAATAGACAGCACTTTCCAGATCGTCCATGCGCGCGGGGTACGGGTTTGACTTTGTTTGTTGGCGAAAGACCGGGGCATCGAGGAGGATGTAGGTGATGTTGTTCAGGTAATGATATTGCACTTGAACCTCATACTCCGTACCCATAAGTGTCACCAGAATCGACTCGGCTGGAGTGTCAACAGGGTACTCAACGTCTCCCACGCAGGGAACCACCCAAATGAGATCCTGGTGGCTAAGGGTCTTTCCCATTAACTGGGCCATCACACCAAGACCTCCGATTTTGATCTTAATTGCCCAGTCTTCAATATCGTACTCCATGGTGGCGATCAACACCATGCGGCGCTTACCAGCGGCCGCAGCAGCGCTGAAAGGGGTGGCGGTTTGCAGCAAGCCTGATTTATTGGCTAGTCGCATGATGGGGTTGAGACGGTTGTAGTCCCCCCCACCTGGAGCTTTCCTTTCGAACCTTCGGCGCAGAGCAATTGCGAAGCCAGACTGCTTCTGGTCCACACCGACCTGGTTGAACTTGACTTTGTAGAAGGACTTGAGGAAGACCCAGAAACACGCCGCAGCTGACAGAGGAGGAACGATCCAGAATAACACAAACATCGCAATCTGCGTCGCTTGGTGTCCTACCGGAACTAGTTGGAACTTCTGGGTGGCATCGTCGATGATAAGCTTCCAGGAGATGTATGGCGAAGGCGGATGCGCTGTTATATTGATTACCGTTTCGGAGAGGGACGATGGAGGCATCCGATCAAGGACAGAATCGTTATCAGCATCACCCATCACCCATCCTTCATCTGGCGAACCATCCGGGTTCATTCCCCAGATGCTGACCTGCCCAATTGCTGGCCACTCATAAGTGAAATGGTACTTCCACAGCCCATCATCTGCATCCAGGCGTATCTCGCTATCCAATCCGGCGTCGTATCCGTATTCATTGTAGGGACCTTCCCAGAAGATGTGTGGAAAGCGTCGAGGGCCCTTCTTCCAGTCTGTATCGCCTTCCTGCACGTAATCGCTGCTACCCGACCATCTGTTCCAGTATTCGGCGCGGACGTGATACCCGTCCCAGGCTTGCTTGCTCGTGCCGGACCAGGACAACTCAGATATGGTAGTGTTTCCACCTGTGTAATCCATCCAGTCCGAATAAGTGGAGCCCCAATTTGTGGTGTATCGCCACTTGTCTGCGCCAGCAGCATGATGCTGAATGTATAGCGAGCCATTTTCGTATTTGTGAAGCAGGCTGCTGGAGTAATTGGCGGTCGTATATATCATCGGGTTGTCTATTTGACCGATTCTGAGGAGAAAGTGATCAACTGAATCTGTGGTCTCGTTCTTGTAGGTATTACTGGCGTTGTTCACGGTTATGCGGTGAATACCATTGTACACGCCAGTCAAGTTTCCTTGCCATACCCAGGCACTCGGGATGAATCCAGACCAGTCGCTTCCGGTCTCGTTGAGTGTAGCGGCTTTACAACTGACACTGTCCGTGTCTATCGATGGAGTTTTCCCCGCCTCGGTAGAAGAATTGACGTAGATGGAACTCGTAACTGAATCACAGTTCATGGCTTCGGAGAAGTAAATCTTGATCTGAACCGATTCATCCTCATCAGGTGCAACAGTGGATCGCACGGGAACATCATGCCCCGGGGACAAACCAGTGATCATAGGCCGGGGCTTGGTAAACTTGGCACGCGGGACATACGCGCGGAACTCGTAAGCCTTCATCGTCATGTTCGAAAGACAACCGTTATAGGCCGTGGACCCATTGATGCCAAGCTTTTGCGGACTGCTGCTCAATTCATGTTCATCGAAGGGGTAGAAGAGGTTCTTGACCCAAGTTCCGGTGTCGAAAGGAGATATCAATGCACTGTCATTGTCACTGCAATCGAATGTGTAGTCGATTGTCCGGTTAGTATTGTGATACACTAACCAAACTGCCTGGTTATTGCCTGTTCCCAGGTCCTGGAAGTCAGAGCTAATGCCACGGAGAACCGACCAGAGACCGGTTTCGGTAGCCGTTCCGTTGGATCCAGGGTAGTATACATTTTCGGTGTGATTCGACAGTTTGGTAACATTGTAGCCGTCATTGAGCACGGGGAAGTCGACGCGCATTTGGTACATGTGTTTTATGATGTTGCGAGCTGGGTGGGAGGGATCCCGATGGTCATAGGTTACCGTGATATCCTCGCACGCGTGACGACCCCTTGTAATAGGCCAGTCGTAAAAGGTCGAGGAGTCGAGAGAAAAACATCCGTGAGTGTGCCAGGCAGTAGCCGGCGACATGGATTGTCGTCCAAAGATGTAATTTGACGCAGTAGCATCCAGGACATAGAATGCCTGTTCCTCTCCCCACAGCAGTAGAGGAATCCCGGGCAGAAGCAAGGTTGTAACGAATTGACCAAGCAGCTGGCGCTCGGTTCCCTTCTCCAGCGTTGGCCAGCGAAAGACATCTTGGTTGGTGACACCGTACATGTGTCGAGGATCAAATTCACCTGTAGCTATGGTCAGAGTTTTCCTTGCTTTTGTTCTTGAGTGTTCGAGGTTAAGAATTACCGGTGTTAGGATTGATGAAGTCATTCGAGATCAACATCTCGTTCCAGGCAGTGACAAATTCCACCGATACATCGTATCCGGCGGACAAGCTGCCGTCCATTCCCAGGAATCGTTCGAGATTTCGATAGATCGAATAATGAAATGCGGCACCATCGATAGCATTCATGCCCTCCTCTCGCAGGAAGTATTGCGGCTCTGAGGTATTCGTGAGGTTCATGGCAACCTCAATCGAGGATGGATACTGATCAGGTTGCCGACCCCGCCCTAAATAGACCGATCCAAAGGTGTTGCCACCCGTAATTTCTCCAGCTATGAAGAAGTTCTCCTTCCCTACTGCCCGGGCGCATTCGCGATAAGCAGCTGACATATCACCCAAAGCATCAACTGTAGCCTGCGTGGCTTTATCGTAGCGGAAACCATCGACATCAAGCTGGTATATCACCAGACACGAATGCCGGATCAGTCTTTCTCGGACTGACGGGTGCCATTCACGCAGGCGGTCCTGCACGGAAGCAAACTTGGCCAATTCACGCTTCCAGTCTGGAAACACTCCGAAGGCCTCGATATCACCATATTGATCGAAGTCACTGTCGTAGCAGCCAACCAGGGAATCGGTGACCGTCTTCTGGACGGGATAGCCGTTTTCATACCAGAATCGGGGATAATCGCAGGTCTCGTTATAACTGTTACCGAAATCGAAATCTACGTATCGCCGAGCGGTCTTCCATTCGACTTTATGCTCGTCCACTGTGAAAGGCGCCGAGGTATTCAGGTAACCCTCGAATCCGATCAGATCTCCCATTCTATGGAAGTCTCGTTAGATGCCATTGCTATAGCGGTGCTTCCTCATTGCATATGGAATAGCAATGGGGAATAATGGGAGTACATACGTCGCAAGCGTGTTGTCGAAAATGACGTACATCCCACGTTTGTGGATCTCCGTGATTGCATGTCGCCATTGTGCCAGATTTCCGTAGTGTCCGTCGAGCAAGGTCGTATCCAGCGCTGAATAGCCATCATAGCCCCAGGGTTGATTCATGAGAACTGTGCCAGCCAGATAAATTCCCTAAAGCCGGAACTGATCAGCAAATCGACCTCAGCTTCCCCGATTCCCGACAGCCGGGAGTTCCGTTCCCTTAACCGACCTTGATGCCCATTCCCTGCAAATAATCCAGCGTATCGACGAGACCAGCTACATCTCCGCCATGACGCATTTGTGTTGACCAGATATCATGTTCCCATACTGAATTGTTGTAATTATCGTTGGTTGGATCTCCGTTCACAAAGCGATCAAGCATCAGGGTGTAAAACGGGAATCGCCAGTTATCCGGAGACGGAAAATAATCACCGGTGTGGTTTGGCCATTGCCCCCAATAATCTGCAGGATTTGTCGCAGTTTTGTTCTGGTTCAAATTATAATCTGCGAGCGATGCATTGTAGGGCCAAGCGACAGCCTGCCAAGCCGTCGAGGCAAGGACGAGGCCGGCGAGCACCCGCTTCATGTTGGCTGAAGCGCAACAGGCCACTTCTCGCAATTGAACAACAAAATCCAACTTGTTCTACGAGCCAGTCATAAGTACACACTTTCGAAAGGCTTACAGAATTCGAGACAGAAAACGAGAGACGCTAATAAGGGTATCTCGATGTCTTGTTCTTGAATAAGCAAAGCTAGACAAGGACCAAGAGCGGCGACCGAGCGGTCCGAAACGAAAGGCGTGTGTAGAGGTGAAAACGAGCGAAGAAACACAGAATGCAAACGAAGGATGAACAATTGGGCAGCTGAAGTCTGCAGTTGCGAATGGATGGGAATAAAAACGATGGTAAAATTAAAGTAAGACAGTCTGAGGAAACGAAGAAGCCAAATATGGGGAGACCAAGGCCAACTGCGCCCCCAGCAGAAGAAGGACTGATAAGTCTTCTCGCGGCTTCCAGCTTGTGTCCATCGATCATATCGATAACGCGACTTGACCCAGTGATAAGTCTTGGCCAGCCCTGGCCTACCCTGCTGGGCCTAATTCGAGCCACTGATTACGAGGCCATACGTACTCTCCAGGTGTTCCGCACGGCCTCATGGCAACACGATTCAGTACCCACGCCCGAACACCAAATTTAGCCCGGTCAATCCTCTGATCATCCGAAATCTGAATCTCAAGATCGAGGACACAGATACTGGCCCCTTCTCCTGCCTCAAGTCAGGCACTACACAAACTGGTTTTACTGCATGGGAGACACACCCAAACCCCGCCCGAATAGATTAGGGTGGGAAATTAAACAGCTGCCTGGGAGCCAACGGCGTGGCAGAATTTTTCCCTGTAAGTCCGAGTGGCTTTTTCGGATGTCAGGTTTAGGGGCAGCTCTAGGTTGCTGTGCCTGGCCTGGCTCGGACTTATGATTTTAGTCGCTTGGCCGGCAAAGCTTCTATTCGAAGACAGTGGCCGAGTGGAGATAAGAGACGCTCTGTGAAAGGCTGTTGTCGGCACTAACCAGGTACTAACTAGAACTAACCTCAACTAACCCAGGCCTCGACTCCACTGCATCCAAACACCATGACAAGGCCTGTGGGGGCCGGCCCGGCAGACTTACGCAATTGCCACTGGACCACGCATGGCCTCGTCACTATCACACCAATCAGCTGTTCCACGCATGAACGCTTTCCCAGCCGAAATGTGGGAAGTTAATTTGCCTTGTCCACTTCGCCCTCCAGCGCAGCCCTGCCCTCACGACAATCAGTCAATCTCCCGTGACAATCCCAGGGGATCTTCGTGTTCTAACGCTGCTACCCGTTCTCGAATGTTCGGGTGAACTGGAGTACTAGAGTAGATTACCATCGAGCGTTACAAATTTAGATGGCGTCTTTATTTTTGGTCCGCGTTGAGGGTCGTTGAAAGTGATGGATCAGGGCTTCGGGCACGCGATGCGAACGAGGGTGGGGGAGAGACTACCTATTTATGGTACCTCCGGCTTCTACCGGCCTTGTCTGCAGCCCCCCGGTCTGGCGCTCTTATCTCTCTTGCTAAGTTGCTATAGCTATCGGGGGTCCGCCCCCCCTGAATCGCGTTGCCTTGACTTGTCATTCTTTCTTTTCCCCGTTATTGCAACGGGAACAGCGCACCCGGCCTCAAACATCATGCTCAGCGGCCCGTTTGGCTGAATCGCGTGAAATTGAAACGCTTAAAACACATTCGTTAGAGTAAGCTGTTGCTTGTCATAATTCATTCGGTCACCCAAGCCCACCCACGGGAAGCAGAACCTCCACAAGGGGGCACAGAGGGTTGATCGAGGGTAGTACTGCCAATGATGTTTCGAAAATCCGCTTCCCTCCTGGGCCAACGGCTCATGGCCGTTTGTCTCCTGTGCTGGTGCGTTTCGCTAGCGACCGCCGCAAGCACAGAAGAATGGAAGACGCGATCCATCTACCAGACGATGACGGATCGGTTTGCCCTCACCAACGGTTCGACGACCGCACCATGCAATACTACGGTAGCCAACTACTGTGGCGGGTCTTGGCAGGGGACGATCGATAAGCTGGACTACATCCAAGGCATGGGGTTCGATGCGATCATGATCTCTCCCGTAATTAAAAACATTGCGGGGCGATCTAAGGACGGTGAGGCCTACCATGGATACTGGCCTCTGGATCTATACGAGATCAATTCTCATTTCGGAACCCGGGAGGAACTGTTGAAGCTGAGCGAGGAGATCCACGCACGCGGCATGTACTTGCTGCTGGACGTCGTCATCAATAATATGGCTTACATGACGGACGGCGAGGATCCTGCGACGACCATTGACTACAATGTTTTCCCTCAGTTCAATGGATCTTCATACTTCCACCCCTACTGTCTTATTACGAACTGGAATAACTATACGGACGCGCAGTGGTGTCAGACTGGTGACAATTATACTGCACTCCCAGATCTGTACACAGAACACACCGCGGTGCAGAACATCTTAATGGACTGGAGTAAATCGGTCATCAGCAATTACTCCGTCGACGGGCTACGAATCGACGCTGCCAAGTCCCTCACTCCCAGCTTTCTGCCTACATATGCGAGTACCGTGGGCGGATTCATGACCGGCGAAGTCATGGATTCGAACGCCACCAACGTGTGCAAATATCAGACGGATTACCTGCCAAGTCTTCCAAACTACCCCCTCTATTACTCCATGATCACGGCCTTCCTCAACGGCGAGCCTGCGACCTTGCTCGAGGAAATCGCGACGATCAATGATCTTTGCCCTGATACGTTCGCAATGGTCAACTTCATCGAAGATCAAGACGTTGACCGATGGGCCTACATGAATGACGACATCATGCTAGCTAAAACTGCACTGACCTTCATGATGCTCTACGACGGTATTCCCTTGGTCTACCAGGGTCTGGAGCAGGCCATTGCCTATTCCAACCGAGCGGCCTTGTGGTTGACAGATTTCGACACCAATGCGACGCTTTATAAACACATCAAGAAACTCAATGCCATCCGCAAACATGCCATTAACCTTGATTCCAGCTACATCAGTTCGAAAACATATCCCATCTATCAAGGAGGTAGCGAGTTGGCTTTCTGGAAGGGCAACAATGGACGCCAAGTCATCATGGTTTTATCTACGGCGGGCTCGAATGGTTCAGCTTATACTCTGACACTACCCGTAAGCTATGGGGCTAGTGAGGTGGTCACGGAAGTGCTGAACTGCGTCAATTATACGGTCAACACTTACAGTCAATTGGTCGTGGACATGGATAAGGGCGAACCTCGGGTCTTCTTTCCCGCTTCGATGATGCCGGGGAGCGGGCTGTGTGGCTACAATACTTCTAATGTGACGTATTCTGAGCTGAGACTTGCTGCTGTGGGATCTTCGTCGTCTGCTGGTAGCCACTCTGTCATACCGTCTGCTTTTGCTTCGCTTTTCATGGCGATAGTTGCATTTTTGGCATTCCGGATATAAGTTCATATTTTTTCTACTCAGTTTTATACCAGCAAATAAAACGATGTCCTATGAATATACACATTTCAAAAGTGGAGACAAAATTATATCTTTATATCCCTAGCACCTCCCTTTCCGTATCCTTTCCTGCAATAAAGACCTATTCAGCATTGGGAGCAGAATTACGAAGCACAGTCTCCTCAGTTCGCATACCCGCCCACCTCCAACAATTCCCCCACAATTTCTCCTGTGCTTCACGATCTTCGCTGAGCGCCGCAGGCGCCACCTTCTTCACCCCAACGAAATACCCTCTTTTCCCTCGGAACTCAGCCCCAACACTCACAACAACCAAATCGTGCCCAGCGTCCTCAATAGTACGAAACATCGTAGTCATGTACCTCAAAACGGGCATCAGAAATTCAACAACCTTAGACAACCATCGAGCCGATTTTTTCTGCCCCGCTTGCGCCCTGGAACTCGGGAGACCACCTGGGTCCATAGCGAGGGCAGTGACGCCCGATAGCCGGTCATCCTACAGAAAGCGAACGTTAATCAACGCGCACTTCGACCGGACAACAAAAGTACATACCTCCTGCAATCTGCGATTGAGATCCATCGCCAACATGACATTCGCCAACTTTGCCGTACCATATCTCTGAAACCCTTTATCATGTACAAGAGTCGGCGGATCCGGCGGGGGATGCACCAAGTCGTCCATATTCTCAGGAAACCCCGGTCTAAGAGAAGAAAGCGGGTTCGGCTTTTCGGGGTAATGGGTGACGGATCCAAGGAGGACGATGCGTCCGGAAGTCTTGTTCATGCTTCCGAGAAGTCTCAGAATCAAGAGGTAATGAGACAGATGGCATACTTGGAAAGTGCTTTCGTAACCGTCCGTCGTATAGACCTGTCCTGCTTCGAAGGAGAAGGTGGCAGCATTGCAGATTATTGCTGAGAAGGGAGGAAGTCTCTTTGAGAGGACTTGGTTAGCTACTTGATCTGCGAAGGAGCGTACGCTGGCGAGGTTCCCGAGATCGAGGGTCTCGAGGTGGAAGTTCGCTTTGGGGTATTTGGCAATTAGGTTGAGGAGTTTTGCGGTGTTTGGGTCATGCTCTGGGGAGGCGTTTCGGACGGTGGCGACTAGGGTCATTTGAGGATGGAGGGATAGTAGAGCTTGGATGAAGCCTAGGGCTAGAGAGCCGTTTGCTCCGGTGATGAGGACTGTTCCGTCCATCATGGAGGCGCTGGACTGTCTAGAGAATTGATTATATGGAAGAAAAGATGCAACCAAGTCTGAGGAAAAGAGGGGAGGACATGATGCTTATATATCCGTCCATCATGGCTTCTTCGCAGTGAAAATTTTCTTAATAGATGGTAGAATCTATGTATACGACATGAGCATAGGGATTTCGGCCAATCACAAGCGTGAGTCTATCCAGAATAAGCATTAAGCCTCATTGAGCAGGCGCAGGTCTTGGCAAAGTTAGATAATAGATGCTTTGTCAGCCATGTCAGCTGCGCAGCTTCATTTCAAATGTCATCCTAAACATTATCCAGCTCGCTATGAAGCAAATAATTCGAATGGTGTTCGTTCTTCAGAATGACGCACCGGGAGGCACCATTTATTAATGTCACACTCGTTCCGAAAGAGAAGGCCGCATTGACAGAGTCACAACAGCGAATTACTCGCTCACATGCCGCTCGCTCGGCGCATGCCCGTGTCCGACATCGGCGGATGATAGAGTATCAGGCACAGAAGCGGGGGAGAAGAGACATACGAGAAACTGTTATGGGTAGTTATCCGGGCCTCCCAGGAAGAGCACTGTCTGGGGTTTCCACATTACTTTCGGCAGACAGGCGGGACCCTTTTCTTAGCTTTGCCAGGGGTTTAAACCCGATAGAACAGTTCTTGTTTGATCATTGTATGGCCTCTCAGTTGAAGCATCCTGATTAACTTTACTGACTATCGTCAAAGATATCAACGTCGTCATCCCTCTCATGCGCTGCAATGAGAGCGCAATATTCTTCGCGCAGCGCATGATCAGACTTTGGGTTCCCACTGCGATCACAGAATCAAGCCTTCTCGATATCATCCTGCTTGCCGCATGTCGTCACTTATCTATTGCATATAGACAGAGGTCGCAGGAACAGCAGCGTATCTTCCAACAACTGACTTTTCAGTACAAGTCCCAGAGTCTGCAAGCACTAAGGCATGCCATCTCGGCTGAGATGCCGATGCTGACTGATTCAACGGTCGCGAAAGCTATAATGCTTGCCTATGATGAAGTAAGAGTTCACCTTCGGATGTTTCCGGTGATGGCGCTAACATGGAATAGTTATATGTTCGAGATGCAAAAATGCTCAAGCACCACGTAGACGCAGCCGTGGAAATGGTCACGCTGAAAGGTGGGCCCCAGACACTAGGTCTTGATGGACTCATGGAGCATTTCCTTCTAAATTTGATTACCAAGACGAGAGGCGACCTGGAACTTTCGGTCAGGACACCCTGGGAGGAATAGAAATGTTAGGGCTCGTTGTATTGATTACTGGTATTACCAATATTCCAAACATTGTAGGCTCCCAATTGGCTATTAATCAGACAAATCACGTCCATCCATGCTTTCCGGGCTCGATCGTATAATACTTTGTAAGACAAAGAGATCTGCCCAAGTGGCTGATGTCAGATGATGGCAGTGGTCCATCCGCCTCCGCTGATCCACTTTTGTCCGCAACTCAACCGCGACACACATAAGCCGGGGGCTGATAACATCAAGACCCCGCAACTACCGCAGTCAGATCACTCTAGTCGAGAGCGGACGTAATCATGTCGCTCCGCAAAAGGTCTTGCTTATCATGTGTTGCAGCCAAACGTCGGTGCGACCTGGAAAGACCCAGTTGCGCCCGCTGTCGGAAGAAGAGCGCTGCGTGTCGGTACCCATACCCGCCTCCACAGAATGCAGAGGATCAGATCACAGCACCCGAGGACCGCCAACATACCCGTAATGCCAGCAACTCTGGTATCTTGGAAGCAAGCGATATCATGCTTGTAGATAGCCGCATAGACCGATCTACGAATCTCTACCCTAGAGAGGAATATTTCGACCCACTCCTATGGTTGCCGGACGGTCCGACGAGCCCAACTCAGGCCTGGGCCATAGAACCGGACGAGTGGTTGTCTCTCAGAAGGGCATTAGATGGATCATCATCCGCATTGCTACCCCGACTGGAACGCAGAGTCTTGGAGTTTTGGCCTCGGGTCAACGATACGCAAACCTGGCGCTTTTGCATCCGAACGTTTCTAGGCTATGTCGATCATTTCTTGAACACCGGCACACTGCCTCTCGTTGAGTCACTGTCAAACCGTCAAGGGGATCTTTCGCCTGTTCTGCTGGAAGCCTATGGAGTTTGTGCCGCATATCGCACCTGTCAGCGTGCAACCCAGCCTTTTTACCTCCAGTTGTTAAAGACAGGAATCAATAATGCGGGCACGAGAGACTTGTCACAAGCGGAACTACAGCATCAACTGGATCACCTACAAGCTTCGATTCTATATTATGTTCTTTTCCTTGCGGGTGGTGTCAGTGATCAGTCCATGTTTATCCAGCTGGACTACATGTTAGCGCAGACAACAGCCAATCTAGAACGAAGAGAATTAGAACTTCGGCAGACATCTTTCGCGAACTACGTGGAGAATCGAGTGCTTTGTGAAAATTCTCGGCGACTCATCTTGGTGTCTTACCTCGTGCGTGCTGTCCATGCCGTGGTCCACTTTCACAGATGCGATTTCATCAAATATCTGGCTGGTCTACCGGTCTCCACTCAGTCAAACGCGGATATGTACATAGAGAGGAATTTTAGTGAAGGACAAACCCCTGCGCAACTGACATCTGGGGTTGTGTCCTATGATGAATTCGTGAGTGTCTGGGAGCAAGGGGGGCTGCTTCATGTGGATGATTTCAGATTCCTTTTGCTGGTGGCGTGCAAAGGGTTGGACATGGTGCAAGGGAAAGTACTTGGTAGCTGATTGTAATTAACCTATGTTCAGTGTACTAGCTTTGACTGATAGTGATACAAAGCAACGGTAACCTTACTCGTACGAAGGTGCATCCTGGTCAGTAATGCTAATTATCAGAGCGGACAAAAATGGAGTTTCTTCGTATCCACGCGGATCAGCGACGGCTGATTGACAGCCAATGCGGAGGAAAGTGGGTCCCATACAACCCGTCATTCCAGAAGATGTTGAAAAGTTCCCAACTTGGTTCTCTATATAAAGAGTGTAAAACCTACCGCTCTGAAGTAAGCATATCATTCAAACAGAAACATCTATCTCCAATTCAAGCATTCTTTCCAATTATGCAGTCCACCCAAACAGCAGTCATCACCCTATCCCTGGGCCACGCAGCCTTCGTCACTAACCATGGCATCCCGAAACCCCGCCACGATGAGATCCTCGTTCGCACTGCTGCCGTGGCCCTGAACCCAATTGACTGGATGCTTCTCGGAAGCACTCCGTCGCCAAATGCAGTCATGGGCCATGATTACGCCGGCACCGTTGTCGAAGTGGGCGAATCCGCCCAAGAGAGATTCAAAGTCGGGGACCGCGTGTGTGGACTCGTCAAGGGAGCAGATAGAACCCGCCCCGAAAGTGGTACCTTTGCAGAGTATATTGTCGCGAAAGCCGCAGTTCAGATCCGCATTCCCGATGGGGTCAGTTTCGAGGACGCAGCTACCGTGGGCGTCGGAGCCATTGCCACTGGCCAGTGTCTCTTTGGGCCATCATCACTGAATTTACCATGGCCTGAGAACCATTCCCCTAGCGAGGGTCGCGATACAATTTTGATCTATGGCGGAAGCACAGCTTCGGGATGTTGGCTGATTCAAGTTGCGAAATTGTGAGTTATCTCCTATGCTATGTTCCCGGGAGAGACAGAAAGCTAACCATGAACATCAATAGAGCCGGATACACTGTCCTGACAACCTGCTCGCCAAAGAACTTCGACCTTGTACGCCAATACGGCGCTGATGCTGTTTTCGATTATCGTGACCCTCGATGTGCGCAACTGATTCGGGAACATGCTAACAATACTCTCAGTATCGTATGTGATACTGTGTCAACGCAGGATTCAGTTCGTATCTGCGAGAAAGCCATTAGCGATGAAGGTGGTCAATATCATTCCCTACTCCCGGCGGAAATGGGCCGTGCGAATGTAAAATCCACTTTCGTCAATTGCTGCACGGCTCTTGGTGAGCCATTTGAGTACGGATCAGACTGCATGGTTATCCCTGTCATGCCGGCGGAATTTGAATTCGCGCAAAGATGGGCGGATTTGGTTACTACTCTTTGGTCTCAGGGGAGGATCAGGACATTGGTTGTGGAGAAGCGTGATGGCGGGCTGAGAAAGGTTCTTGATGGCCTGGAGGATTTGAAGAATGGCGCTGTTAGTGGCAGGAAGCTGGTGTATACGGTCTGAAATAATTAAGGTTTGTGTCTATCGATTAGCTTGCTGTAATAGTTTGTTGATATTGAACTAAATTGTCTGTGAGAAGTGTATTGCATCTGGGAGAGTCGCTCAGTGACAAAGCTAGTTCGACGAGGTGGACCTATGCCCCCAAGTAGGAACTCTGGTAATGTTCCATCATCCAAAACCCACAACGATAGCTTTAATATCAAGAGTACGAGACACTGCCATCTCATTCAGATCTAATCTATAGCTTGCACCCCCAAGACTCAAAGAGGCAGCCAATCCAGTATCCCCACTTCTCGTCAGCTTCCTCCTCTCCGTACCATTCCCGCAGTAACATGTCATATATGTACAGTATAGCGAAACAGGCTTTCAAGTACTCCTGTAAACCCAGTCTAACATCTTCACCCTCCCCCTTTAACGGGTCAGTCACATCTCCATCTTCCACGGACACGCCAACCACCTCTTCACACTGTTGCTGAGAAGCGCACATATCCGTAACCCCAAAGTAATTCCAAAACCTGCGATGCGGGACATTCTGTATTGGAAAATCATAGTCTGCAAGAGCATGTCGCGCCCAGTACTGGAAAGTTTGTGTTTCCAACAATGAAGCTACTTCATTCTTTTCCAACCGTTTATTTGTGAGCAGCACATCCATCAGATTAACCATGATATAAACTGTCAACGCTGTCTCTGCAACCAGCTCAACCCCAAACGCATGGCCCCAGTGTATACCCGCAAGGGTATGCAAAGGGATCTGAGGATGGCGCGAAAGCGTTAACAGAACAGAAATAGCTTCTTTTGATATTTGCTTCGACGTTGAGTCATGCTTTTTCCCACTTGCGGCTATGATTATCAGCATCTTGACGGCGTCAGCTAGATCGCCATCTGCGCTGGAGTAGCTTATGGGGTAATTATCGTCACTAGAGCTAGCTCTGTTGATCCAGTATTGGATGTCTCGATGCTTGGTGGATAGGGGGCTATGCAGGGCTGAGTTTGTTCTGTGCGGGCCGAGGTCGAACTGATATTCGGGGTAATATAGCAGATTACCAGAGAGAAGGTTGTTCAAAGGAACAGAGTCAAGTTGTTTGGATTCTTCAGTACATGAGAATTCGCGGATTGTTTTGGTAAAGGTCCGGCGGAAGTGGTTGAGGTCTGAGGACTCGGTGGGCTTATTGCGGGCGAAGAAGTCGGTACGTCGAGGTGTGAATCGGGGATTGCATGTTATGAGATTTAGGTGTGCGGCTGCTGTGTTCCATGGTATTTTGTGATTAAGATGCATGGTGTGTGACTGCTAATTTGCAGCTGATGGATTGTTGATGGGTTTCAGGAGCTACGACGATTCTGTTAGTGCAGGGTTCAATGACGGAAGGAGGGGTTTTCTTGGCTTTTAGTCTATTTTTGGAATTGTTTATTGGAGCGAACAGCGTTTCGTTCAAAGAAGCTACTGTTCCAGACAGTTTTTCGTGATGAAGATAGACACAATATGGTATGGATAATATGGTAGGATTCGATATTATATTGAAAAATATTATAATTGAAACTAGCAATAGTTGTTAGAACCGTATCTTATCTGACAAATCCCTATTGCCTTTTCTTCACTAAGGTTGGCTTGGGTTGCGACAAACATTCTACTTATTCCGGCAGCAATTCGACATTCTTGTCTGCATTCGGAAGCAGTACTCTAATCTGAGGCAGGTATATGATACCTGATTTAATCGCATCTAATCACTCTTTAGCCGTTCCCCAAATTGTGGGTAGGCTGCAAATATATATCATATGATAATCTAAGATACTTAGTATATACTGATCCAAATATATACAGGCTAATCTATATAGTCTACTGGAAAGCTTCCAGAGATTCGTCGTTCCATCTATTTTTCTTGTCAGTTTTGCTGCATAGCCATGGAGCCATAGGAGAACAAGAGTAAAACTTACGTTAAGTACTTGCCAGTCAGCGACTTCGGCGCGTCAATCACCAATTTAGCCATTACATGACCAGGCTGTTCGGGCTTCAGGAGGTTTCCAGCCTGGTGGGCTGTAGTAAACACAGAGTGGAATTGACGGTCCATAGTAGTAGCCAAATCTTCACGAATCTGTCTCTGGATTTCGGTATCAACCAAGCCCGGGTCAATAGACACAGAGGTCACCTCGGGCTCTTCTTCCCCAAGGCTCAAAGCCAGGTGGTTCATGGCTGCCTTGGTCGCGCCATACAGACCCCATCCCTTGAATCCCGAGACGGATGCGCCGGAAGACGTGAAGACGATCTTACCCTTGGATTCGCGAAGGGCAGGGAGTCCTGCTTTGATCTGTTCCAGCGTGTCAGTAACCAGCAGCGATATCCCGCTCCTCTGTACCACCGCCTCAAGGAAGACCATGAGAGTAACTTACAAACGCCACCAAGCTGATGAAATTGACATCAAATCCATGCTGCCATTGTTGCGGATCCGCCTCTGCAACGTTGGCAACCTGACCCAGCATGCCGTGGTTGAGAACCAAGCCATCAAGGCGGCCGAACGCCTTCAAGGCCAGGTCAACGGCCTTCTGGCCGAGCGAGAAGTCCGCCAGATCGCCGGTCAGGACCTCGACTTGGGTGGGGTACTGGTCTTTCAGCTTCTGGAGGGGCTCCGCGCTACGGGCCATCACAACCACATTGTGGGATTGAGGCGCCGAGAGGAGGAACTTAGCCGTTGCGAGACCGATACCTGTACCGTGGATAGGATATTTAGCGTCGACGATTGCCTATATAGACGCTGACATGAGCGTTAGATTGTGTTGATTTTCGTACCTCTCGAGGCACCGGTGACGATGAAAGTCTTGGAAGCCATATTGAATCAAACAGGAGGTGACCCAAAAAAAAAAAAAAAAAAGAATGTGAAGTATTATGAGGAAGCTGAGGTAAAGAAAAGAAATATGACCTACAGGGAAAATTATCAGCCGATAATCTGAGTCAAATTCACCGGAGTCAGAAATTAGTGCATTCCGTCATGCAACGGAGAATTTCCGATAACCGATAAGTGCCACATGTGCGGCACTGACGATGCAGGGTCTGCAATTCATTTTAGCGTCGAGCATATCAAAGTTTCCATGAATATTACCCTGTTGCAAAAGAAGACAGGTACATACGACCATAGGGTGTGGAAAACAGGGCTTCCCGTCCGCTCAGCCGTACTTAAGCCACACGCCGGGAGGTTAGTAGTTGGGTGGGTGACCACCAGCGAATCCCTTCTGTTGCATGTTTTTATATTTCGCTCAGCTGTGAGAGAGCGCGAGCCTACTTACCTCTATCTCGACAATGGACGTGCCACGCTCCCGGTGCGTGAAGGAGAGGTTGCCTGCATGTTGATTTTTCCTTTGAAATACCACTTAAGTAGATAGCAACAGCCTCGGCTTTGTAACACTCCTCGGAAAACGAATATGCCCATTACATTGCCAACTAATATCGTCGAATAATGGACTTCGATCCCTAGTATGAGTGGACAGTGACATCCCGGGGTTCAAAATGAGCCGTGTTGTCTTATTTGTTCGTTGTACATAAGCCCTCTATCCTGACAACGTAAGCCTATTTCATTACATTCAGCAGTATGCCAATGCAGCTGAAAGTTATCATAAATCAAGTCATTGTAATAGCCAAACAATTCATATTAGTTTCTTTCTTTCCCAGATACTCTCTTCTCTTTAAGACTGTTATATTATTGAGTCTATACAAATGATTAGAATGTTATATCAAGCCTTAGCTTTGGAGGATATGAAGGGGCGCGTAGCCTGGCTTTCAACAGTTCTATTGAATAAAAATCTTCTTAGTATGACATACTGCTATAGCATTTCATGTAACACTACGTCTAGTAATATAAACACAGGGTATAGAAAATTTGATCGCGGCAAGCCAAGCCTAGAAGGCAGCCAGCGACGCTGATATACCTTTGCTTTCTTGCAGACAAGAAAAAAAGGACTGAAATAACACGCCAAATTTACCCCTTCCTTTTACGATAGTAAGACTGTATGGGATCAAAAGAAGAGTAGAGATTGAAGAGATCCAGCGAGATATCTACTACTACCTTTTCCATGTTGGAACCAGAACTCTGGTCACGGGAAGGCCTGCTTAACATGAACGGCAATCATTTCTCTCCTCCTGCAGGCGCTCCCACAACGGCTGCACCGCCTCCTCATCCAAGTGGCGAAAGGGGAAGATGTATTTGACAGTTGCCCTCAGCTCCGTGACCTTCCAGTCCTTGCGCTAGAGCTAGCGGTCCTCAATGTCATGCAGGGTTTTTGTCGCAGCTATCCGACCACTGGGTTCCACCGCGCGCACGCGGGATGAAGAAGCCCATGTTCGTCTACGTGGTATTCCACTTCCAGTGTTCCACGGCCGTCCAGTGTCAAGCAGCGAACGGAACGTAACCCATCCAGCTAGCCACGCATAAACCGATTCAGAAAACCTTTGAGTTGAATAGATTCATATCTGGTGGGACATGCGGACCATTGGGTACCTGCGAGAGCTTTGGCAAGAAATCCACTTATCTTCGATAGTTCTGGATGCATTTATGTGTGACCAATTCCACTTTATTGGCTTTCAGTGATACAATGGATGGTTGTCTGCCCTTGATCGGGGTATTGACCGCGTTAGCTCCGATCGAACAGACAGATGATCTACGGAAACCCATTAATAAAGGTCCGATAGAGACTCACCTGTCTATGCCAAGACTTTCGACTAGCCTGTCTGTATCATCATTGGAGGCATGGAGTCTTGGAGGCGAGAATTGAGACGCTACGATGGAGGGAAGCATGGCGAGCCAGTACCCTCACCGCTAGGTGAGGGGGGGGGAGGGGAGCGCTCACTCACACGTATTACACAAGAAGGCACTGCTATGACAAGAAGTAGATCGATGGAAGTGGGCCATGCGCAACGCCATTGAGATCACTCATCTCCGGTTCTTCCGCAAGAGATTGGCGAGAATTAATTTCCCAGCCGATTCAGCTGAGTAGTTCGTGCCATGGTGGTGGAGAAGCTGGAGACGCCGATCCCCCCATCAAAGCTCTCCGAACCGTTCTGCACCGAGGGGGGGGATAAATGGACATATTACGGCGATTTCCACCTCCCCTTCGCGAAGATCGCCCATTTGAAGTTATCACTGGAAGTATACGATACCGTGGGAGGTCTACGTGCACTTCTTTGCTGCAAGGGCGACAAATGGGATGATGGTCAGGACATGGCCAACCGACCGGTTCGCAACATCCCAGCTTCCTCGACCGACGCAAATCAGGAAAAACCTGGGGATAAGCCCGAAGAGGACTGCGTTCTGGACAATTCCGGCAAGGAAACACCTCCGCGCAATCTATGGAAAGAAGCCTACGACGGACTGCCTTCCAAGCTACAGGAATATAGTACACCAAACATGGCATTAGATGGCTGGTAAACACCACCCACGATTTGATGCCGAAGTATTCAATTTCAGACTGCTTAATCCCCTGGATGCGCATTATATGTCCTCGCTGTGGCCAGAATTCGTCATTGATGCCGAAGCCGAGACAATTGCCCAAAGAGCCAGTATTGTGGATACTATGGGACACCTGTGGTGGATTTGGCGCTGCAAGAGCGTACCAGACGCATTTCGAGTGTTGTGTTGGAAAGATATTGGGCTTGGCGTGCTGCAAAGGACTTGTCTTTGGCTTGAGTTCGTATGAGTTAGAAGTTTGGGTGTTTGCATAGTCGATTTTATAGGATTGTATAGTCATTCTAATTCCGATGGCTTGTTTGTTCTTTAAGATAGATTGCTTTGCCTTTCTTCCTTGGGGAGATCTTCTATATTCATTTCGGTGTACAACTTATCATTTCACACAAGGTAGGGGGACAAATGGATATAGTAGGTTTCTCCTCGATATGTTTTTCCCCTCTTTTGTCTAAACCAAGCGCCCTTACAGCGAAGCTAGTAACAGTATAACAGAAAGGCTCAGCTACCAGGCGCGAGATCCAAGGCCAAAATAAGTGACATAATGTCCGCTGATGCGCTAACCGCTTGACCAGGAAATTTATATCGCGTTTATCCGATCGGTCGATGGAGAGTGTGTCTCAACAATGTCATAACCAACCCCATGGCCCTGGTCCTTTTCAGCTCTGGTCACAAAAGCACTCCGTAAGCACTGCTAACACAAAGGCATCGCGTTAGTGGTGAAAGTAACGAACGTACTCATGGCGGCGAGGTTAGTCTTCGCACGTATCCGTCTCCTCCGAATAGTAAGAAGCAGCATCCGTTTCAGTCACGTTGACCATAGCAGAAGCATCAATAGAGCCTGAACCACTAGTCCAGACGGCCGGACCCGGCATTGGGTAATCCTTCATGCCTCCCCAGATACTGAAGTTGAATGAGGGGTCATCCTTTTTATAACCACCTGGGAATTTGATCGTAGGTCCTGGGTTTCCATTACCACCACCTGTGACCTTAACTTGAGCGCACCTGGAAATATTGTCAATAATCAATCCTAAGCAAGTAAGACGATGATAGCTTACTCGTAGTAGAACTCAGCCTGTCCATCATGTGCTCCATGCACACCTTTAAGCAAGTTAGTATACTTGCCCACCTTCCAAGAATATCGAAGAAGACCTACCGATATGCTCCGGCCGAATCAGATACTCTCCATCCGGCAGGTCCGCAGGAACTGTAAACTCAATACGGTCCTTATCCCAGGTACACCAGGCATCGGTCTTGATGTCCTTGCTCTGGTCACAAATGCCCTCCTCATGGATCTTGAACCAGTCGCCGTCGCCCTCATACTGCTTGGCCGAGCCGGGCGCTTTAGACATATACACGAGACCAGGGCCAGGGTGCTTCATCGTCGCTCCCACGCCGAGCTTCATTGCAAGCTTCGACCCTGCCTTGACCTCCGCCGTGCCGGTCTGGCCAGCGAAGGTGAAGGAGCCCTTATTGCAGCGGAAGTCCGGCATATCCGGGGTCATATCGTCGCGGGTGTTTTTCCATTTTGTAGGGTTGTATTTGGCCGGCCGAGTGTTGGAACGAACGTATTGGTTAGGAGTGGTCTCCTGGCCGTCAATGACGAGGGTGTCGAAGAAGTAATGCGCCGACACCAAAGGTGCAATCAATGCGGTAGTAAGAAGAGTGAGCTTCATATTGAAGAATAGAATAAAGTTTTTTTTTTGTGAATGAAGGGAAGGGCCAGCCTAGCAGAAATAAAAACTTTTGTAGTAGCAATAGATAGAAGGAATTGGGATTCAATGGCTATACTGTGGTATTTACCGTCTTATATAACTGCCGGTGTAGCTCATGCGGTGTTAATAATCTGGTATTTCAGAGATAGAATGATAGCAATTGCCTGCAACATTCTGAATACCTCTTGTCCAGTCCATAATAATCAACTCTATATCCGAAACCTGCCAAGTCCACTGAGGCCTGTAGGCCATCCTTTGCGTTGTTCTCCATGCCTCATATCGGCAAGGCTGCTAAATGCCAAGCCTTGAAAGTTCAAATGTCACTATCGAAAGGTCGACATTATGCTTGGCATTATCGGCTTTATCCAACATATGATACAGTATCTTTGCTATTGTTCTAGGCCCTATAAGGTATCAGTATACCACGTATTTGCCTTTTTGGTGACACGGTAAGCGGCAGGTTGAGAGCTAGTCTATTGTAGTAATCTTGGCATTATGTAACTAACGGAGTGAACTGCAAGCCTTATGGCAACTAGAAGCCTTTGTCATATGTTCCTCGAGGAAGGATTTTACACTAACGTGAAATGAGCCTCCAGAAGCCCTATGGTTGTGGGAGGTGGCAGTCTGAAACACTAGGAGTTACACCACTAATTATAGACCATCAAGAGAACCTTCATTGGACCCTCATCTAACTGGATACGGTAAGATGGCAGGGCTGTTAGCTCAGGGTCCAGGGTCCAGGGTCCACACTCCGAACAACCTCGGCTTGTCGTAGGCTCGTAGCACCTTACACATCCATTACTAAGGTCAACAGGGTAGAACCTGGGAATCTATCCGAGCAACTAATTACGTAGGTAGGAAAGCGGTTGTGCAAGCCCAACAGTCATCGAAGTTTTATACACACCCAAGATGGTTTTCGGAAATAACGCACTATAGCATCTGCTAATCCTTTCAAAAGCGCCTTATATTGAGGTAAACAATCGTTGGAATAGGCAGGGCGATGTAGCCAGTTGAATCACACCTGGCATGGCCCACAAAGCAGAAGCCAGCTTCCATCGAACCAAACCAGACCCAACGACAACCACTTCATACCGCAGAAACTTGCTGCAAGTCACTTTCATACGGGACCCATTCCGCGTTCGGCAGTGAAAATGGCGCTCTATTGCCGATGGGATCTTGGCATGTCAATCTAACTTATTTAGATGGACATCAGCTACTAGTCCGTGCAAATCAGAAGGCCTTAAACAAGTCGCCAAGCATCCTGTGGCGGAAATTATCCAAAGTACATCAACGGGCCAAGAGTTTAGCCTGATTCAGGGTCCTTCATCCACCACTGACCCACCATGACAATGAATGAAATGCTTTCCATTTGATAGCCTAGGGCTACGCCTCTCTGCGATGCTTTGACCTATCCTCAAGGGTCTTATGGGATTCTCCATCTCTTGGCAACTACTGTAACCTTAACGGTGTCATCATGCAACAGTCTCAGACGTCGTCCCGTGTACAGGGTTCACCGGACGAAGGAGATAATAGGCTATAGTTTCGACAGAGATCTGCCGGCAGAGGGGATTAACAAGTCTGCCCAGGGCGAAGGAATGAAGACGAGACATCTAATGCAACGTACTATTATCCAGAGCTCCGTTCCTGCATGGGAAGGGAGCATCATGAGAATCAACCTCGCGGTTAAATCATGGACATATAAACGGAGGCCAATCTGCCACTGAGTTCCCAGTTCCGCTGTCCATCTCACCAGTCTCCAGTTTCGCAAGCACTTCTATTCTATCAAGCATCCAATCAGTGATAATGACTCGATCAATCTTCATCCATACTCTCTTGGCCCTCAGTGCCCTCACTTCAGTCCACGGCGCGAACTCTCCAGGCTGCGGCAAAAACCCTACTCTAGCCAATGGCGTCCACCAGATAAACGGCCGCGAATACACCCTCAAAATCCCCGACGACTACGACGCAAACAACCCATATCACCTCATCTTCGGACTCCACTGGCGCGGCGGCAACATGGACAACGTCGTCAGCGGCGACAGCATCCAACCCTGGTACGGCCTTGAATCTCGGGCGCAAGGCAGTGCAATCTTCATAGCGCCCAATGGCCTGAACGCCGGCTGGGCCAATACCAACGGCGAAGACGTAGCGTTCATCGACGCCATTATGGAACAAGTTGAGAGTGATCTCTGTGTAGACCAGAGCTCTCGCTTCGCGACGGGTTTCTCCTGGGGTGGTGGAATGAGTTACTCCCTTGCTTGCTCGCGGGCGAAGGAGTTCAGGGCTGTGAGTGTTTTGAGTGGTGGGGTGATTAGTGGGTGTGATGGGGGTAATGATCCTATTGCTTATTTGGGGATCCATGGTATCAATGATCCGGTCCTTCCGTTCGATGGGGGCGTGGAGCTGGCGGAGAGGTTTGTTGGGAATAATGGCTGCCAGCCAGCAAGCATTGAGAAGCCTCAGTCTGGGAGTAACGGGTGGAAACGAACGGACTTTTATGGCTGCTCTAAGCCAGTCTCGTTTATTGCGTATGATGGCGGTCATGATGGTGCGCCGCTTGGCGTGCAAAGCTCGTTGGCTCCTGATGCTACCTGGGAGTTCTTTATGGCTGCTTAAGGACAGTGTCACATGGATGTGCCTCTCGAAAAGAAGTACATGGTGCATAGCCCCTATACTTACGTCTATCAAGTACAAAAGTGCTTGGGCAACTAGACCCACATTTATTGGCACTATAGTTCAACGTTCATCAGGGGAAGTTTTTTGTGAGAAGTAGTACTGTTATAAATAACCATCCATGATTCCTATCGAGAGAAACCGCCAAATCAGACTCTCAATTCAGGAACGCCTCGATTAACACAAGCCACTCACGTAGGCCGCATTTGATTTCATCAAGGCTTTCAATACACGCGTAAATGTGTTGCATGTTTCCGACATACGCAAGAATTCCTATACCTCATCCGTCAAATAGAAGTCGTGGTATCGCTTTGTCAAGGTCTTTGTTCGGCGAGTACTCTTAAAAATAAGCTTAATTATCAGAATTATAGTAACTATAAAGAGCAGCCATTCTAATGCACCAATTACTACAGCTGCCATAAGTAATTAACAGTGGTTCTCTTCTACTGGATATAAATTACTCTCTATATTAACAGCCACCGTAATCAAGCCGGCCAGCTATAAGAAAAGAGCTATAATCTCAACAAAAATAGAAAAAAAGTTAATTACTGTATACTCCACGAAGCTAATTTTAGTAGTGAAGAAGAGAAAGATAATATCCAGAGATATTTATTTAGTATAGAATATTAAGAAGTTCTATTTGTCAGGCACATTAGTATAAGTATAGAAGTTACTGTATATAAAATTCATATAGTCAGTATAGCTGCGGTATATACAGATAGCTAGATAATACTAGTCAGACTAAATAAATATTTTAAGAGAATAGGATATAGTATAATATATAGTATTTCAGTATATATCTCTTTCTTTATTTGGTCTCTACCACATCTTCCAAAACCGCAATCCCTAATTTACTCTAATCTAAGAATCCTTTCTTATCTACCGCAATCTGCGCTGCCGCTTCGGGAGCCATCATCTTTACTAAGAATATCTGGAAGGCCGCCTGGTCCGTAAAGATGAGTTCAGTATAAATATTAAAGTTGAAATCTGTCTGCTGGCCGATAAAAATCATAATAAATATGAGAGTATTATGGATTAAGTTATTCTCTCCAGCTGGAGATTATTACCTAATAATGGTGCGCACGATGTACATATGCTTATAGAATAAGAGAAAGTCGTTGCCAGACAGATACTTGACCAGTTTGATATGGGCTTTATAACAGTCTTTGAAAATATGGAGGTCGAGACCGGGTTTGCAGTAGGCGTAGATGAGGACGCGGACGGACATTTTGGGTGGGGAGGATTTGTTGGTTTGGATTGAGGAAATTTTTTGAGTAGGAAGAAGAGAGAATTGGAAGTTTGAGGAGAGATTGAGAAACATTAGGAGAGGGGTTGTGGAGAGGGGGAGGCTATATAAGTGTTTATTTATCTTTTCTGGCCTTGTCTATTTAGGTAAAGTAGTTGTGTGTTTAGTGCTTACTTGGTTATAACTTGATGTCCTGTTGGCTGTCAACAGATCCACCTTGGTGGGCTAGCCACAGACTACTGCATGCACTGCCTCGGATCAACACGTCAAGATATATCAGTCGGCAAAGCTTTCTATATAATTGGAGCAGTAAGATGATGTCTTGGTCCCTGGCCGACCCAACGGAGCCGGTCCGAACCTAACGAGGTGGATACTACTACTACCATCGATTCGAATCCACTGGGCTATACAGTATCCACACGCGCGCGACCCGCAATTGCTCCGTGATCGCAGTCTTCGGCTACTCATCCATCGGTCCGCGCTTCTAAATCGGTTGAGAAGAAAGCAGATCTCTTATAGACAGATCGGCAATGGTGTCTCAAGTACCCCCTCGCTCACTGCCCGCCTCATCGAAGACAAGCAATACTCAATTGTTACGCTACTATTTCTCCTGCCTGTCTACTAGAGGCGATGCTACGGCTGGAGGGATCTAGGTGTTGTTCCCTGAGACAGGGCAGTTGCGGAGGAGAACATGATGGGAAAAGCCATTCTTAGATAGCGGAACCCAAACGCTCTCTCGTAGTTTCCATTATCGAGTACATTGGTAGTTGCCTATTCCCCAGAAACCACCGGGTCTTTTCTCCCTTTTCCTCTTCTCCTTTCTTCTCCTTTCCTCAAGTTTCCGTCCAAGATCTTTCCATAGATACTGAATATTGACGCCAAACTTATACTTCTTTTTTAAAACTCGACTCCAACGCCCCCCCAACGACGACAATGCCGGCATCACCGTGAGTTTGGCTTTCAAGCATGAAAAAGTCTTTATCTGACGATTTGTTAGGATGATGTCGGCCGACGACGGGTCGCTCACCGGAGCGGCCCAAGCCCCCCTCCTGACAACGGCGCGCACGGTGGCCACCCTCCGTCAAGCGTCTATTCTTGGTGGGGTCCAGATGAGTCCAGTTGGCTCCTTCTCGCGGATCCCAACGATATCTCTCTGGACCCCACCGAGCAATTGAAGCGGCAAGACTTCCTCCTGGAATATGGGCACTACGCGGGCCGGGTTTGGGACTGCCTGGTGAAGGCGTCCGTTGCGCTACGGCTTCAGATCACGTTGAGCGTCGTCCAGTTCCGTGACAAGCTTACCCAAGGAGAATCCAATGATTCTTCCAGCGGACGGCAATATTGGATCCGCCTTCTCGAAAGATGCGTCGAGTATCTCAGAGAGCAGGGCCTGGATATCGACCTTGACATGGCGAAGCTGGCAATTCTGGTCTATAGCAAGCGGGACCTCCTTTGTCGCGCTAGGATAGGGGATGTACCTGCCTCGACCTCTGCCGCGCTGAGGAGAGAAATCGAGCAGGCCAACAACCACCTCCCCGAGGTCCTGTCAAGGGATCAGTCCCGCAGCTATAGTACCCGGCAACGGATTCGGGCCTTCTACGGCAGTCCCCAAGACATGAAATACTCCAGACTTGGCGCTGAGTCTGCCCCTGTCTTGCCGGAGCCCGACTGCAGACACCTGCCCCGAGACGCACAGCGCCGTGCGTTCCAGAACCGTGTTTTCGCCGATCGCGTTGACGCGACTTTCCAGACAATCAACGAGCGGATCCCGGTCACCTTTCGTCCTATTCGTTGTCAAACGCGGACGAAGCGTAGTGTGTCGGATCCGCTCGAATACGTTCCTCGGAAAAGGCGTGCCCTTGGATCGCTGGACTGAGGAACGTATCGATGGAAAGCCTGCCGACGCGCCATCCTCCACCGTGGCCTTTGGAAACGTGGAGGATGCCTGCATATATCAAGATATGTGCAGGGATCTCGATCACACGCTCGGCAAAAACCGGGGAATGGGCCGCAAGGCTCTCCAGGAGGCACGGAAGGTGGTCCGCCGTGCGCGGGCTAACGTTGAATAGGTCGGAGGGAGGGGGAGTGATAAAGGGCCCCGTCATCGGCGGTAAGTAAGGACTACTTTTGATTCTCTGGTGATTTGCGCTGACTTCTTCTTGACTCCGCCTCGTGCGGAGTCCCCCCAGCGATGAGCTTGCACCTTACCGTGGTGCTGGGGTTCAGTATTCCTCTGAAAGGAGGAAGAAGCCAAGACAAGCTCTTTCGTAGAACATAGGATGTGTAGAGAGTCAGAATAGCGTGAGTGTGAAATCACAGAGAAGGGTGAGGTTGATGCCTGGGTTGTTGTAGGGGAGTAGTTCTTATGTCCGGACAATTATCCCGCAGTACTATAAGACATACATCCTGTATATAGCAATCTCGCAGCCTGAAATATCGGCCGTAGGCGACTTGGGAATCATATTCGAGGATAAGGCCTTAATCAATCCAACATCCATCAGCTACATTAGCATGACTTGCTCTTCCGCTGTATGCACATCCTGAGTTCATGTTGTGGCGGCTATTCGAGTAAATTGCTCCTTGGTTAGTTGCTCGGCAGCCCATGCAAACTATACTCTCCCAGAAAAAGGTACTGTAACTCAGGTATCGTTTCACGCGAGCCTCCTCACAAGGGCCCTGGTTACTACTGCGTAGCTAGTATCTTCGACCTCAGAGGATCTCTTGCTCTCCATCAATACAATGAATTCCGGCGTGAGTTTCAAGGGCGGAGATCACAATAATGGGGAACTAGATACGGAGTAGGCAAACGTGGACTCCACATGCTACATACACCGTATCATATACTCGTCGCGTGTTATACACAGGCTTTACGGATAAATAACCACAGTATATCACTTCTAGTAGGGATTGAAGACAACAATCGACGCGTCAAGCTGTATTGGTAAGTATGGCTGCGTGTTCTTGTTCTCTGCTTCTCGTCCCTAGTCTTCCTCTACTTTCTTCATTCTCCTTCCCCGTCACTGGACGCTCCTAGAGACCATAAACACTCTCCTCGTCACTTTACTAGGACCTTCGTTGACAATCGATTCATCCAATCTACATCTTTTTCAACCAGTTGATTGATTTTTCCTTATAGAGATGATTGACATCAAGCAGGAGTGTGGGTGGTGCAAGCAATCGGTAGTAAGCGACATGGAAGCCTTTTTCTTACAATTATCTCTCATCTCTTACAACTTTTACACTCCCCTTCGCTTGAAGCTTTTGCACATCCACTTTCCCTCAACCCTGCTGTTCAACCGGACGACTTCTATTGCTCAAGCGCTTCTTCTCATTCCTGAAGCTATGTGAACCTTTCTTTCTTCGTGACGCTTTTGCTTCCGACAAGGACACGAGAACTGCATGACTCTGTTATGAGCTTTACTCTGAGAGCTGCTCTTATGGAGGTCCATTCTTCTATATGGTGTCCCATCAACCTAGAATGGTAAGTCTCACATTGACTAGCGATCGTGTGTCCCGCTTCTGACGATTTTGCTTCTGAAAGGGTCACAGAGATACCGACTGCGCTCTAAGAGATATGATCCAAGAGCTGGAGGCCCACCCACCTGAAAGCTGGGCCTCACTGATACTCAGAGAGCACTAGATCGCTTGTGGGCTGTCGGAGAAGAGGTCGACGGCGAAGAATCAAATACTGCGAGTGTTTCAGAGCTCAGTCTACACTTATTGTAGAAAATTCGTGAACTTGGTAGTCGTCATTACACCAAGCTATTACTCCAGTTCAGGCGAGGTATGGGAACCACACGATGCATACGGTATGTACCTGTAGCTATGTGACAGAGGCGAGCTATAGACTTATGCTAACACAGTTTGACATAGGGCCGCCTAGCAGCTGCACCAACATCGCTGCAACGAATGCTCGAACCATTTCATCGGGACAAATGCCTCGACCTATTCACAACCCCTTAAGCCTACCTGTCCTCTACCCGGGCGCGTACCAATGAATCGACGTAACAATCGCAATCGAAGAGCTTGGGAACGGCGCTTTCTCAACATAAGAAGGAGCTGGCCAGCAGAAAGCAAGAAGTGGTTGTTAGACAAAGACAAGGGATGGTGACTTGCAGGGATGCTGAAGCCAGTTGCGACAGGGGTTGGTAGCTGATGTGTTTCTACCTACCTCCTTCATGGGTTACATTATGGAAACGATGGATGATCATGACATAGGTTCTATGAATGCCAGACCACCCTATCCTGTGCTACCCTGCATGGCATGGATGATATACTTGAATGAACAGACTCCTTTTGCACTATATGAACCTTAACCTACTACTTCCAAGTACATACGACCACAGGGTGTGGAGAACAGGGCTTCCCGTCCGCTCAGCCGTACTTAAGCCACACGCCGGGAGGTTAGTAGTTGGGTGGGTGACCACCAGCGAATCCCTTCTGTTGTATGTTTTTACCCTTTGTGACCTGTCTCCTTTCAAGGCAGTCGAAATGCTGGTTGTCAATAAGATTTTTTGTGCCCTGTTACAGACAACTCAGCCTCGCGGAACTCTGTTACTTTGGATCACGTGACTCCATATTGCCGTGATCTTTGACGAAGTCCAACTTAAGGAACGCTGCCCTCTGGGTATTAGGCTAAACCCCTCTTGATATGAGTCTTCTACGGAGAATAATTGGTCCAGATAGGGCATGGCTAGTTCCAAGGCTATTACTACATGTTAGCCTACCTAATTCGGCGATTTGCAGCTCTTTCCCCCGCCCTTGAGATGAATCGATTATTTCTGCCTGACAGAAAGCTATACCTTATTGGGGTATGATCTACCTTTGGGAGGTCTAATCCCCAAAGGCATCACTTCGCAGGCTACCCGAGGCCAGATAAACCAAGAGCGTGCTTCCCTGCGCCAGCACCCTAGCGAATCCTAATCATGTGCTGGTAGTAACTGGTCGGTAGACGTGCTCAAGGATCGCTTTTCCGATGCCTCTTACTGGGGGAGGGGAGAGGGGGTAAACCCACTCGAATTTACTTTCGACGGCTGCGTACTGATGTTGTCTGCTCTAGAGCAACTGGGAGCCACTTGCCTTCCCATGGATGTAAAATTAACTGTATGCAGTCTCCACTGGCAGCCGCTAGCAATGTTATAAGTATAACCGTGTAACAAGGTGACAGTGCAAAGACACTTAGTAATAACATATAAGAAAGCATCTACTAGTAGTTCACTGCGTCTTCACTTTCACTTCTTTCTGAATAGCATTCAGTATTTTACTCAAAAATCTACTCTTACTTGGAGATCCTAAAATCCCAGGAAGGCCAGTCTACTTGTGTCTATATATAGTAGCACCGGCCGTTGGCATATGATTTCAGATACCAGATGTGTCATTAGAAGCAAAAATGTTACACTGGTTGCAGTGGATGCCTCGGGCCAGCTGAGAAGGTGAGACAACAAGCAAAGAACCTTAGGTAAAACAAATGATAGCTACTAGACAAGAAGAGACCATAAATTCATAATCCAAATGAAGCACCAAAATATTCGTAACTCTCTCTGTTTTCTGCCCTTGAGGTGATGTTAGAGCCGGAAAATGCGATAGGGAAGCACAGTTACCAAGTACTCACCATGCCTCAGAAGCCCATCGAACGTGGATATTCAGGAAGATTTGTGTAATGTAGAATACGCCCATCATTGTCTCTACAGTACTCAAAGAAATCGCATTTGCCAACGGCGCAAACGTAGTGAATCGCCCCACGAACTTTCTGTTGGCTATCCCATCCAGCTATTTGCCTGCGGCTAAAAAGGTATCCCTCGCAGTAGCATACGGGGTTGTTCAAATGGATGCCCCGCATGTCGCCAAAGCAGGAAAACCTGTTGCATGGCTCACATCTAAAGTAAGGTCTTCCATCGTGGCCAAGGTGGTTCCCTCTTCGTGCGGTTCTTTCGGTTGTCGGTCGTCTACAACTGAGGCACAAGGGGGCACTGCGAATCGCCCAATGTGAAGCTTCAGGGTCCATGGTTATTTTCAAGGACAGACACGATATAGTGTGTTAGAAGACAGATCAAGAGTGAACGCAGGACCAAAATATTGCACTCTAAGAGGACATCTAAGTTTTAAGAGGAAACATTTCGAGATTGATGACGGTGGGATGGAAGGGTGGCATATAGGCACATGCACCACTCCTTAGGTCGGTAGCTGAATTGGGCAGCCATGCGGCAGGTATCTATATGCGAGTGGACTTGGTTCTTGTAGTAGTAAGAACCTTAATCTATTTAATTCGTTGAGATCATAGCTTTGAGATTCGATAACAACTAAATTATTATATTGTCCCTCTATTTTTCATTTCTTTTTCATCATAATTTTAGATATCTTTTATTCTGGACACATGAATGTTTATTAAACATTAATCTCGCAACCAGTGAATAGCGAAAAGAAGCTCAGCTCTGATGTTCCGCTCCCATTAGAAAACCCATGCTGAGCCTCGTGGTACATAACGGCTCATTGAACATCACTTGGCTTCGAAATATCTCCGCCCACTCATAATAGGTTCCCCATTCAATCCCTACCATGATCCACAATGCATCTGGCCAAGAATAGGTCTCGATCCCCGTGCAACCTATCCGTTGGATGAGTGACGGGATCCATGGAACACGGGCCGAAAGCCGATAGACCAAGCGGCTTCACTTATGGAACAACACCAATTTAGAACATTGTCACATGCCGATACGTCATGCATTAACCAACTGACAAGGGGAATTTTAGCCAGAACATCAGGGACTTCCATCTCGCCCGAGTGCCTCGTACTTGCACCATCTGCTTCTAAGGCAGCTTACTACCCCTGATGCTCTGAATGGACCCCAAGAGTGACAAAGAAGTGCATGATCGGGTATGTATGACGCTTCATCTAATGGTATTATGAATACCATATGCTCATCGTTCTGCAAAGCCGCTTTCTGAGCGTGATAAGCGCATCCTCACTACCTATGGGAGGTTGCCTTGTGGAGGTAGTCTTGGCCAGCAGCCTAAGGTATACTTGCACTGTGACCCCTCGTCATCGTTGCTGAATGCATTCAGAAACGGACCTACTTCGATTCTGGGGACTATGCTCTCTCTGCTGCTCACCGAGTAACTGACAGCGGTGATATCATAACTGGCACGGCTCACCCTGTCCGCGAGAGCATTTCGCACCCCTTCGCACCGGTACCGAGCACTGGCAATGCTGGTAACGAGGCTAACAATGGTATCTTTGAGGACAAAAGCCCAATTACACAGACTCCAAGGAGTCCTCTTTCCCGGAACCCAAGCTTCAGTGATCAAGATATATAACCCTGGAGGACGGAAGGAGAGCCTGAGGAGTTTGTAGATTGCTTCACGAAGGTTGTCAAAAATCAACCCATCATGAGGGAGATGTTTGATCAGCTTCATTGTTTGACGTAAGAGGGAACACGCTGATTCATCCTGAAGCGTGTGGTATAGAATGCGTTTAACATTCATCCCTTAGCTTTCCAATCTTTCTTCAGATTGACCTGTACTTGGATATGTACGTATATCGAATAAATATTCCGTACCACTTATGCATCATACTACGTAAAGACAGTCAATCACCCAGTCTAGGTTCTTCAACTTTGTCATCGAGGCCTAGGACGAGTCAGTCGACAAAGTAAGGCTATAATTTACCGGCAACTCACTCCAGGTATTTATTTCGGCATTTTACTCCTTCATCCCCTTTTTCCACCAACATGCAGGTAGCGATCATAGACCAGGCAGTATCCAGACGAGCACCGCCACCGCCGTGGATGCCACTGCAAGATCCGATATCATAAAGGTGTCAAACACGCTCAAGTTTCCGGTATGCACGCTCCGGCTCGCGCAGTGATGCAGACGCATACTGGTCCAAAAAGGCGCGTAAACTGGAATGTTCCGACTCAGACACACAGACGCTCGATCGCTCTTGCTGACGGTGTCCCGCACAACAATGCCAACACTGGCGTAGGCCATCTTCAGTCGAAGACTTGAGCGAAGGCGCACAAGCAGCAGCGATAAGTGCAATCTCTTCGATTCTGCTCCATAAAGTTGGCACCACTAGTAACCGTAGCTGCTCTCCTTCGAGCACAATGACCCTGACATAGTATAGCTTTACACTGGCAGCAGCCGTGGCACAGAGTACTAGTGACAACAGGAAGGCAATTATGAGCCTTTCTCGTATGGGTCTGCGAAGTCTCCAGACCAAGGGCAATGGCATGATAACGAATAAGACGTCGGTGAGGATACCAATACCTGCCATCAGAGTGACCCTGTTAACTGCATAGATCGTTTTTTGGTAATTGGGGTTGATACTTACCAGTATACACAAATCCATATATATGCAGTCGAGGCGGAGCCCAGCATCTAGCGTCGGGGACGACATCCCACATGGCACGTAAGGGTCTGCACTGGATAAAGAGGCATACGGTCGTACCGAGGGCTGCTGCGAGCTGAACAAATACTGCACACCACAAAATAGCATGCCATATCTTAGCCCGGTGAAGCGATATAAGGATTAGTGCGACGGAAACTCGTAGTAGTGCCCCCGCCCATACACCGGTCACTTCGTATGTGAAGACGAAGCGCAGGGCTTGGGTTTTGTTGGCCGGGGTGACGAAGCGGTCATGTCGGCCAACACCGTAGGAAGCTGCCGCGGCCATCATGGAGTATGCTACTATTTCTAAGACCTGTCGATATTGTCAGCTTTGTTCCTTGGTGCTTGGCACGCACAAATACCACTGCCAGGGAGATTATGAGATCCTCGACTCTGATCTTATACACTGGACGAAAGCGCGTGTAAATTCGAAGCACGTACAATGCGAACGCTGTAAGCAGTAAAACACCGCAAATTATCAGAGCCCTTGGAGCTGTAGTTGTATTGGCATCTTGAGGAACTTCTGCATTCATCTGGGTAGTAAAGATTGTTCGCTGTTAGCGTGGAATTTCTACGCTCCGACGCGGTCGCAAAAGAGGTACTCTCATCGCCTTGGGATCTGATTCATAGATTACAAACTGCATCGCCTGGGACACCCCGTGGTATTTGTCCAGAGCTCTTTCCCGTGTCTACTGTGAAGTTGTCTGCAGTGTTTCGTTTTCCGCGGTTTAGATGGATCCCCGTTCGCAGACCTATCTGCAAGGAGTAACTGATATGGGTTTGGTAGCGAGAGGAAGGCATAGAACCACTGGTAGACATAGAACCACTGGTAGGCACGCTCTGAAATAATCTCCGGCTCCTTTCAAGGTTATGGACCATTATGGTACATTTTACTCTTCATATGTTTTTTTGGGTGGGCAGTCAACGTCATTAACCTTAAGACATACAGCGACCACTGGAAGCTACAGGTGGGATTTCTTCAATTGGTACCATACGTAGGTGGAAGGTATATCTTACTTGATGTTCTACTCGAGGTTTTACATCATGGGTGCAAGGAGGTGTTCATGAACGCATATATATTTTCTCAACGGGAGTTGACACAAAATAAAATAAACAGATAGCAACTAATTCTCAACCCTTTTAGAAGTCAGTCATGGGTGTAATAAACTCGTAAAATCAAGCTCCAGCCAATAGAAAATGAAGAGACCTATAAGAGAGTATTTTGTCTATGGAGGGGGCTGTCTTGGTACGCTCACAGAGAACTCACGACTGAACGAACTAGGCTGACCGGCTGATTTCTTCAATTATTTTGCGGTTATATTGTTGCTGGATTATAATACACATAATAGCAAAAAGTATTCTATCCAATCCTCGATGGTCTAACGGTCATGATTTCCGCTTGTCAATCCCTTTCGGGAACAAGCGCGGGAGACCTGGGTTCGACTCCCAGTCGGGGAGATGCTTTTTTGTTTTTCGTTCGGTTGCTCTAAAAGGAATTCTATCCTATGCGGACTGTTTTGAAATTAGTACATTTCATATCCATTCCACCCAGCAAAAGCACAACCCACTCCTCCCATGTCTTCAAATAGCCTCTCCAGAATTATTTATTACCCAGCTTCATAAGATTCGTTTATTGAAAAGGGTCCACAGCCCGTTTCAGTATATCCTCAAATACAAAGGCTTGCTGAATACCGGTAGTTTCACCAATATATCGCATGCGATCAATTATCCAACCTCGCTGCTTTTCCGAATTGGCCATCTGCCCGGCAGATAGAAGAGGCCAGAAAAGGAGGTAGATACCAGCGGTAGCGGGGATACCATTGCTGGACTGGTAAGCAGATGTCAACCCATCTGCTACCGAAGTGGCTTGCGGCGTGTCTGGGGAACCATCAACTACATCCGGTATATAGCCGCAGTATTGAGGCACAGAAGCACAAATGTCCGAAACCAGCTGTTGCATTATTATGACGGACTGCTGATACTGGACGGCTTCGAATAGATGCGTGTCCAGGACATTCTCCAACTGCCGCTTGATCTCTTGATGCAAAAGCAAGCGACATGTACGGATGTTGTTCCACACACCTGCGACCCATGCATCGGGATACACGTGATACTGCGTTCCCATGACAACTTCAGACGTCGTCTCTAATTCCACGACTTGAAATTGCCAGTCTTTGGGCATATTGTCTGCGAGCGAGCAGAGGTTGCGATCTATATACTTAGCAGATGCGATTATAGTCTCCGGATCGCAGAGCGTACGGTCTTTGACCAGTGCTCGGAAATATGCCAATGCTATCATGATATCCGACAATTTCCACGCAGGATCACCAGTGTCCATATAAGCAGCAGCGTGGCGGTGAAGCTTGACCAGTCCCATGGGTATTCGAAAAGAGCGCATTAGGCAGGTCACCGAGATGCAAAGAAGAGTTTGTCGAAATAATTGGAGTCCGCGACGAGATTGGACAAGCTCCACTCCTTGGAATTCCAATATGGATGCTACCCCCCTCAAGTGAGTCTCTCTTTGATAGGGGAAGTCTCTGCTTTCACAAGTCAGGGCCTCAAAGGTGTTCAGAAATAGAATCGAGATGATGGTGGCATATTTTGCTGCTTCACGGCGAGATAACAAGGCCACGTTGATATGTCGAAGTGCTGAAACGTAATACTGTCTAGCTTTTTTGAGAAGGACAAAATGTTGGAATTTGGTAGCATAAGCTGCCAGTGCAACGGCGCGGAGGCTCGCTACAACTCTTTCCTCGGCCATGACATCGATCGGGAATGCAGATAAATACTCGTAATGCCCCCGGATGAGACCAATGTTCTGGAAGGTATGAGCTGACATGAAGAAATCGATCGCACGGGATTCCGCAGATTGGACTATCCTTCCGCCTAGTATGTCGGCAGTTGGTGGGCTGAGATTTACTTGGAGGTCAATGCGTGCCCTTCTTGTTATACAGGATCCCGGTGAGGAGCTAGTCGCTTTCAACACATTATTTGTGTCACAATTCTCTGGGATATGATGGACAAACATCCGTTCTATAGAATCACCATACTGTGGACACTTCCACCCGGACTTGAGGCATTGGTTGCAATGCGGTCGCGCCCGGTCGCACTATTGTAGTTCATAAAATAAGCGTCGATGCGAAATATACAAGGATTGAATTGTAAAAGCTTTCAACAAAGTGAGTCTAACTGTACCTTGATTTTTCTCTTCCTACAGACCTGGCAGCCTCTCGACAACCTCCCGTGGCGGACCATTCCGATAGTATCGGCTGGACCAATAACCGACCGTGGGTAAGATGGATGTTGTTCACGCAACGGTAGTAGGCAAGCTTACATCACAGATGAACTGCTGCACAAGGGCGACATTCATGATGCAAACACGTTATTTATTCATGTTCAAGGCATGGCTGAGAAGAAAGATGAGGAAGAACAACAGGAGGGACAGACAGAGACTCGATAAGCAGCACTTGCCCGATCACATGTTCTGTCCGCGCTAAGCCCTTTTGGGAAGGTAATGCGAAACAGCCAATCACAGTGCAGCTTGTGATAACCCTTTCTCAGTCTTGTGTATCGGACGTTGAATGCTGGTCCTTTTTATGGAACATTTATCATCATTACAATTACAAGACGGGTTGAGTTGTTGTGAAAGGATTTCTGGCCCACTAGAGAGGTCGACGGAATGGTTTTGCTTATCCGTAGGGGATAACGAGCAAATATAAATATGTGCTCCTGTCCTGACCACAGAAACTCTCCAGACACTCAAGATCATCCCTTCGAGACTAGAGCAGGACATTCACTCCTACTCAATTGTATATCAGCAGCCAGTCACCATTGATCAACACTCATACTTCTTTATTGCACACTTCAAACTCCGGAAAGGAAGACAAACCATTGTTACTACCCCATATTACCGAAGACCCTACTAGTTTTCATGATGTCCCAAGAAAAGAAGCTCTTCGTTGTATTCGGTGCCACGGGTATCCAAGGTGGCTCGGTTGCTCGAGCGATTCTGGCCGATCCTATCGCATCAAAACAGTTCAATGTCCGGGCCATCACCAGAGACCCTTCGAAGCCGGCTGCTAGAAGTTTAGCTCAGCAGGGTGCGGAGCTGATGAAGGTAGGTCATACCTGATTGGAGTCGCTGTACAAAACCACTGATAGATAATGACAATAGGCCGACCTTGAAGACAAAGACTCTCTCCGCTTGGCTCTCAAAGATGCTTATGCTGTCTTCGCCGTTACCAACTTCTGGGAGACCTTTGATGCTGCCGCCGAGACTAGACAAGGCATGAACGTAGCTGATGTTGCTAAGGTAAGACATACTAGCAGCATTGTGGAGATATACTAACATCAGCAGGAGCTGGATGTCAAACATCTTATTTGGAGTAGCTTGCCCGGTATCTCGCGGAGTAAGTCTTTTTTCCCTTTAGTCTACTGCGCCACATTCGTTGTTGTCAGCTGAGACTAACAAACAAATAGTCACCAATGATAGACTCACCGGAGTGGTGCACTTTGACAACAAAGCCCGTGTTGACGACTATATCCGCGAGCTCTCAATCCCACACACCATTGTCGCTCTTGCCATCTATGCTGCCTTTTTCTTCGAGATACTGACACCCCTTCCGACAGCACCTCCCTCATACGTGCTAGCATTCCCCGAGCCAACAAGTGCCCAAACAACGGTACCCATTATTGACCCCACTGCTGACCTGGGTAAGTTTGTCAAGGGCATCCTTCTGAACCCCGGCAAGACGCTGGGTCAAAACTTTAATGTCGCCGGGAAGGAATATACTTTTGAGGAAATCGTCTCAGCCGCGAAGGGTATGGGTGTGGATATAAGTTTCCAACCGGTGGATAAGGAGACCTTCAGGGCTGGAATGGCTGCCAAGGGTTTCCCGAACGTCATTTGTGAGGGTGTATCTCAGGCCGCTCAGTATATTCATGAGTATGGTTATTTCGGTGGGGCAGGTTTCGAGGAAAGCCACAAAGTAGGTAACTCAGAGGATCTTGATTCTGGACAGTACTGACTGCTAATTCGCATTGTAATAGGTTTTGTTGGATCCCTTGACTACACTGGAGGAAACACTGAGGAACAGCGCGATTTTGTCGCAGTTGAAAAATGGGGTGGATGTAACTAAATAAGGAACTCATGTTTTTTTGGTAGCATAATAGCTGCCGATTTCAATTGAAGGATGAAAATTCGGTTATTTGGGCATCTACACGACGACTTGATAACAGCACGCCGAATTCCTTGAACTGGCTATATAGATTGCATCTAATATGAATAGTCACCACTGATCTGCATAAATTCGACCAATCCATATTCCACAGTCGACAAAATATCTATCATAGTTCTGGAGTATCAGGGAAGATTGGCATACTAGACGCAGTTAGTCAGAGTCACCACCTAGCAGCTCTTCAATCAATGAGGACAACTCACATCGTAGGATAACGGTCTCCCACAAAGTTGGCCTTCTGCACCAAGTCCCTGATCTCAGCGACCTCCTCGTCACTCAATGTTAAATTGACCGCTGCAGCATTCTCCTCCAGATACTTAATACTCCTAGTACCTGGAATGGGGATAACATCTAGTCCTTGAGCAAGCAGCCACGCCAGCGCAACCTGTGAGGGCGTAGACCCATGCGCCTCCCCGATTTCCCTGAACCTCCCCACAATCTTCAAAAGTCTGTCCATACCCTCCGTGTACCTTGGAATCATGCATCGAAAGTCCTGCTCTCCAAGATCGCTTCTTGACTTGAACTGACCCGTCAGCAAGCCCCGACCCATTGGACTATACGCAACCACCGCAATGCCTAGCTCGCGACAAGTGCGAAGCACATCGGACTGGGGTGACTCGATGTCCAAGCAAAACGGACTGTACTCGATCTGCAGTGCCGAGATGGGATGAACAGCATGTGCACGGCGCAGAGTAGCAGCAGAGACCTCAGAAAGGCCTAAGTAACGGATCTTCCCTTCCCTGGTTGCACATAACAACCGACGTCAGCAATGCACCCTAGTCAATAGCAGAATCATTCAAAATTTACTGACCTTTTCAACTGAGCCATAGCCTCCACTGTCTTCTCAATAGGAGTCACTCCATCCGCCCGATGGCAATAATATAAGTCAATCGTCTCAACGCCTAACTTTTCCAGGCTTCTTTCGCACGCCATACGAACATATTCCGGATCAGATCGGATACTTTGGTTCATGCTGGCATCATAACTAAGGCCGAACTTTGTTGCTAGGAAGATGTCATCACGTTTGCCAGACCGCTTGAACCATTGCCCAATGATGGCTTCGCTGTCGAAGTAGATGTCGGCTGTGTCCCAGAATCGCTGTCTAATGGAGTGAGCGTGGTCTAGGAAGGCAAGCTTCTCTTCGGGAGTGTTTTGTTGGCCGTAGGCACCAGCGATGCTCATTGTGCCGAGACCGATGGCGTTGACGAGGGGGCCATTGTGGCCTAGGCTGCGGAGGTCAGACATTTTTGGGTTGGTTGGTGTAGTAGTAGACTTGGTAGAGTAGATTCGAATGAATAAATATAAGCAGTTTAGAAGATGGATGAGTGGTAGTGAAAGGGATGCAAAAAAGACGAGACGAAGAGGTGGTTGAGCAGATATTAATATGCCATTCAAGGGAGATGAGGGATTTAATCAAGTATTGGACTGACGTTTCTTTCCAAGCATCAGTCCCTATTGTAGGACCCAAATCCAGCATTTCTGAGGCATACCAATCCCAAGGACAGATGGGGCTGTTACAGACTAGCCAATCACGGACCGGAAAATGCGAACCGACCAATAGGAAACGCCGAGGTACGAAGATGACCCATCCAGCCTCATGTTAGATAACTACTTACTACTTGGTTATGCATCATGGAAGCTTTGGAGGCACAGTTTTACGAACAGGCGAATCAAATGACAAAATTTAGGATTTGGCTATGGAACAATACATCTGAGTCAATATGCACATCAAGGTCTTCAATGGATAACTTGTACGGTAGCCACATATTCTTAAAAGGAGGTTTCGGAGTTTGAAGGTTCATTAAGATCCCCGACTCTATCCGTCGGCTGATAAGTGATAAGACATGATATCGCTATTTACGACAGATGATCTCCGCACTGGGAATCGAGATCCAGGCATCCGCATCCTCACCCCACTGCCGCCAAACAGTAGATATACCCTCGAGCTCCTCCACCGTCGCTAATTCATTATCTAGAGCCCCCTTAGCAAAGGCCGATTTCAACGCGCGTTCTTGCCATGTGCCACTCCACCACTGAACCTCTTCTGGCTTCGTAAAGCACCACGCGCTCACAGTACAATCGACCTTCTGCTTCTCAAATCCAGCCTGACGTGCCCAAGCATGCAAGTACCGGCCCGCATTAGGCTCTCCTCCATTCTTCCGAGCTACCCGATCGTACAGCTCCTGCCAGCGTCGCAGTCCAGGCAGTTCCGGGTACCACATGAAGACCGAGTAATCGGACTCGCGCGCTGCGACAATGCCGCCAGTCTTGCAGACACGCCGCATTTCTTTCAGCACGTTCACAGGATCTCCGACGTGCTGTAATACCTGGTGGCAGACGACCACATCGAATGATCCTTCGGCGTAGGCCAGGTTGTTGGCGTCACCCGTTACGAACTCGATGTTGTGGATGCCTCGCGATTCGGCGAGCTGTCGGGCGCCTGATAGGACGTCGTCGACCATTTCCAGTCCTGTAACATGACCGTTGGGGACATAAGTGGCCAAATCCACGGTTATAGTGCCTGGACCACAGCCAATGTCTAGGATCTTCATCTGGGGTTGGAGGTGTGGTAGGAGGTATTGAGCGGAGTTGAGGGCGGTCCGTTGTCCGTGAGATCGGAGCATGGAGGCATGATGGCCGTGGGTATAAGTTGCTGTCTCAGGCATTTTGCTCTTTCTCTGAAGTATGAAAAAACGATCGTCGATGAGAAATGGGTTGACATGTATTCGTTGCTTCCTTTATAGCTTCTGTAAATGGCTAGCGACGGGCCGATATCGGCGGAGCTCGCTCGCTGAGGGGGTCAACGCGATCGGCATGGTTACATCTCGGAAAAGGATTCTCCAGCCAATATATGGATGAAGTAAGATGCAAAGAATAGCAAAGCTTAGTCGGAAAACCACTAATGTTGCATGATTGTGATACCCGTTCATTCATTGCTGCCGGTGGACATCTCCAGTCATTGGTGACCGACCCACTTAGCTTGTCAGTTATGCTTGGGCTTGAATATGCCTTTGGTCCCGAGCCACTTATGCTTGCTGCTTACTTACAGCTTATTGAGAGGCTAGGCCTATTCCAGTACTATGACTATAGTCGCAATTCGTTCTGGACTGGTGTCATCAGACATCGTAGCTTGCAGCGATACCGGAGATGTTATGGAAATCGAACCCTAGATGATTATTGCCCGATGACTGTGCCACCTATTGAGACCCGCATCTTTCTCAAACAATATTTCCAAGGTCTTTGGTTTTAGTTTCATCGTGCTTCTATTCTTCTTTCACCGTGAGGCTGGAACCTTGTCTTTTGCCACTGCTTGACGCTAAAAGCCTTCGTCGGCTATTATGTCCGAACCTGCTTTCACATTTCCACACCTCACATTAGGAGCTGGATTCCATCCACTAGTTCAGTTCAAAGATAGGCACCTGCCAATAGTACCTCTTAAAATTCTCTCGTAATTTTGGCTATAAAAGAAAAGGTGCCCACAGAAGGAGATGACATTCCGGGCTGTCCTCGTTCGTTTCCTCTAGTCGTTCTTTCACACCGGAACGCGTCCCATTCTGTTTCAAGGCTCACCGTTCCGTTCTTTTAATCATCGCAGCCATTAGAGTCATGGGGAGATTAATAGCACAAGCTCTGGCTGTTCTGGTTTCCCTAGCTCATTTGAACGTCGCCCTGACCGTCCAACCAGAAGCAGCAGCCAGTGTCTCGGTCGTGACTTGGACATCTACCTATGCCGACACAGTCACCAGCACTATCACCAGCACCTCAGCCCTAACCACCACAGCTACCACTTGTGCTGCTAAAACGTATGCCGATCCATTTTGTACCTCTGACGGTGCTTGGTCGCTCGCTGGCAACTGGTTCCAACAATGGTGTTCGGGTGTATCTTTAGAGGGCGGCACGACCATCAGCTCAGCAAATTACGCATCTTTATATGCATGCGAGTTGTTATGCTACCAATCTCAAACTGTTTGTAATGGAGTCAACTACAACACGGCGAACCATGCTTGCTACCTTCTTACTGGCTCGCTTACTGCTACTTCTGCTGCCTCTTACAGAGCCGCTATGCGCTTCACTACTAACCCTTGCACGGTTACGGAGACTTCTATCTCTACGGGGGTTTCCACTGAAACATCAACCGTCCTGTCTGTTGCGACATACACATCGATCATCACTATCCTGGATACATCATTCACTCAGACCAGCTCTGCATCAACCGTGCCATCGGCAACATTCCCCGTCTCAGTATCCAATTCTGCCCCCGCAATGTCAGGCACTCGGGCCATCTCGTTGGGAACCACTACTCCCTCGTCGACATCCACCTCAACACTAGAGATACCATCCTCCTCGGTATCGGTATCTGCATCTGTCGCTGACTCCTCATCTTCTATAACCACGGGAAAGCCATCCATGCTGAACCAGCCATCCGCTGCCGCAAATTCCTCCAGCGCTATTCGGCCCAGCAGCTCACATTCTCCTTCATCTGGCAACGGCTTTACATACACTCCGAGTTCAATGCCTGCAGTGTCCACAACATCTCGTTCCATTGTTGCATCAAGCTCGGCTTCATCGCTCCTACATTCAAGCTCTTCGGTCCCCATTCAACCATCAAGCCAATATACAGTATCCTCCTCATCTACCCACACATTGCCGAGCCCGAAGTCATCCGAGATTTCTCAGTCATCGACATCAGTATCATATAAGCCTTCATCTCCGAAAAATAGCATCATCCCTACCATCTCGCAATCCGCCATAAATACCAACAGGAGCAACCTGTCTGATTCTTCTCCTGCATCTGCAGGACTACCTACAACCTCCACGCTCCTTACCACCCAAATCCGCACTGTGACTTCCTGTCCAGGCTCAGTGACCGACTGTCCTGCTAGGGGTAAGACGACCTTCCTTACTACCGAGATCATCACCGTGGGCACTACAATCTGTCATGTGACTGCTGCCATGGCCTCTCCGACGAGTTTGCAGCCTGCACACGATGTCCATACCGAAACTTTGACGGTGTATGTTACGAATATTGTAACTATCAGTTCTTGTGGGTTTGGTGACTACTGATCGCTTACTCGAATGCAATTCGGAATGTTACCCATCATGTGATGACTTTGCAAATACTTATGTGGTACTGCTTCCACGCTGTTACATAGATAACCTGTTCCTTATGTTTACAATGTAACGCCTTTGATTATGATCATGTCATTATCATAATACCCAAATCAACTATTTTATACTTCATGATAGGTACTTCATTGACTTTGTCCTTGGGTTCCCCATTCTCTGGATTTGTGACTCACAGCTTCGACTTCACCGGTGTTGCTCCTGTTTCTGCCAGACCTTGAAGTATGTACTCAAAAGCTCAGGCATAGAAGGCAACTCCGGCATATCCGCCGACTCAAGCAAGACACGACGACTATGCGCGTTTTCATATACAGTCTTCGTCATGGTTTCCACCTCCCAGTAAACTAACTGTTCCCGAAGCCTATCCTGCAAGTATGATGATGCGACTTTAAGGCGCTGCTGGCCATGTGTTGCTACAATATCAGTCCACTCCGAAGGCGATACCTCTTTCAACGGGGGCGAAGAATAATGTGCCACTGTGTCCAGGACTTCGTTCCATGTCAGCGTGCGAGACTGATCTGGTCTGACAAGATTATAGGCATGGCTGTGGTGACTGCTAAGTGCGATTTGCAGGATCGCCGAGCTTGCGTAGTCAACTGGGATAATCTGGCAGCGGGCGGCCGGGGGAGAGGGATAACATCCAACGCGAATGGCGCTGACCATCAGATGTTGGAAACCGTCCGCAGGATTGGCGATTCCCGTTTTGCTGTGGCCGGATATGACCGGTAGGCGATGTATGGTTACTGGAATGCCGTTTGCAATGGCATCCCAAGCAATGCTTTCAGCTACAATCTTCGTCTCACTGTAACCGACGAGCTTTCTTTCCGAGCCCGTGGCTTTGAGGACGGGTCTTTCGTTCTCGCCGATAAGCTCCCTACCCTCGAGATATGCAGATGTACCGCAGGCTGAAATACTGGAGGTATAGTGTACTGGCTTCAGGCGCTTCGTATTGGCGAACCGGAGAATATTAGAAAACCCATGAATATTGGCACTGCGAAGATCCGAATATGAAGGCATGTAGTTGCATTGGGCGGCGAGATGGAAAACAATGCTCGTCCACTGAGCGAAATGTTCGTACTTCTCTTGCCCGAGTCCAAGCGTAGAATCGGTGATATCGCCAGGTACCACGATGACTTTAGATTCAGAGTCCAGTGACAGTCCGTAGTGTTCCAGGGTTTCCTTGATACGGGCCAAGCCAGCTGAGGTATCTGGTGCCCGCACCAAGCACGCAATCTCCTTCACGCGCGGGTGACTTACTAGAAGAGAGAGAAAGAAGGCACCCAGAAACCCGGTGCATCCGGTAAGAAACACTCGCCCTTCAGACTCGGAATGCCAACACGGAACGTGCTCTGATATTGGCTCCAGAGATTTGGCCAACTCCAAGTCCGCCCGATAAAGTACGCTCTCATCAACGTCCTCTTTTCCGTTACCGACTAGAGAGCCCTTCGCGTTCTCAAGCTCGCCGGATTTGTGCTTTTCGCGGAGAACCTGCATGGTGATCACGCCGAGACCTTTGACGGTCTGCGCTTTTGATATCTGAGCGAGTGACACCTCAACGCCGACATTTCGCCGGAACCAGCTGCGTATCTCAATGGTCATCAACGAGTCAATTGCAATCTCGCAAAGCTCCTCATATGGCATATCATCGGGATATGACATGTTTGAGGCAACCATTCGACCAATTTCGAGAGTGATCTTGGTCTCAGTAGCTGGGTCATAGAGAAGAGAGGGATCACGCTTGACCGCGTTTACCAAGGCTTTGAGCTCGTTATCCTGGTTTGCACTACCACCTTCCGAAGCGGCTAGCATGTTATGCCACGCCAGGAAGCGAGCATCCTGCCCAAACGTGCTGCCGTTATCAATCTCTGACACTGGCTTTGTTGTTCCCATTCCTATGGAAAGGTGGGGAGCACCCCGCATGATCTGTATTTCCAGGGCCTTGAGTAGATCAGGCTCTTCTAGTACTTCCCATGAGTTTATTTCAACCATATCCCTGGCCCTATGAGACGTTTCCGCGACATAGCCGATATCTCCCATGAATCCAAGATCGAGTACACTAGCTGGTAGCCCCTTTGTATGACGATAAGTGACAAATGCATTCAAGAAGGTATTGGCAGCCGCGTAGTTTGCCTGCCCTGTATGACCGGCAGTACCAGAGATCGAGCTAAGTAGGACGAAGAAATCCAAAGAGCAGTTCTGCGTTGCATGATGAATATTCCACGTGCCCTGGACCTTAGGAGCGAGTGCTTCAGTCCACTCCTCGTATGCCATGTTATCTAACGTTTGATCCTTTTGACGGAAGATTAGCACATATTCTAGAAGGATACAAATTACCGAGAGGTAAATCGAAAAGTATGAAAGGGGACCTCACTCGTAGCACCATGGACAACTGCATAATTCCTGCTATTGGTCGTCCCGCAGCAGATAAAGCTCGTTCAACGTCGTTGATATTGGTGACATCCCCTGTAACTGCCTGAATATGACAATTCCCCTGAGACTCCAGATCCTGAACAAACTCTCGAGCCTTGGTTGGTTCCAGCCCAGACCGGGACATGAATATCAGATGCCGTGCACCCTTCTCCACCATCCATCTTGCCACTGCACGCCCAAGTCCGCCGAGGCCACCAACTAACAAATACGAAGCGTCACTGCGGAAAAGGGCTCCTTTGGACTGCAATTTAGACACTCGTAGCTCGTGTGGATTTTCAGGCATTTCCACGACAAGTTTTCCCATGTGTTTTCCAGTTTGCATATGCCTAAACGCTTTGGCAATATCGGACGCCTTGAACACAGTAACTGGCCGGATAGGACGGAGCTTCCCTTGCTCTATAGAATGAGTAGACTGCTCCACTAAGCTTCGAATAATTTCAGGGTTCTGCTCGCCAATTTGAAGAAGATCCACACCAATGAAAGTTCGGTTTGCCATGAAGAGGTCCATATCCAGCTTAGCATGGCCGAGGAAGTCCTGCTTGCCCAACTCAATCATTTTGCCCATGGGGGCAACACACTTCCAGGAGGCATGCAACAGCTCGCCGGAAAGAGAGTTGAGAACGAGGTCAACGCCCCTATTACCGGTCGCCTTCATCACGTCTCTCTGGAAGCTAACGCTTCTCGAGTCAAATATGTGGTCTTCGGCAATATTGTACTCCTCCACAAGATGTTTTCTTTTCTCTTGGCTTCCAACTGTAGCGAAGATCTCAGCTCCAATTCCCTGGCATATTTGAACTGATGCCAGGCCAACTCCGCCACATGCGCTGTGGATTAGGACGGTTTGACCCTTTTGTACATTCCCACATTTCACCAAGGAGTAGAGAGCGGTAGAGAAAATGCAGGGACCTGCTGCTGCGTCTTCTAAGGACAATCCTTCAGGGACAACAAGACAAGACTCTGCAGGAACTATTTTTCGAGTGCCCATTAAACCTTTTCCAAACAATGCAACTCGGTCTCCCACCTGAATATGTTGCACTCCCGATCCAACCTTGCGGACGATACCAGCGGCTTCGTGTCCGAATTCAGAGGTGTCTCCCATGAGTCCCATGGATATCATGATGTCCTAAACGAGAAATATTATTAGATGGATTATAGAAAAATAGTTTACATCGCTCCTTACCCTGAAATTAAGCCCGACAAAACGGATGTCTAGCTCAACATCGTGTTCTCCAAGCTCTTCCACCCGCCCATCCAGGGCCCAAGTCAGAGAATCAAAGATACCAAAGCATCCAATATCTAAAGACCTCTGTTCGAAGCCATCATCGACAGCCATGGTTTGGTGGAGGTAGTTGAAGTGGAATCGACCGACATGAATTTTTCCATCTTCTAGAACATATTCATAGTCCTCGTGGATTGGGTTCTTGCCCGACTGCCGGCAGATTCGTTCGAAAACGAGGGAGACATTTTCTGCTGCACACGGTTCCTTCTGGTCGAGTTCGAGAGTCGCAAAATTAGTGGAAATCTCCTTCCGTACTGTTCGCATCAACCCCAGCGTTAGGCCAAATCGAGGGTCTGTATCTTTACAGCCGAATTGAACCGGCGGCATCAGCCAGAGGCAGTGGCCTTTCACATGAGAAAGAAAGCGTTGGAAGGCACAGAATTCATACTCGGAAATACTGCTTAAGAAAGGGCCTTCCAGGTCAAGGAAGGATATAACGTCCGTTGTTGAAGAAGACAGGTCATTCAGGGTCAACCAGTTGACCCTGACTCCTTGGTGTGTGAAAGCCTGTGCAAGTGTGTATGCCAAACTAGGGACCTTACCCCTATGAAGGAAGCCAATTTCTCCACCAAGTGATGCCTTGGCCTCAGGTCGTCGTGACAGGATGTAGGCATTAGTATTGTATGGCGGTTCATTGTCGTAGCGAACAACGTCCGTACCAGTGAAGCCCGCATCCAAAAGTTCTTCATGCCATTGTGAGACAGGAATCATTGGCGTTTCCCTTGAATCCTCTGCATTCCACCAACCTGGGAGGATGCCCATGATGAAATTCAACGTTGGCAGCGTGGGGCAGAGCTCTGTGAGAAAAAGCCATCCCCCTGGAGCCAGAAGTTTATTCAGATTGCGAAGTGTCGTTGAAATTCTTGGAGTAGCGTGGACAACATTTGAAGCGATGATCAGATTATAGTTCCCCACAGTAAACCCTTGGTCTTCAGGGTCTTTGGATATGTCGAGCGTCTCGTATATCATCCCAGGGAAGTTCTTAAAGTGCTCTTTCGCTTTTGCAAAAAAGCCCGGTGAAATGTCAGTGAACGTGTAGGTCGAATACATAGGACCTCCATGCTTTGTTGCATCAAAAAGCGCATCAAGAGCTGCCGAGGTGGCTCCGCCAGTTCCTGCACCAACTTCCAGGACTTTGAGTGTCGGACGTGAATGGCTGAGAAGTGACAGGAAGTTTCCTGCAGGACATAGACGAGAGGACTCCTCATAAGTACTAGTGACGGCATCACTTCCACTCACAACCTCCAGGGCGTCAACGCTGTCATCCATAATGCCCTGAAGATTTGACAGGACCTCATGTGCGGCAGTGTACACACTGCGTACTAAAGGGTGCGCAATGTTTTCCCCAAACTTTTCAATCTGTGATAGATGTCCTGCGGTATCGGATTCAGACTTGTCACAGTGTTCCAGAATAAGGCTGGGGTCCTCGTCCCTTATTCTTTCGTACTGTGAGAACAACCATGCTTGGTACTTTTTCAAATGCTCTTTCGTTGGTCTCGACGGTTTTGTCCGGTGGTATGCCTCCAGTATGAAAATATTCGACATTTTTGCTGCCATTCTCCCGCGATCTATGTCCGCTGGAATTGGTGGGATTAGGGTCTCAAGTGGGACAAAGTCAATATGAGGCTTCCAATGCAGTATTGCGGCGGACGCGCCATTTTCATCGTTTATCGCCGACTCACTGATTCCGAAAAAGAAGCAGCGCCTCAGAGAAAGCACAAGCTTCTCATCCGCAAGTAATAAGGCATCCCCGGTAAACGTGTTTCCGGCTGAATCGCATCTTGATCTCAAAGACATCGTCTCTCGTCCACGGGCGACGTATAGACCCTCAATAGCGGTGGGGATGCATGATTGAGTCATGCAACGCTGGATTCCTTTGGCTCCTGCTACACTCAATAGCTGGAGACATTGGTCTATCACGACGGGATGGAGAGCATAGTGGCTACCGGTTAGCGCAGTAGGTTCACATAATGTTGCTGCTGCCTCGGTAGTGGTCGGGCTCGCCGTGATATCGCGAAGCCCGCGGAAATTGGGGCCGTACTCGAGTCCGCGCCTCTCCAAAGCATCGTACCATTCCTTAGCCAGCACCTTGCGTGAGTATGAGAATACTGTACCATATTCATTACTAAATTCATCTGGCTCTGCCCGAACCTGGCCGACGCAATGTTTCTTCCACTCGCCTTCGTTATATGCAGTGATTGTGAAGTCATACCAGCCGGAGTCTAGACTGTCGGTCAGTTTCACCGGTCGAAGGCTCGTAATAATCTCAACGTGCTGCAGCTTCGCCTCTCTCAGAACCAACGCAGCTCGCATAAACACATTCTTTACCGAATATTCGGGAACCTGGGATATCTGACGCATAGCCTCCCCAACCATTGCCACGTATCCGGCACCGGGAAAGACGACCTCTCCCCCTATTTTATGTTCTAATAGCCAAGGTACATTCTCCGCTTGTAACATATTCCGCCATACAGGTTCCAAGTCGCTCGATTCTAGAGCTCGACTGCCTAATAGTTCATGGTGGGGAGCCGACCGAAGCCTCCAATCCCTCGTTAGGCGGGTCTCACTCCAGAATGATTCATTATGATCCCATGAATAGGGAGCAAGGTCTGTCACAGTCGCTGCAGGACGGACTAAGAACGATAGGTCGACAAAAATTCCCTGAGCATATAATTGGCCAGCTGTGCTCAGCAAGCAACTCGATTGGTCTGTGTGTCGAACGAAGGTTGGTGTGTATGAACAGCTTCGCTTGGAATCTGCTCCAGAGATAATCTGTCGCAAGGGGCCAGAGAGCACCGAGTGTGGCCCTATCTCAACAAACGCCAAGGCCTGATCACCTTCACTCAGTATCTTGTCAACTGCCGTGTTAAACAGAACTGGACTCTCCACATTCCTCCTCCAGTATGAAGGATTCAGAACACACGGGTCGGAGATAGTTTCGTTTGTCACCGTGGATACTAGTGGGGTCATGGATTCATTGAAACATATCTCCGAAAGTAAGGACTCGAATAGCTTTCCTACCTCCTCCATGTAATGCGAATGATAAGCCACGTTGACTGCGAGACGCCGACAGAAGACTTCGCCTTGTGCCTGTATGTCTTTCAACATTTCATCGACCGCTTGCTCGTCTCCCGAGATCGTCACACTTTCAGGGCTGTTCTCGCATGCCAAGACCACTCCATCCCTGAGGTATTGCTGCACATCCGCTCGTCCGAGCCCGATTGCTGCCATTGCACCCTTTGCTTTTGCAGACTCCATGGACAGGCCACGGAAGTAGGCGATTTTGATTGCAGATGCGGCGGTGATAGCCCCTGAAGCATAAGCCGCAGCAATTTCGCCACTGGAATGTCCGACCACAATAGAAGGAACGACTCCAAGCTCCCGGAGAAAGTCCACCAGAGCGACCTGGATAGCGGTACAAAGCGGCTGTGCGAATCGAGCCTCTTGAAATCGGCTTTTATCGTTGGTATGCATTAACTCCTCTAGGTTTCGTTAGAATCGAGTCAATGTATAGGAAGGGTTCAGAACTTGCCTTCGATACTCCAATCCGGTGGAGTTTCCAGTCGCTGTAGATCCTCATCTAGTCCTCGTATGGCTAACCGGAACTTCTCAGAGCTCAGGATCATCTCTCGGCCCATGCCTGGCCACTGTGCTCCTTGTCCGGTAAAGAGGAAGCAGACCTGCGGATTGAGTGCACGCGCTTTCTCGAATGTCGAAATCGTCCCGTCTTTCTCCATTATGGCAAAGCCTCGGTGTGGCATATGCTCTCGTTTGAACGCAAGCGTATATGCAAGGTCTGCAGCAGCAGACGGGGTTTCATTTAGATAATCGCTGATTATTTTGATATTGCTATCCAGTGATGTTGCCGACTTGGCAGACGCGAGCAGAAGATGTGGTGGGCTTGGTCTCTCGTCTACCCCGGACTGCTGTCCTCCACCCACAGAAAGGGCAGAGTCCAAGACGACCTTGAACTATTAGCAGATGTCTATGGATTATCTGAAGCATGGGGATTGTGCTGAGTCGGGGATACATACATGAGCATTGGTACCTCCAATACCGAATGAATTGACGCTGATCCTCTCACACCTACCTGCAGGCCAAGGTGTTGGATCCACTGGGACCTGCAATTTTGCCTCTTTGAAAGGAACTTGAAATGAAAGAATGAGCTATGTCCTCCTTAGGGTAGGAAAGGGAAATGCCTCACTGTTAGGATTTGGCGTATTGAAATGTATGTTGGGAGGAAGGATCCTGTGCTCAAGCGCGAGTACGCTCTTGATCACGCTGGTAATTCCTGAGGCGCCTTCTGAATGACCCAGGTTTGGTTTCACCTAAGACCTATCAGACAACGGTTTATTAATGTTGGTCTTTATCTATGGCTGTCGACTCACCGCTCCAATATGTATGCCTTCCTGACCAAACACATTGGCAATTACCGTTGTTTCAGCCGTATCGCCAACGATTGTGCCAGTTCCGTGACATTCAAAGAATGCTGTTTTACTGATATCGGAAATTCTTGCTTTCTGATAAGCCTTTCTGATTAGCGCTTCCTGTGCTTGCGACCCTGGGGTTGTTATGCTAGGTGTTTTGCCGTCGCAATTCACAGCTGTAGATCGTATCACGGCGCGAACTGGATCACCATCTCGGAGGCAGGCATGTAGCGGCTTAATATATATTGCGTTTACTGCTTCTCCCCTTCCATAGCTATTTGCTGAAGCGTCGAAAGTCTTGGAAATCCCATCGGGGGAAAGTGCCATAGTCTCCGACACGGCGTTAGTTGTTGTTGGCGTGATGATCAAATTAGTCCCGGCCACCAACGCCGATGAGCATTCTCCCGTATATAGTGCCTGACAGGCATCGTGTAGACCTACAAGGGCCGCAGAACAACCAGTACGAAACGTGATACTCGGGCCTCGCAGGTCATACTCGTAGGATATTCGGTTTGAAAGGGCGAAATCCGCCGCGCTGACGACCCTGAAGCGATCGATGGCCTGGGTGTCCTTGCTCATCAAATCCAACCAGTCCTCACCGAACACTCCCACATAACATCCAATGTCCTTTCCACGGCACCGAGATGGGATCTGACCTGCGTTTTCCAGGCATTCCCATATAACCTCAAGTAGTATTCGTTGTTGTGGGTCGAGTTTCCCTGCTTCTAGCTTGCTCATACCGAAGAATCCAGCATCAACCTGCGATATATCCTGCTGAAGGAAGTAGCCATGCTGGGTCCGGATCGCACCAGGACGAGTCTCGTCGTAGAATGCTTCAATGTTGTATCGGTCCCCGGGAACTACGCAACGGCCATCGCGCTTGTTGATCAATAAGTCCCAGAACTCCTTCTCACTATTGACACCGCCGGGAAGCCTCATTGACATGCCAACAATCGCAATCGGGAATGGGACCGGCTCGCAGTCGCTGTAACCCTCTGATTGTACCGGCCCATGGTTGTCGTTACAGTACGAGAGAGTGGCATTCGGCGAGCTGTTAACATTAAGTCCATCCATGATTTGATATCGATTCCCTCCGCTTGGTAATCGTTGCATCAACGTAGAGTAAGGGGCTTCCAGATTGTTTTTGAGAGTTCGTGATGGTACAAGAGGTAGATTGACACTTATTGCACTGGTAGAAGAAAAGGGATACACTTTTCACCCAAGAGAATTCGAATGATAGCTGACCATGTCTTGAACTGTGGGTTGCACACTTCAAATTAAGTGTGACCACCTACACTCAGAGTCCGCACTACTTAGCGCAAAGAACGAGATTAGAGATCATGTACGTATGCGGGATTGTCAAACCCAAGATCTTGCATCGCACTGAAGTAGCGGTCAGCAAAGATCGGAAACGATCTTGACTGCAACAATTTCAAAGTGTAGTTCGGTCTAGGTCTTGATGCTCTTGTACTTTGCTTTCGTTTTTCTTAGTCAAGATGTCTTTATTTTCTTCCCCCCCTTAATGACTACGTACTACCAACCAACTTCTGCCCAATAATCGGGATAAAAAGGATTTTTGCATAGACTACGCATGGACCGATGACAGGAAAATGATTTATTGCTATGTTTTTTCTTCCACGGTCAATGTCCAGCCATTTATCTTTTGCTTATTGCATCTTCCCACGAGCAAAATCGGCGACAATGCAGTGAACGGCAAAAGGAAGGCTAGACAGACGATCGCACGTGTGTTCTCGGATAACCAGGAAAACCCTGGCATGACGAAGGAGCTATCTTCGTAATCACACTGGCTAGTTCTTGGGCATTGTTTAGCTCCGTGTAGGGCGGTCGGTATGATGTGTTCAAACCAGCACTGAGACAGGAAGTGCCAGTATAGCACTTCAGCTCCTAATTCTCCGCCACCGGCACTCACGAGCTTTGATATTAGCCAATACACAAGGAACAAAGCTGGATAAAAATCTTTTGATTATGGAGTCTAAGAAAGTCTAAGTTCTAGCGAGCAAGTCAGCGAACGGAATCAAGGAAAGCTGTACATTGCTATAGTATCCCTTGCATGTAAACTCATAAAGGCGTGTAGCCCTTCCATCGCCTACTCGCCTCCTTGCGTTGAAAGCATTTTTTTTTCAAACTGTTTACCTCTGGTGTTCGAAAACCATAAACGGGAAATCGAGTGACTTTTTTTTCCAAAAAAAAGTGGCCGAACACAAAAGCCTGTTGGGGAGCTCAAAGCGGTGAACACTCGAGGCAACGCAGCAGGCCGAAATCTTTTCAACTGATCTCAGTTGATAATTGTATACCAAAGGAAATTATAGACAGCACTGGATATGTGATTAAATGACCATAGAAAAAGCAGTGCAGAAACACGTATATGCTTATGGGGGACTATTGTGGCTATGATCTACAAGGAAAGGAGAAAGCGCGAGCTTTCCCTGACGGGACGGAAACCGGACCGTGCCATACCAAAGAGTGCTCTGCTAGAGACCCAAGCGAAGCATCATAATTCGGCTGAATCGTTGAGTAAGATGTCGGTTCGGACTAATAAGCTTTGGGACATACGCTGTCTTAAGACATGAATGTCTTCTACACCCAGCCGCTCGACACTAGACCCCGCAATTTCACCACAATTATTGATTTATCTGCTCTAACACAAGCCAAGATACCGATAATTTAGAGTCGGAATGTCCTCCTTGAGGAGATTGACAGGGTCACAACTTTAGTCACCCTTTGTGTCTGGGTTATGGGGAATGATGGGAGGAATGTTACCCGTCCAAGATCCTCTTAAAACCATGGGATCCACGCGGTGCCTGAGTGTGGTACATCTTCCAAGCTTGGGAAATCTACATCACTGTCACAGCCACAGCAATTTTCTTGAAGTCGGTCACCATGAAGTTCAACAACGCCGTGAACATCGCAACTGTTGCTTGCCTTAGTGTTTCTCCCACCCTCGCCCTCGTGACGTCTTGCTTCGATGCCGTCGACTCTATTAGCAAAATCCCCGGTCACTTCATCCAAAATGTTCAACTGAACGCCTGCCCAGCCGGGTGCTCACCAAACATCGACCAGTGGAACAGCGATGTGAAGGAAGAAATCCTCAACGAATTGATGGAGGATGGTATCGGATACACTGGAATCAACGATGAGGCAGCACAGAAAGCATTTGTCAAAGCTATTGATGACCTATACACCACGGTCGTGTCCAAGTGCCAGAAAGAATCCGATGGTCTGAACCTTTGTGACGATGAAGACAAGGTACAACCTTTCTTGGACTGCGTTAACAGCAACGCAAGAACTGCCGTCTTGAAAGGGGTGCCCGGATTGCTTCCCTACATTACGAATGACAGGTGCCAGAAAGTCGACGAATACCTGAACAGCGATCAGTTGTGGAAGGATGACTTCCCGGAACACTTCAAGTCGTATATCGACAAATGTCATGACATCTGAGTGTCGTGAAGGACACATAGCTTCCTCTTGGCAACCAATTTTAACCAATCCACCAAGGTGTACTATTTTGGCGATGGGAAAGAACAGGTCGGGAAAGGAAGCTGAGAAGAGAAAAGAGAATAATCTATATATTTGTACCGTAATAAATATCATGTAATCGATGTGACCACCATGAAATCTCACCACTGTGTCGTCCATTGGGGAAGCATATATATTTGCACTCCGTAGAGCATAGCATTAGTATGCCGCCAAACCGTCCGGGGTTCAGTATAGCCATAAGAAGTTTCCTGTATGACTGACAGGTGTTGGAACACATCTATTCCGCTCGGAGTAGTCATCATATATTATCCGTCGACGCGCTGACCGCTGGACCAAAACCGAGATATCGCGTCTAGCCAGCCAGGCGACGGAGAGATAAGTGTCCACACATTATATTTGATCTATTTGGTAGATCTATGGATATATACAGTTGATGATAGCATATGCTTCACTTGACTCAGGATCGCCGTTTTAACCCCTGGTCATCGGTATTCCACCGGTTTCGTTCTATCCCACAATTAACAGCTACGTCTGCTCAAGCCGAGGGCATGGTGAAGCAGCACCCTTACTATAACTGCTTAAGCCTGAATTGACTAGCTAGTCATGGTGTAATTTGTCTATCTTCTTGTAAGTTATATTAGCAATGCGCATTATATCGATGAATTTATTGTATGGACTCAATTCATCTCTCCCAGCAAAGCGTGATGCTTCAAATTTCACGTGTCGTGTACGACGAATATATTTCCTGCCAGTACAACTACATAGCAAGTATTATTTCTTCATTTTTGAATCGAACCCAAAAATGTCACCCAAGATTCCATTATCGGGTTGAAGGTAATTTATACATGGTAACTAATGTAGATTTATGGAGACTGGAGAAGCGAGTTATATGTGCTATACGAATTTAATTCCAAGCAGCTCTTCATGGAAAGAGGGAGATAGTAAAGAGAGGTATATACTTAGAGATCAGCCATTCATCGAAGGTGATATCGCACGAGAAAGCTTCCTTCAAGGAATAAATATGCATGAGCAACTGAGATAGTTACTCATCAACCGAGTCCTGGAGATCTTTGATTGAAGCAACTTGCATCGAGGCAAGACGAGATTCCGCATGCGGAGAATGAGCATGGTGGCCCCCATGAAACGCAAGCGACAGATTTAAGCCAATAAACCTCTAATGATATCAGGGTCCCCGGGATGCTTATGAGTAAACTTCGAGACATCGTACACAATGCCATCTATGCAGACGAGAAAACAGTCGTCTTTGGCCTTATGCATGAACTCAACCCAGTATATACGATTTAAGTGCGCCCGTTTAGGATCCTCATGATGTTGGGAGATCTTGTGAAAACCTTGCTCGCGCAGGATTTCGTGACTGCTAGTAGACTTCAAATTCCACACCAATCCTAATGTTTCCAGAAGCTCAATTAATCGCTGAGTTAAGTCGCACTCATACCTTTGGAATCTATTCCTATAATTCGAAGGAAACGCTTGATGAAAATTAGGGTTGGCTTCCCCGAGAAGGATAGGCTTCTAAAAGGCACATTGCGCGCTGTGACACCAGAGTATGGCTGGCTGCCTGCCCAAAAGGGATGGGCGACGGGATTCCCCAGGAACGTTATCTGATGGTCCCAAAACCTCACAAACACTGCTTGCATAGGAGGGGCTAGTCAGTATGTCTGTGCTACCATCCAAGCAGTAGAGACCCCACCCATTGTGAGTAGTACGGTGTACAACTGGAGGACTTACATAATGGAATATTCGTCTTATATACCCCTCCCCCCTTGTCCGGTAGTGTAATATTTGGCAGAATCTGCCCACTCTACACCAAGCACAGCGATGTCCCTGTTTTCCTTGTCCGGCAAGACTGCTCTAATCACCGGCGGCACCCGGGGCATCGGCCAAGCCATTGCTCTCGGGCTAGCTGAGCACGGCGCAGACCTTATCCTAGTCCAGCGCTCGACAAACGTCTCGGACACTCAACCAGCCGTCGAACGGCTCGGTAGGCGTTGTGAGGTGGTCCAATGTGACCTTGCCGACAGGGAACAAGTTGAAGGACTGATTAGCCGAGTCGTCGCCACTCATTCTATCGACATCCTCGTCAACTGCGCTGCAATCCAACACCGCAGTCCAGCAGAGGATTATGCTACACACCACTATGAAGCGATAATGCAAACCAACCTGACAGCTCCATTTATTCTCTGTCGCGATATTGCCCGTCACTGGATTTCGCAGGGGCAGCGCGGTAAAATTATCAACGTGGCCAGCGTGGCCAGCTTTCAGGGCGGTATTAACGTTTCCGGGTACGTGGGAAGCAAGGGGGGATTGCTGCAATTGACCCGTGCGTTCAGTAATGAATGGGCGGGAAGGGGGATTCATGTCAATGCCATTGCCCCAGGGTATGTGATAAAATATGCGTTCTTGACCAGATCTCCTTTCAGGAACACTGACTCGGCTTTTAAGGTACATCGAAACTGATATGACTGCTGATACCCTGACGGAGCCACGATATGCGGCCTACCGTGACTCTATTATACCGCGGATCCCTGTGGGCAGGTGGGGAAAGCCGGAGGATATGAAAGGGGTAGCGGTGTTTCTGGCTAGCCAGGCTAGTAATTATGTCAGCGGGGAGGCGATCGTGGTTGATGGGGGTTGGTTGGCACGTTGATCTATTATGTTTATGACCTGAAGTGACTGCGCTTCACGGTATCCGTCTGACATATCAATTATTGGCAGTTAGCGCTCTACGCACAATACTGCAGCTTATACTCCGTAGCTGTCTCATAGACCACAATGACACGTGGCAAAGTCGGCTTGCTCACAGAACCGTTGATGGCTGCCGATAAACTTACTTCCTCGACTCATGGCCCCCTCAAATGAGACCTTCCTTAAGCTTGATCACAGGGAAGATGTTGGATCTGAGATGGTGTCAGGAGGCCTTACGAGGTCACCTCTAGAGCATATCTCAGGAGCCGTTATCGTTCGTCGGAGCATTGGCTGAGAAGTAATCTGGCAGTATATTGCTTCCAAACTAACATCATGCCTGGAGTAAAATGTATACGTGCTGGTGGTGGACAGAATCGTTTATGGGGTTAAGCACTTTCCTCTTCTGACTTCCCTTCTCTCTCGCATTTCTTGTCGATGTCCACCGCATATAACAAACCAATAGAAACGATGGGACTGGTGCCGCAGCTGTCAATTACTAGATAACGAAAGTTAGCTCGTCAGTATCAAATGGGAGAAGGCCTCAACAAACGTACAAAGACCCCCGTCAGAGCACTGTTGTACGCGGAAATGACCACAGAGATCTCTGCAGAGAAAACGATGAAGCGCCACCCCAAGGCCCCAGCGGAGATTGCTACATTTACAACAGCAGAGCAAGCGACGTGAGCAAGCTCCTTCTTGAGCTGGGTTTGAAAGACCGCTTCCCCAATAGCCAGGACGATGGCACAGCTTGCGGAGATAGCGAAGAGGAGGGTAGTTGCGTCCAAAGGAACAAGGTCTGGCAGATGGGACGCCTGTACTCCGAGATGGGCTTGTGGAAAAAATGAGCATCTATGATCAATGGCAACATGCAATGGAGACTGACCATGGTGACAATTAGAAAGTACCCAATGCCACCTGAAATCTGAAACCCTATCCGATGACCATCGAATATAGGAGGATGCAGAGTTGTCAAGAGCCCACCAGCAAGTGATACCGTTGCGATGACGAGGATAAGAAAAGGATTCCACTTTCCTACTTTGTTCACCAGTCCCGCCACAATTATGGAGATAAGAACATCCGATATGACGATGGGCTAGTACCGGACACCACTGGAGGTTGGAGAGGTCCCAAGAACAGCCTGGAACCAGATTGGAAGCCAGTATATAATACACTGAAAGTCTACATTCGCAAAGAAAGCAGAAGTACAGATGAGGACGGTGTTTCTGCTAGATGGGAACAGTCGGGGAGGAATCGGAGCTGCTTCCTGCATATGAAGTTGCCATCTAACAAATACGCATGTCACTGCCCCGGCATTTGCGAATAATCCAATCGTGTTTGCCGAGCGTCATGCGTATTTCTGAGAGGTTTCGCCAAATTGCGGTGCTATCAGCAGCATGCTAACAGAACCAGAAAAAGGAAAAAGCCAACTCCGTCCAAGCTCTGTAGCTTTTTCGTCAACGGTATACTTTCCCTGGGAGCCCGTTGCACGTGGAAGAATAACAGTACCACGACGGCGGAGAATTCGGTTATAGGAAGATTAATGTAGGAACACCAACGCCATTTAACATGCTGAGTGAGTGCTCCTCCAAGTGTGGGCCTGACAATGCTTGCAATGGCAAGGGTCCAATTGGGGTTCCAGTCCAAACTCCGCGCTTATGAAGTCGGAACACGTTGGATAAAATACCCAACCCTCCAGGGATGATCCCAGAAGCTCCTAGGCCAGCAATAGCCCTTCTAACAATGAGAACTGGTGATGATGGAGCGAGCGCACAAATAAGTCTCCCGACCTCAAACAGAGCGACATAGCTCAAGTATGCAACCTTTTTGGAGAACAAACTCATGGTTTTAGGCAACTGGCTGGCTGGGCCAGCTATATAGGAGCGTTAGATGAAGTCGTCGCCTTCCTGAGCCTCAGCTTAGTTCCCCGGTTGGTACTTACAATGCAATAAAAATTTCGCTCTCATACCAACCCACATCTCCGATAGAATGGACTTCAGGAGTAATGACCGAAATTGCCGTTGCAATCAGATTGAAGCCCCGTTCGCTTAGCAGTTAGACTCAAGTATGCAACGTAGTATATAGGGATCCCTACCATGCCGACCAAGAAGATGCAGAGGCAGAGACCAATGTGGAGAAGAAGTAGCTTGGGGCCTTTGACTTCGTTCTCGGGATCTATTCCGCAGTCTGTTTGAAATCCTCTGCCTGTTGAAGGTACTTCTTCCGCGCGCAGTCCCACGGATGTAAGTATTTTTTTTTGTTTTTTTTTTTTTTTTTTCCAAAGGCTATCCATCCTCGATGTTCCTTCGCCCAAACAAGCCAAATAGACCGAGGAAGCGGGCGGGAGAGGAGAGCCGTAAGGATTTAAAGGCGTTTCCATCACAAGAGTTAAATGGCTGGCTAGAAGCAATGGGAAGACTATCTGACAGGACATTGATCAGTGCTGAGAAAGAGTAGTTTTTCTCGTGCCCCTAGTCAATGGGGGGCCTGGACAGCAGAGCTTATCATCCATTGAGATTCAGACAAAGTGCAATCATTCTCATCATACGCTTAGCTGCATTCCTGATCAACATTTCTACGCCGACTAAAGCGGCCGATAGCGTTGGTATACTCAGTCGCATTGATTATGGCAGGACCTGAGGCATATAGTCGAACGCCATGAGCGATAAAAAAAATCAGATTAAAGTACTTCCATTTTCCCGCTAGACGGAGAAGATCTAGAAGTAAATCGAAGGGCATGGGTCAACGCTGGTGCCTTGATAAGCTAATTACAATTTACCTTCTCTTTAAGATGGCCTTTACACTGAAGTCTAGGACTTACGATAGCTGCAGGCTTCTACTAGTGTCCAAGTTGGAAAGTTGTTGGTCGCCAGCATAACCCCTGTCACAAAGGTATAATGTCATGTTGTGATCGGTGCTTCTATCCATAGCCAGGTACGATACCTCATAATACTCATTCGCAAACAGCTTCAAGTTGTCCGTTTGCCTTGTCTATCAGGGTACTTGAGACCAAGTAAACCCTGCCAAGATTGGAGCGCTCGTTGTGCGTTAGTGCTTAGCCTGACTCGTCCTATTTTATCGGACGGCACGACTTTCCACAGCAGCTCAACATCCCAGATTAATGAATTGTCGGAATATTGGAGCCAGTAGGATCCATAGTCTTATTGGCCCAATCTAATACTATGGGCGTATAGACCGCCGGTCACGCCCGAGGAAGAGAGGTAGAATTTGGCAGCACTGCGAGGATTGTCAACGATTATACGGAAGACGACTGTTTGGCCGTATGCTGCATAAACAACACGTTAACGAATTCCAAGAGAAACAGACTCGGTAAAAAGCTTGACAGTTGTGCCATGGCCACTTTCTCTCCACATTGGCCGCTGAGTTGTGTCGCTGACATTTGGAAAACTTGCATCTCCACCCTTTTCCAGCAGAGATTGAACCACTTCATTACAGCGGACAATCATACGGGAGTGCTTCTATTGAGGTCTCTAAATTCGAATGTACCGTCGCTTCCTAGCAGAAGGTCAGTATGCACCCCTCGGCTCCCAGGTACTGCCCATGACAACGGGGTCTGCCCGTTTTTGTCCACCGGGATAAGTTCAACACCTCTCGCTAATAATTGTATAACTAATTGTTCACAGCCTGCCTATGTACACAGTTCGTACAAAGAGGGCTTGCACACTGCGTTAAGGCTTAAGGGAATGTTGTGAAAGGCAGTAGCCAATCTTTCGTCGAAAAGCTCTTTTCGTACCCGATCGACCCAGTTTGTCTCTGCATAATATTCAAGCGGGAATTGGGTTAAACGAAATGAAAGTCGACATCCATTGTATAAAACACTACTTCGAAAGCTTCATAGAACAGATACGTTGAGCATATTATAGCAGTTTTGCCGTGTACTTTACGGAATACTTCGCCTCTGGTGCGGTTTGGATTATTCAAGGTTGTATGGTGTGTGGACTGTATGGTTTCATTCGATGGGTCCAAGACAACTAGCCCTGGGCAGAAAGTGAACATGTCCACTATGTCTGGCATGCTTTCTTCATCAAATTGGACCTCACCGACCTCGACAGCGAATGAATGTTGTAGCTCTACCACGGGTAATTGGAACTTTCGCACGTGTGATTCATGACAAGATATGCATGCATATATCACTCTAGTCTGTTCGTGGATGTGCTCTATTGTGCTTCTGTACTTCACATTGTGTGTCATGGGATGCGTAGAGAAGTTCTTCAGAGTAAATTGTAGGGCTTTGAGTGACCTTCTCCTAATCTACAAATTTGGTAAAATGTTTAATGGCAATTTTTGGATGCGGCCTCTAAGATAAGCTGTTATATTCATTCACCGACTCTGGATGGCTAAGTTGTGCTGAAAGATGATGGCAATCTCTGGGATCAAAGATATCCTCTATCTATTGTATCTTTAACAAACTGTCTGGAGAAATACCGGAACATGTCGTAATCTCACTCGATAAGTCCAGCATCTAGACCGGCTTTGCAAGATTTGCATGCATATTCTTGAATGCAGTAACCTGTTTACTAAGACACAGCAATACTCAAGTTTTTTATTTGGGCGATGTTCGGTAAGATGCTTGGTAGAATTTGATAATTGATAAATCTGGCCGCACCCTTTACCAGGGAAATCTATAACTACAGCAGATGCACATCCGGTGATCTGTCTAATCAAGAGCTCCCTGATCAAAATAAGTCGGTACTGTGATAGCCCTTGCAGGACTGGATATGGGGAGTAATAGTTTCTGGTATACTAACTGCGAACCATGACACCGCTGCTTTGATAACGCCGAGGCCAGGTATATAAATAACATCAGGGGTAGAATTTCTGATTCCAGGGACTCGAAAACTGCAAGTCTGCTTCCAACGCTCAGCCAAAATGCGCATTCTCTGTCTACACGGCTATGGTACGAGCGCCGATGCCCTCCAATATCAGTTGTCGGGCCTGCTTCATTCAGCAGATCCCAGCTGGGAGTTTCATATGCTGTCCGGCGAGATTGAATGCCCGCCCGCACCTGGTTTGCCATTCCCTTCTACAGGACACTATTGAATGAGGGAGATCTAACCACTATTGTTTGACTTGCTCGAAGGCATCGAAACCAACTTCACTCCCCCATATTACTGCTGGTCACGCACGTTTAGCGCACCATCTATCGAGAATGCTCATTCTCTAATCGCCGAAGCGATTGAGGATGAGGGCCCCTTTGACGGTATCTTAGGATTCAGTCAGGGGGCCTCGATCATTGCCTCCTTCCTCCTCGAACAGACCGCCAACCACCCGGAAAAGCCGCTCCCATTCCGGTTTGCTATCTTCTGCTCGACAACCATTCCCTGCTCATCGGATCCCAACTACTGCCGCTCTATAACGGGAGGCCTGTCTCTGCAAGATCAGCAGCGGATCCGTTCTGGGCAGGATGATCAAATTGCACAATTGCCCGCATCTATCAAGGCACCATTTGAAGAATTTGCCAAGGTGGTCAAGGCAGGCCTGTCAATTACTCGTGAACCAGTCAGCTTCTTTCTAGACCGGTCTATCGAAGAAATCCCCTGTGCCTTGCACCCGGACCATTTTCCGGGCCGCCTCTCAATCCCTACATTGCACCTGCGGGGCCATAATGACCTCCCTGGATTGTCCGATTGTGCCTCGCTAGTGGAGAAGTTCTGCAACCCCAGGTGTCGTAAGACCATTGTCCATACTGCCGGACATGATATTCCGAGAAGTGGGTCGGAGTTGAGGCAATTTAGGGCCGGGTTAGATTGGCTAGTTGCCCAGAGCCAGTTGCCAACACAGTAATGTGTCGAGAACAAGGAAGTTATATTAAATAGATTTGGTGGCGTCATCGGATAAAGCCATGTCTTATCTCACATTTCCAAGGCGTAGTACGCAAGAGGTAATTGAACTTGTGGCGTTTCCAACCAGCGGTATGTCTTAAAACTTTGCCAGGCAGGCCTGCAGAGAGCATTGCGGGCAGATTGGGCGGTGTGACAATGATAGCGTGAGTTACCGTTTCGATGTATAATGCACCATAATGTGCTGAAGCATGCAATGCGCAGCTGTTACCCAAAACTTGCATTGGTGCAGCGTGGGGGCTGAGCTACATTCCAAGGATCTTGATTTAATGCCAACATTCGTCGGCTTCAAAGGAAGTCATGATCCATGGCACTGGTAGATGCGGCCCGGACCCAGAGTACCCTCACGGATCAAGGCTAACCTGCTGAGTGCTGAGTATTACTCCCTTGGCTCCTTGCAGTGTTGTACATTGAGATACAGGGAAGGGTAGAGGTGAATCCTTGGCCGAGATAACCTTAATTAGCCTGCTGATAGAACATCGGCTCCATTGACGGACTTCAAAGGATATGTATGGACCCTAGGTATGCAAGCTCAACAGGGTAGATGAATTGTCAGGCATTCTATAAGTATTCTTTTCACAACTCAAAACTTAGAAAACCTCCCCAAACCTCCCCAAATCTCCCCAGACAACTGCCATGTGGCTAACTGCAACGGGTCAAGACTGAAGCAAGGGGGAAGGGGAGGGTTTGCGGGATGAGGAGCTCACGTGGTGGGTTTGCAATATTTATTTCTTTACAGGTTAAAATGTGTCACTGTCAAGCGCACCAATAATAGGGTGCGACATGCACGGTGAATTAGAAAGCCCTTCGGAAAGCATGCTGCTTAAGATCCACATCGATCTAGACCTTGTCCCGTCTGACATTATTGTATATGCAGGTCCGCGAATCTACCAGCCGGGGAATGATCGGCTCTTTTTCTACGCCACAAGGAGGCTTTCCCCGGAGATCGAATCGATCGATCGAGCTAGTTAAACCAGCTACGTAGTATCTATAACGCTGATACTCCCAACTCCTTAGAGGGGGTTTAAGCGGACATAACAACACTCGAGTGCATGGTAAATATAACTCATGGCCGTGGCTTTTTTTGATTCTATTATTCATTCAGTTATTTATTTATTTATTTATTTTTTTTTTTTCAAACATTGTGCTTGTGCCAATGCCTAGTCTTAGCAGCGGCACAAGAACCACCTATTCGTACATTACACCAACTGTGCTAGGTCCACTTGCTCCTAAAAGTGGCTGAGACACAGTCCTTTTTCCAATAAAAGAGTATGTACACGTTAAGGCTCTATTAGCCTTGTTGACTTTGCTGGTGACGGTACAGAGGCAACCAATCGAGTCCAGCAACAAAGCCGTAAACAGAATTGCCACCTGCAGCTGATTCCGGGATTCAAAAGCTCCCACTTATTTGGTGGATTTCGCAGGGTCCGGATAAGCCACCCCTTGGAAAGACAGCATTAAAGGTATCACACGAAGCCATTCCTTGCAGTATCTATTGAGTTTCTGTATTGGCTCAGTGTCTTGTATACGTATCACTATGTACCCTCCATTCCTAAGAACAGAGTCTGGAACCAGTAATAGAGAAAATGCCATTTTTGTTGCAGCCGGCAAGTTATAAGACAGCAATTGAGAGCAGTAACTGGAATCGAGCAATCCTAGAGGAATGTAGCGGCCATGCGTACACACTACATTAAAGTAGCAGAGAACATCTTTGTTGCTATGGTATTTTACTGCCACTTGCATAGACCTGCGTGGGCTCTGTCCTAATATTCGAGGGCGCAGATCGTTCTCCGAAGACTATGTCAAGATAGCACACAGCCTTCTTCATGGATCTGTCTGCTAACTACCATAGCCCGCAGTAATGCCCATGCCAGAGACTTGGAGTGGGAAGGTAACAAGCTATCAGCTAGCAGACCAGCTCGTAGCCAGGATCGCTGATGCCCTCTACCTTGAAGCTCAGAAGCAAGCAGTGCCCTTGCGTGCTTTGCAAGCCTTGCATAGCTGTCGTCATAGCATGGAGCAGAAAGTTCGACAAGACTAACTAACTCCAAGATCTTTAACGGGCGGTGGCAGTGCTGGGAACGGGCTAATCCGGATATTATGCGGGCTGTGGTAGAAATACGATATACGTATAAAGGATGGAAGTGATTCCAAAAATGTGCCGAACACTATAAGGGATAACGGAAAATCTATCAGCGTGAAGTTACTTGATTAAGCGACAACCTTAGTGCATTGAGGGTGACACCGGCGTCTTGACGGCCTACAACTATGGACAATACATCATCATGTCCGGAACCCATTGCAGTGATAGGCCTGGGATGCCGCTTTGCTGGCCAGGCGGCTTCGTTAGACGGCTTCTGGGAGATGTTGCGAGATGGGCGAAAGGAACATGGCCCTGTGCCCGCTAGCCGATACCAAGCCGCGGCGTGGAAGCATCCGAGCCATGAACGAAAAGGTGCCGTACGTCCTCCTCCCCACTCTACTCTCTCCAACAATCTTCGGCACGAAGGTCTTTGAGTCTGAATCAAACCATGTCTTTTAGATCAACCATGACAGCGGGTTCTTTTTGGAGGAAGATCCGGCTCGCTTTGACGCTCCTTTCTTCTCCATCACAGCAAAGGAAGCCGCCGGCATGGACCCGGCACAACGCTTACTACTTGAGGTCGCATATGAAGCTTTCGAAAACGGTAAGAAGCCCGGAGTCTTTACTAGAGTCGTATGGTGCAGCGAGCCAAGCTAATTGGGACAAATGGTATCCGTAGCCGGCGTCCCCATGGAATCACTCCCCGGGAGTTCCACCGGTGTTTACAGTGGCTGTATGACAAACGATTATGAGTTACTATCCACCCGGGATATTATGGATATGCCGCACAATTCAGCCACAGGAAACGGGAGGACAATGTTAGCGAACCGCATATCGTGGTTCTTTGACCTGCGGGGGCCCAGTATAATGATGGATACAGCGTGCTCCTCCAGTCTGACAGCACTGCACCTTGCCACTCAAGCGTTGCGTGCTGGCGAATGCCGCATGGTAAGTGGTCCATAGCAACGCAAAGCGCCGGTGACTCCGGAACCCTGAATTGACGTGAGCTTTAGGCGCTGGTTTGTGGTGCTAGCATAATATTACACCCCAACTTTACACAACGACTATCCTACATGCACATGCTCAGCGCCGATGGGATCAGCCATTCATTTGATAGCCGTGCCAACGGATATGGCCGTGGGGAAGGCCTCGGCGCTGTCCTATTAAAGCCTTTATCCCAGGCAATGGCCGACGGAGATGTAATCCGTGCCATAGTGCGGGCCACGGGGGCTAACCAAGACGGCCGAACGCCAGGGATCACCATGCCGAACGCCGAAGCACAGGCAGATCTCATCCAGGCTACATACCGGCAAGTAGGGCTGTCAATGCGTGAAACGGCATATTTTGAAGCACATGGAACGGGAACTGCCCTTGGCGTAAGTGGTATTGCTCATGCCGTGAAGCAACCCGATACTCGGATATTGACACGCCACTTTGGATAGGATCCTACAGAATTATCGGCCATTGGCGCCAGCTTTGGACAGGAGCGTATACCGACTGATGAACCCGTCTATGTTGGATCAGTGAAAAGTAACATTGGTCACACGGAAGGAGCAGCTGGAGTGGCAAGTCTTATCAAAGTCGTGCTCTGTCTGGAGAAAGCAACTTTGGTACCAAATGCAGGCTTTGTGACACTGAATCCCAAAATCCAGACGGAGAAATGGCGACTGCGTCTGAGTGATATAACCCAGTCATGGCCATCCCATCTCCCTCAGCGCGCCAGCATCAACTCCTTTGGATTCGGTGGTGCCAACGCACACGCCATCCTTGAAAGCTTGACTCAATATTTAGGCACTATCCCTCAGACGATACCTCGATCGCCCACTAGTGTCCCGCAACTGGTTGTGGTGTCGACACACGACAAGGCTGGTTTGGATCGGACAGCTCAGAAATGGACGCATACACTCGAGGCGTCATCAGAAAATCCCCCATTGGTTGACCTGGCGCATACCATGGCTACCCGACGCTCAAAGTTCGGGTTTCGCAGTTTCGCAGTTGCCGACTCAATTTCTGGTCTGCAGGAAGCAATGGGGCGAGGTTTACCAAACTTCCAACGCGCCCGGCGCGAACAGCAAACTTCGTTGGCATTCGTCTGTACTGGCCAAGGGGCACAATGGGCTGGCATGGGAATCGAATTGCTCGCGTTTCCCGTATTTGCAGCTAGCATCCATTACAGCCAAAAGGTATTAACAGGGTTAGGATGTCCATGGGATTTGGCTGAGGAGATTCGTGCCCATGCAAATACAAGCCGTATCAACCGCCCTGATCGCAGTCAACCAGTCTGCTGCGCACTGCAGATTGCACTGATTGACTTGCTCACTGACTGGTCAGTCGTTCCAAAAGCAGTAGTGGGCCATTCTAGCGGCGAAGTTGGTAGGTTCTGTTTGGCCTTCCTATTATGCATAGGTGCTGATCTGTTACTCCAGGAGCTGCGTATGCGGCCGGATATCTTACCCACGAGGATGCTATCAAAGTTACCTACTTCCGTGGTGTCTTCTCACAGAGTATCGTTGAGAACGGGCCCAGTGGAGGCATGTTAGCAGCAGGCTTACCCGCAGAGACTGCCCGAGAGTATCTACATGCCTTATCTCTGGAGGATGTAGTTGTTGCCTGCATTAACAGTCCGTCAAGTGTGACGCTATCGGGTAATGAAAATCAGATTGATCAGCTAGCTGAATACCTTCAGGCCAAGGGGCTTTTCGCGCGAAAGTTGCGTGTTGATACTGCGTATCATTCCCCTTATATGCGCGCTTTAGCTGATGACTATCGGGATTCAATTGCGTCGATCAAGCCAGTGAATTTACACCAAGGAAAAATAGCAATGTTTTCCTCTGTTACGAAGACGCGTATTCAACATCCCGAAGAACTTGGTCCTGATTACTGGATACGCAATCTCGTCAGTCCAGTCGAATTTGCTACAGCAGTAGGTCAGCTGGCCACTATGAGTGAGTCTGGTCCTCGACGCCGGCGCCCAGTGGGGGTCCCATGGGGTGCCATACTCGAGATTGGCCCTCATGAGGCTCTCAAAGGACCGTTCACTCAAACAGTTCAAGAAGTCAATGCGGGCTTGACTTCCTTACCTTACCTGAGCTTAGTGCAGCGGAAGAAGCATGCACTGCATACATCTCTACAGGTAGCCGGTGTTCTTTGGAGTATTGGATGTTCCTTGGAGATTGACCGGATTAATCGGAGCTTGCTAGGCGACTACACGCCACGGTCGAGCCAGGCGCTCCTTCCCTCTTATGCCTGGAATCATCAGTCCAGGTACTGGCATGAGCCTTATGAATCAACTCAGTTACGCCAACGCAACCAGGTTCGCCATGATCTGCTTGGTGTCGCATGTGATTATCAGAACAATATAGAGCCGCGATGGCGCAACTTTCTACGCCTCTCAGAGCACCCATGGCTGGCTGACCATGTCGTGGCTGGCTCTATTGTCTTGCCTGCGGCCGGTATGGTGGCTATAGTAGCTGAAGCTGCACGTCAATTGGCTGATTCTACGAACCTGGCCGGCATCGAGTTTCATGACTTGGAATTTTTCCGAGGCATGGTTATTAGTTCCGAGGAAAACGGGCTTGAGATCCTACTCCAAGTCGCCCCTCATGCTGTGGCTGGCTGGTACCAATTCGGCATCTTTTCTAGGCCGGAGAATTCGCCTTGGGTTCAACATGCAAAGGGTAGCTTTACCATTGAATACGCGGGAGAGGAAGAGCAATTGGAGGAGAGCACCACCGCACTGAACTGGGCGCAGATGGTCCAGCAGGCCCGACAGACTCAAGCCGCGGCAAATATGGCAGTGGATGGTGAGGCAGTTTATAGCTGGTTGTCTGACACTGGAGGTGTGACTATGGGTCCAACCTTCCGAACAATACAGAGGCTTTTCTTTCACCCAACGCAGTCTCGCCTCTACGCCTCGGTGAGCGTGACAGACACCCAAAGTACCATGCCCAATGAGCAAGAATCGCCATACTTCGTTCATCCATCATCCTTAGATTCGCTTTTCCAGGCTGCGGTACTCTCCTGTTCTGAGGCACTCTCTAACCAGAATGCTCAGATACCCATTGCGGTAGACCGCCTCTACATGTCCACCCGCTTTTCACCCTCAACTGGAGAGCAATTTGCTATTCATGTAAACACGCATTGGGACGAAGGAGGCAACTCTCGATCAGAGGTTGTTGCGTCCCACCCCACCTGGTCACAGCCTGGTCTCGTGCTGCAGGGCGTTCGACTTGGTCGGGTTCCAATGCAGTCCCGTTCATCTGCTGCAGCTGAGAACACTCCTCAGAGCCGGTTCTCGTCATTGGTGTGGGCCGAGCATGTAGACTCCTGGGCCGAGCATTGCGATGGTACCCTCTCATCCTGGCTTAAGAGCGTCTGCCATACCCATGGCGATGCACACATGTTGGTGGTGGCAGCAGAGAGGCGGTTTGATCAGTTGGTGCCTCTTCTCCAAAATTTCGTCGCAACTGGCACATACCGACCCCGGCTGCAGTCCCTGACGGTCATCTTGATAGATGTAAGTCCAGAGGATTCAGCTGCGCGGGCACAGGGCGTTCAGCAATTACTGCCAAACTGCCAGGTACTACCCGTACTTACCCTGGCTGAGGTAGGATCGTCATTGCCGGACGACGGAGCATACGACGCCATCCTGCTGGATCATCCCGACCTGTGGAATGGTAGACAGGATTTCCCCCTCTTGGATGATATCCACAAGGTCACCCAGCCTGATAGCTGGATAGCTGCGGCCACCCCAATGGGTATTCGGAATGAGGTCCTCAAAAATTTCGAGAGACATGCCGATTGGGAGGTACGCGGAATTGTCACGCAGACAGACGCACTCCTTATCCACCGTCGAAACAAATCCTCTTCGATGCTAGGCCCCATCCTCTATGTCTTGGCTCCCGAGTCAGCCAACATTTGCGATGCTCTGTTGCAGGAACTTGTGCCTCTAATCCAGGAGCAGGGCGGACAGGTGGAAAGAGTAAGCCCGTATGAGGTGTCAAAGTTGAAGGGGAAGCAGGTCATTTCCCTGATGGAACTGCACCAACCATGGACGCTCCACTGGACTCCTGCGGATATGGAATGTATGCGCGCCCTGGTTCAGGCGAACTACTTGCTCTGGGTGTCGCCAGCACCCTTGGCAACAGACGCTTCCTATGCGGCGACCGGTGCTACAACCGGTCTTTTACGAACTCTGCGGAATGAGAATCCCCACTTGGAACTACCCCAGCTTTTGATAGAGGAGGATTTCACGTCAAATCCTAGCCAACTTGGACGTAGCATCGCACGTCTTGTACGGCTAACCCGCCAGTCGCGGTCGCGACCTCAGGATTACGAGTACGTACTGCGCGATGGCCGCTTGTACATACCACGCGCTATTGCATCCTCCCCATTGGATGAAGTGATGGAGGCAGCTGTGCATGGCCCAAAGCCTATACTAGCAGAGCTGACGGAGGATCACCGGCCATTGCGTCTACACAGCAAGTCAGCCGATCTTGAAGGAGCGCAATGGCAGATGGACGATCGACTCGCCACTGCGATCGCGGATGATGAAGTAGAAGTTCAGCTCCAGGCTATCTCGCTTCCCTCTACGACAGGAAAGACCACTGAGGCTCGCGTTCCAGTAACAGAGGCCCTGGGTACTGTTTTCCATGTCGGGCAATCTCTGATCTCGGTATTTTCGGTTGGTGAAACGGTGCTGTGTGTAATACCTGGCCACGCCATCTCCACTCGGGTTCGTCTGCCCGAGAGCTCTGTCTGGACTTGTCCTCCACAGCAAGGGCCCGCACAATCTCTCTCCATGCCAGTTGCTTATTCTACCGCCTATACTGGTCTTGCGAACAGCATGCACCAATTCGCCAGCTCCGTTCTAATCGTAGGCTCTGCTGACCAGACGCTCCGCGCCACTGTGCACTGTGCCTTGGCAGCAAGGATGACGGTGCTCGTTGCCGTGGACAATGCCGTGGAGGAGCTTCGCGCCCAGTACCCAGTCCTAAAGGACCAGATTATGTCCCTCCACCGGTCACTTCCAACGACTATCGACCGGTTAACTAGCGGTCGAGGTGCTCAGCTTACTATCTGTAACCTTGGGGGTGCCGTGAGCCGACAAGCAGCGTCTTGTCTAGCATCTGGAGGTCGCTATATTGACCTGAGTGGAGACCTGCAACTCTCCGCTCTACCACAGAAGATTATAGAGCAGGGCTGCACTGTCACCCCACTTTCCCTTGCCCGCATGCTTCGGGATACTCCCCGCCTGGTACAAGCTAATTTTCACCGAGCTGTTGATCTCGTAGCAGGACACAAGACTCTCGTGCAGGTGGCTTCCTATCCTGTCTTTCCAGTCTCACAGATGGCCGAGGCTTCCTCTCATGCGCGGAATTCTGGCACCCGGGTCATTCTTGATCTCCAGGCTCCAGGCCCCGTGGCAGTGGTGCCTTTTCAACCAGAGCCAATACCACTACCCAGTGAGAACACCTACCTTCTGGTCGGAGGGCTGGGCACAATCGGCCTCTCTCTAGCCAGCGCTCTGGTGGATAGCGGGGCCCATCATATTGTGTTTCTGAGTCGCTCTGGAGCTGCACAACCAAGTCAACAAGCAGCTCTGGAAGCACTCCGCGCCCGTGGAACCCGCGCGGAGGTGATACGCTGCGACGTTGCCTCTCCAGACGATGTGAAGAACCTCCTAACCCATGCCACACACCACGACTGGCGCATCCGCGGCATCATTCAATGCGCTACAGTCCTGAAAGATGCCATGTTCGAGCAGATGGACTGGGACTCCTGGCAACAATCAACCCGTGCTAAGATCCAAGGCACGTGGAATTTGCATCAGGCGTTCCAAGCCCCACGGGCGCTGGACTTTTTCATCACTCTCTCCTCGATCAGCAGCGTGATTGGCAACATGGGCCAGGCCAACTATGCCGCGGGTAATGCCTTCATGGATGCTCTGATGGAGTGGCGGCACCAGCATAACCTCGCTGGCTGTAGCATAAACCTGGGACTGGTCGAAGACGCCAGCGGTGTGACCGATGTAGCCGAGTCCGCTGAGCAGCGTCGCCAGCGGTATCGGCATGTACTGGGGACGGAGATTTCGCAGGCGGAGGTAAAGGCTCTTGTTCGCTTCCTTGTCCAGGGCCGGATGCAATCCCCGCTGCCTGCTCAAATCATTGCCGGGTTGGTAGATGTTCTTCCAAGGGAGGACGGCGCTAGTCCCTGGCAATTCGACCGCAAGTTCGATCACCGTGCGCGGATTGCTAATCCGGAAGCCGAAACTGCAGCCGGACCAGTCAAGACGAGCCTTCTACTCAAGAAAGCTGAGTCGGTAGACGAGGCGGTATCGCTCGTTAGCCAGGCTTTACAGGGCTATTTAGCTCGGGCTATGGGTGCTAATACTGATTCAGTGGATCTCGATTTGCCGTTGTCTGCCTTAGGAGGTTGGTTTCCTACTTTCTTTCCTGAACAGTAATGTTGTCGTGTGTGCTAACTGCTGATTACTGTAGTGGATTCGCTGAAAGCTACGGAGATGCAGACCTGGGTCAGTCGAGAACTGGGGGCCGCGTTATCTTCCTTCGAGCTCCTCAGCTCCCAGCCAGTGAGGATACTGGCTGAGAAGATAACGGCAGGGAGCTCTTTTGTGGCCGTAAAACCATAGGCTTCTGATTATTACAGAGGTTACAGTAGTTTTATAGAATGGAACTTTAGATAAGTAACAGGATACTCGCAGAATAGACCTCGGTTATACATCTTTTTCATTGCCGATTACACTGTTTTATTTCACGTCATCATGAAACTACACCATAAGTGAATTTGTCTACTTATATGAAACTACTGATCAAGGCATCATATATGGTTGCTTTACTGTATGGTGGTCTTCTGTCCAGATACACTCTGTATACCTAATGAGAAGGCCCTATAATAGTAGGCCATGTATTCAATACCTAATGGAGGCAACGAGAAGCACGAAGAAGGAAATATCCAACTTACAGCTGGAATCGGTTGCTTTGCCAGAGGAAGACAGTATTCTCTTTACCAAGTTGGACATTTTTGCGTTCAGTAGTGTAGAGGGGTGATATTCTCGCTAAACTATTTGCTACTCAGCATTCCCCTTTCCCTGGACTTGACCCAAGAGCAGGGGTCTCCTCCTCTCACCAGATACGCAGAAACCTTATGGTCACAGCCACCAGCATTATGCAAGGGTTCCTAGAACGAAGATGCGCTCTCCGTGGGTAGAGTCATTCTGATGGTCCAGAATGTCCACTACTTCCAAGCCAGCCGCAGAAGCACGAGCCCTCACGTCGGCCTCAGTCCACACTCCAACCTTGCGAATATCCAAATTATCCTCCACGATGATTTCCTGTCCATCTGCCGACCTCTCCAGGACAACAATATGCCGAGTAGTATGCCACACCTTCCCTATCAGTTGATGGGCGGGCCAAGTCTCCCGGTAGACGATGCCAGGGAATTCCTTGCTCGACGTGACAATTGGCTCAGATGGTTCCATGGCGCGGGCGAGCGGCTCTCCGCCGTCGGTGAGCGCTTCCAGCACGGAGATATAAGCGCGCCCAGTGGTGGGCTTCAGGACCTTGGCTATCTGCTCGAAGAACCGGGTGCCTTGGTCGGCTTCATAGAGATGGCAGATGCTGCCACAGGCAAACACTATCATGTCGATGAGACCTCCTGATCCGTCGGAATGCTGCAAGGCGGGCAGTGATCCCAGTTCCTCTGCCGAACCCAGTACCCAGGTCATTTGATCGACATGCGCTGGGTTGGTCAGGAGGCGGGCTCGATCCAGCATATGTTGCTCGTTGTCCAGGCCCAGAAAGTGTACTTCCGGCCGGCTTTTGGTCCCCTGCTGCTGCTGGGCGCTGGCTAGGCCGTGGATAACTCGTCCCGAGCCAGTGCCAACATCCAGTACCCTCACTGGATTGTTGGAAGAGCTGCGAGCTACCATCTCCGAAAGTAGACGGGAATACAACTGGATATCGTCCCATGTTCCAATCCACAAGTCGTAGTATTCTGCCAGATACTTGCTGTTGTAGCATGTGCTTTGCCGCGGATGGGCCGCCTGGTTGCCGGTGGGGTTATCGCTGGGGACAGTCATGGCTGATGAGATGGGAATGGGATTCTTTGAGGTCAAGGATCATGCCGGTGGCCGCCAGGTATTTAACCTTGCCTACCAATCTGGCGAAATGGTAGACGAAATCCTTATCATGCCTTTCCAGGGAGGAACCTGGGCTCAGGGGGTCACGACATCGTTGCAAGCACACCGTTAAGGGAGGCATACATAGGAAAGCCCATCATCTCCCTTGCCTGGTGGAGGCCGTGGCTCACCATCCGTTGCAGGCGCAATGGACTGCGGAGAAAGGGCTTCCAAGTATTTGAGTAAGATAAATTCATTACTACTGTCTATAGTAAGATGCATACCGAGTATTAAACTTTAAAAATGCATGTTGTTATTCACAAGAGTGATCAGCGCAAGAGCATATGGCCTTGTTATTTGAGACTAGCAGAGCATCTAGACCCGCTTCGCAAAACCCTTTTTGCGTGATTAACCCATACACCGCCACCATCTTTTCTAAAGGCACTCCGAAAAGTATCTAACCGGTCTCTCCCAATTCTCTTGCTGCGTCAGCCACGTCGTAATCGCCTGTAGTCCCTGAGCAATGCTCCGAATCCAGTCAGGCGAGTTGTTTGCCACTGCGCCGGTAAGGGAGACACAGAGATCAGTACCGTCCTTCCCTGAAGCACCAGCATCGACCATCAAGCCACAGGTAGGCTGAAAGAAGATCTCCTGTCGCTGAATATGCGCATGAAAGCGTCTCTTGTCATCTGCCTTGAAGGTCGTCGTCCCCGTCCAATTGAAAATTAGATGATCAGCTACTGCAGGGTACAACTCTCTCATACGAGGCAATTCCTGGAGAATGCGCCTCCACGGTGCATTAGCATGACGCGTAATGAGAGCCTGCTGGGCTTGGGCGCGATACAGCAATTGCAATACTGTCTCGTTTGGATCAAAGGTGATACGCTCTACGTTGCCTGTCAGCGTAGGTCCGGCAACGCGGGCCCCGTCCAGCGGGCCCTCACGCGGAAAGGAGGACGGAAGGAAGGGAAAGCGCCCCCGTGCTGCTTCAACGTTGAGCAGTAACATCTCGGAGTGTTTGGTATGGAAGATGGTTAGCAGGGCAAGGGCCGTCTTGAGCACCACCGACGTCATTAGGGTCGGATGGTGCTGGTGCAGAGACATCAACGCTGGTAGCTTGAACTCGAGCAGGTACAACCCTTGGGACTGTTGTTTAGCCAAGGAGCCAATTGAGCGATTAGGTGTGGGCCATAGTGCTACTGGACCATCTGGCACTTGCTGCATCTGCGAAAGGTGGTAGTCAAAAGCCGGTCGGCTGGCCAGCGCGTCCTGCAGCAGGTAGTAGCTCTCGTTCCAGGCCTTGTACGAAGCATGCGCTCGGAGTGGTTGTTCGCTCAGCGCGAGGTCTAAATCATCTTCGAAGATTTCGTGGTACGTGGCGTCCATGACGGAATGGCAGACTGTGGAAAGACACAAATAAGCACGGATACCACGGACGGATTTGAGGGAAGGCACTCACAGTCTGCAACAAGGACGGCACTCTTTATCTCCTTTACATACACCATCAATCCGCAAAACAAAGGTCCGGGCAAGGCGATCCGATGCTCCTGGGGAAAATTGACTACTAAACGGTGCACGTCGTCCAAGGTCGCGACCTCGCCGTAGTCAACAATGCAGCGATCCAAAATCGATAGTGATGGGCGGACAGACACCAGCAGAGTCTGGTTCTCATTCTCTTGCACGACAAATGATCGCAGCATGGGATGAAGAGGCAACGTAGCCTCTAGGGCCTTGCGCAGATCTGCAACAGAATGCCCTCGGGTGTGTATACAGACGAAGAACTCCCAGTAGTCAATCAAGTGAGCCTGACGCATGATATGTTGGAAGTCAGTGGCTGGGAAGACGTCTTCAACGTCATCCCAAGTGAGCTGATAAGGCGCAATGGCTTGTTGGACCAAGACCTGCGTATCAGGGAGTCGGCTAGCATCACCCAGCAAGTGCACCATGTCCTCCAATGTAGGTCCCCCAACCCGAGCATAGCCCTCACTGTGAGCTAGGGGATATGACTCTTCTTGCTGGTCGTCGGCGGTCTCCAGAAGCAGGATTTGGTCCGCAATGGTTTTGGCGCTCGCCCAAGCCGCGAATGGGACATGTCTGCCGGTGAGCTTGGTCGCTCTGGAATGCACGCGCATCAAGGTGATACTATCCACGCGTTCCGAAAGCCTGGCCTGCACGTCAAGTTCCTCGGTCGTGGCTGCCAAGACATCCGCCCAGAGCTGCGTCACACGCTGGCGTATCTCTCCGGGATTGCTAGGTGCCGACGGCACCGGGGCATCGGACTGAGTGGCAGCATACTGACGCACCAGGGCTGCGAGCTTGACCTTTTGCACCTTGCCCGAGGTCGTGCGAGGATAATTTGCAGTCCCGAGCGTTTGGATGGGGATAACCTTATCAGGAACATACGCCGCACCCATCTGTGTTAGGATCAGATGCATGATGTGTTGCACCTTCGGCTGTGTGATTTCACGATTTACGACAATGACCGGAACTTCGCCTGCCACGGCATCAGGCAGAGGGACGGCCTGGGGATTGAGCTGATGCACTTCCGGGTCTCGGTTGAGTACCGCCTCAATTGCAGAGGGCGATATGTTCTTGCCGCCCTGGATGATGAGGTCTTTGTACCGACCAACAGGGTAGACGAGACCGTCTGTTTCATATATAATAGCCTGATCGCCAGTCTTGTACCAGTGACATCCGTTCGCATCAATGTAGAATGAGTCACTCTGTACGCCGATATAACCTCGAGAAGTCTGGTAGCCACTGTAGTGCACCTCTCCCGCCACACCCGGTGGTAGAGGCTCCGTGCTATTCGGAGCGCAAAGACGGAGTTTCGAACCTGCCATGGGACGTCCGGCTGCCAGGAACCCGTCGCGCGAGATGCTCTCGATGTCTTCCACAGGACCAGTGGCGCAAAATGCCCCTTCCGTCATGCCGTAAAGATTCTCGATTGCTCTCGTGCCCACCCTCGTCTGGAACTCCTTGGCAACGGCGGTGGACAGGGTCATTCCGGAAAAAATGACTGTGTCAATCGGAGGAAGTGGAGTCGAGCTGAGGTCCGCACTGATGAAGGCATGCACCAGCGCTGATACCATGACTATGTACTTGCAGGGAACACCGCGGAGAGTCTCTATCGTTGTACGTGGATCGAAGGCCAAATAGGAAGGGTAGACGAGTGTAGCCCCATGTGTGAGGGCAAACATCTGGCCCATATAGCCAAGCACGTGGCTACATGGAACAAGCGACCATCAGGCGGTCCCCTGGGCGAACTAAGCCCAGCGTTGACCCACTGGCTAGAGAGCTGATCCAGGCAGGGACGTTCATTTCGCATGGCTTTGGCAGCGATGTCGTTCCGCTGGAGAAGAATATGGAGGTTTCGCGCGACGGGGGTGATGTTGATGGACCTGATGGGGTTTGTCCTGGTTTCATGAGCTGATCGAAACTCATCCAAGAAGAGGGGGCTGGCTGGTCATTTCTGATGATGATCCTGATCACATCCAGCTGGGGAAATAGTTGATCAAACTCTTTCGCTGCCGCTTCATCCTGGACAAAGACGGCCGCCTTGGGGCTGGGGCGGTTATCTAGGACGGTTTGGACGACATGACGTGCTTCGACCGCGTTGGACAAAGTATTTGGATGAACGGAGACGTGGGTGCAGCCAAGCCGGTATCCAGCCCAGGTAGTGAGGACATGCTCTAAACTATTACCAAGGATCACAAAAAGCAGACAATCATTCGAGAGACCCAGCGACTCCAAGGATGCAGAAAGGCGGATGATTCCTTCATACAACGCTCCAAAACTCCATTGGCCTTGATTTTCGAGGCTTTGGTCTCCAAGCCCATAGAGGCCAGGGCGTTGATGCGCGCAGATCAGTGCCAGATGGTCAGGGTGCCTTTCCACTACCTCCGCCAGTCGCTCCCAAGCTGAGCGGCTTTGGTACGCAGGGTCGCTGCTTAGAACTTCGCGCATGATGTATGTGTAGTAGTGACAATTTACGTTTATCAAAGAGACGGGTAGAAGTTACACTACTGCTCTCGTGCTATTTAACTCAAATAACTGTCAGAATGTGATTTATCTCCGCGCGGCGTTTGAGCTGGAGTGTGTGACCCTGCATCACTCTACCGGCAAAACGCCCCCTTGCCTGGCTACACTCGGGGGCGGGGTAGCAGTTGCATGAGGTTCGGAC